CTTGGAGTCTGAGGACACAGCTTGTGTATTAGCTATATCACCAGCTGTGGGCTAGAGGAAATCACTTAGCTACTTCATTTCTAAATTGAAAATGCTACTACTTGCCCTTACTATCTTGAAGGGTGTTCTGAGGAATGAATTAGAATTATCCTCACTTCCTTTCCCACCCTGAACTGTGATATCTCCCATAGCCGTGGTTTCAAGAATAAGAAATAATGCATTGTAATAGTCCATTTTCAAGCTTGATGCCTCTGGATATACAGAATTTATTTAATGTTTTTCAAACAAGTAGACCCAATGGGAGATGGAGTGACAACTGGTGCTGCTAGAATAACATTAAGAAAGGCATAGAGGGCAAAAACAGGAAGAGAGCAATGTGAGGCCGACCGTGGCCATCGGGCTTTCCCATCCTAGCGCGCGCCCTCCGCGCTCCTTCGCTCCTTCGTCTCCCTCTCTGCCCCGGGTCTGGTGACGTGGCTGTGTGTCGGGTATGAGGTATCTCCAGGCAGAAAGCTCATACTGCCGTTCACAATGGTGTTTTTTGCTTGTTAAAATAAAATCAGAGGTTTTTGGGTGGTGTTTACAGAAAAAAAAAAAAGGAAGGAAGGAAAGGAAACAAGAGGCTCCCCTCCTGTGTTTTAGCCTTAGCTTGACACTGGCTAGTTTTATAATTACTATCGGCTTGAGAACACACCAGCCTGAGGTCAAGTCTTCTCCTTAAAATAGTTGGAAATGTCATTCTGTGTGGTTTTATAAACCCTTTGTCATCTCTGCTGGCTTGCAGCGGCAGCCCTTCCAGGAGTGAACTCCATTGTCTAAGTCCTCAGAATTCATCCATCCCATAGCTGGGATTAAATACCATTGAACCAGAAGACCAACAGCCTTTGCTAGCTGTGAATTCCAGCATACCTTGTTGCTCAAAGATTTAGAAGTTCTGGGTTTCTTTTAAAGCAAGGAATCATCATTTTTATATTTTTATTTATTTTTCTGCTTTTTCTTGATGCTTTTCAGTTTTCTCCTTTTCATTTCTTCTAGTTCCCTTCTTTCCTCTTTCTTTCTTTTCTTCCTTTTTCTCTTTTAGCTTACCTCTCCTTTACCTGCTTTAGACCTCATATTGAATTTTCTTGGGATTCTCATTCATATTACTCATGTATTCAGGGTTAGTATATTTTCTGGCCTCAGGCCTGAAGCCATTAAGTTAGAAACTTACTGCCAGTATTATCCTGATTCCAAAACAAGATAAGAACAATACAAAGAAAGAAAATTGTAGGCCAATATTCCCGATGAACACAGATGTAAAAGTCTCCAACAAAATATTAGCAAACCAATTTCAGCAAAACATTAAAAGGATTGTACACCATGGTCAAGTGGGATTTATTTCTGGGATGCAAGGTTGGTTTAATATTTGCAAATCAGTTAATGTGATATACCATACAAACAAAATGAAAGATAAAAATTATATGATCATATCAAGAGATGCAGAAAAAGCATTTGATAAAAATCTAGCACCTGTTTATGATAAAACTCAGCAAAATGGGAATATAGGAAACATACCTCTATATAATGAAGGACATATCTGAGAAACCCACAGCTAACATCATACTCGTGACAGAAATTAAAAGCATTTTCCTTGGGATCAGGAACAACAAAAGGATGTTAATTTTCACCACTTTTATTCAACATAGTATTGGAAGTCCTAGCCACTGGAATCAGAAAAGAAAAAAAAAGACATTGAAATTGGAAAGGAAGTAGTAAAACTGTTATTATTTGCATGTGACATGATACTATGTATGGAGAACCCTAAAGATTCCACCAAAAAGCTTCTAGAACTGATAAATAAATTCAGTGAAGTAGCAGGATACAAAATAAACATTCAGAAATTTGACCTCATCCAAGGATGTGTTTGTTGATTTGAGAGAAAGAGAGAGAGAGAAAAACATCGACATGAGAGAGGAAGACATTGATTGGTTGCCTCCTGTATGCACCCTGACTGGGAATTGAACCCACAGCCTTTTGGTGCATAGGACAACACTCCAACCAACTGAGCCACCTGGCCAGGGCCTGATCTTCTGTTTTTATGAGAATGCTAGCCTGATTGGATTAGGGCCTCTAATGGCCTCATGTTAATTTATCAACTTTTGTTTGTTTATTTTTTTTAATCTTCACCCAAGGACATTTTTGCATTCATCTTCAGAGAGAACAGGAGGGAGAGAGGGGAGGGGAAGAGAGAGAGAGAGAGAGAGAGAGAGAGAAAGAGAAAGAGAAACATTGATGTGAAAGAGACACATCGACTGGCTGCCACCCACACAACTCCAACCAGGGCTGGGGGCAAACTGCAACCAAGGTGCATGCCCTTACTGGGAACCGAACCTAGGTCTCTCTGGTCCACGGGCCCACGCTCTAACCTCTGAGCCAAACCGGGCGACATATAGTCACATTCAGAGGATTAGGGGTTAAGGTTCAACATGAGGTGCTCCTGTGTATTGGGGGGCACAAGCCCATAAAAGAGTCTGAGGGACTTGTGAGGCACTGTCACGGTGACCAGTATATGCTTTATGGGAGTCCCAGGAGGAGAAGAAAGGGGAAGGAAGAGGCAGAAAGATTATTTGAAAATAACTTCCCCAATTTGATTTATGTCATGTATCTACAAATCCAAGAAAATACGTGCACTCCAAGTAAAATGAACCTAAGGGGACCCACCCTGAGACACATAATCAAATGATCAAAAGCCAGAGATAAAGAATCTTGAAAGCATCAAAGGAGAAGTGAATCATTACATAAAAGGATTCTCAGTAAAATTATCAGTAATTTCCCATCAGAAACATTGGAGGTCAGAGGACAGTGGGATGATATATTTAATGTATCAAAAGGGAAAAAAACCACAATAAGTGGGAAGTTTCTATCTGGCAAAACTGAGGGAGAAATTACGGCATTCTCACATAAACAATAGCTGAAGGAGTTAGTTACCACTAGAACTGCTCTACAGAAAAATACTCAAGAAACTCATTCACGTTGACATGAAAGAACATAGTAACACAAAACTGTGAAGACACAAAGATCTTCAGTAGAGGTAATTATAGACACATATAAAAGCTTGTCTTATTACAGTTTTGGTTTGTGAGTGCAGTTTTTAATTTCTACAGAATTTTAAAGACATGCATAAAAGTAATTATAAATCTATGTTATTGATAAGGCATCCAATGTATAAAGATGTAGTTTGTGTCATCAGTAGCATAATGGGGAGAACAAAGCAGATTTTTTTGTATATAACTGCAAAGTTAAATGGGTATCAATTCAAATTTTAAGATGTGATAATAATCCTCATGATAACCACAAAGCAAATGTCTTTAGAGGAAATGAGAGACAAAAAATAACACACAGAGACAAGTGGCAAAATATCAGTAAAGAGTTTTTAATCAGTTAATTACTTTAATTAAGTGTAAATGGATTGAATTCTCCAGTTGGCAGAATTTAGAAAATGCCTTGATCCAACTACATGTTGTCTACTTTAGGTCTAAATACAAATAGGTTGGGAAAGTGAAAGGATGGAAAAAGATATCCTATGCAAATAGTAACTGAAAGAGAACTGAGGTGGCTCTATTAATAATCAAAGTAGGCTACTAAATATTTATAAGAGACAAAGAATGATAATACATATTGATGAAAAAGGGTCAGTTCACCAAGAAGATAGTTAATAAACACATTCATCAAACATCTGAGCTCCATAATATATGAAGCAAACATTGACAGGATTGAATGGAGAAATAGGTAGTTTTACAAAAACAATTGGAGATTTCAGTGCCCCATTCTGAGTGAGGGATAGAAAAGATAGAAGACAGTAAGAAGATATAGGACTTGAAATATGGTGGACCAGTTAGACCAAATAGACACATCTATAGAACATTGTATCAGCAACAGCAGAATACACATTTTCACACATGCACATGGAACATGGTACAGGATAGACCATATATTAGGCCAACAATAAGTCTTAATTAAAAAAAAAACACACACACATAAAGTATCTTTACTAATCACGTTGCAGTGAAATTAAGAATAAATGGAAGGAAACTAAAAAATTCACAGATATGTGGAAAACAACACAATCTTTTAAAAAATAATATGTTTTTATTGATTATTTTTTAGAAAGGAAGGGAGAGAGAGACAGAAACATTGATGTGAGAGAGAAACACTGACCAGCCCCCCTACTGGGTATCCGAAACCCAGGCACGTGCCCTGACTGGGAAACCAACCAGGACCTCTCAGTCCATTGGAGGACACTCAATCCACTGAACCATACCAACTGAGCAGTAAACCACCAATGGGTCAGAGAAGTTACAAAGGAAGTTAGAAAATACTTGAGAGAAATGAAAATCGAAACACAACCTACGAAAACTATAACAATTCAATGAAAACAGTGCTAATAATTAAAATACTTATATTTCAAAAAAGAAAGATCTCAAATCAACAGTGTTACATCTGAAGTAACTGACAAAAGAACAAACTAAATCCAAAACTAGCAGAAAGAAGGAAATAATAAATATTGAGCTGAGACTAATAAAAAGAATAGAAGAACAATAGAAAAAATCAATGAAAACCGAAGTTGCTTCTTTGGAAAGAGCAACAAAATCACAAACCTTCAACTAGACTGACGAAGAAAAAAGGCTAGAATTACTAAAATCAGAAAAGAAAGTGGGGATGTGACTACTGATTTTAAAGAGAGAGATAGTTACATGGCAATCCTATGAACAAATGTACATCAGCAGATTGGAAAACCTAATGAAATGGACAAATTCCTAGAAACATACAGCCTACCAAAACTTAGTCATTAAGAAATAGAAAATCTGCCCTGGCCGGTTTTGCTCAGTGGTTAGAGCCGTCGGCCTGTGGTCCAGAGAGACTCGGTTTTGGTTCCCGCCAAGGGCACGTACCTCGGTTGCAGTTTGTCCCTGGCCCTGGTTGGTTGTGCAGGTAGCAGCCACTCGATATGTCTGTTTCACGTCGGTGTTTTTCTCTCTCTCTCTTCCTCTCTCTTCCTCCCACTCTACCTGAACAAAAAATGGAAAAATGTCCTCAGGTGAGGATTAAAAAAAATAAAAAAGAAAGAAAATCTGAGTAAACCTACAACTTGTAAGGAGACTGAATTAGTAATCAAAAGCAGAAAATTTTGGACCACATGGTTTTAAACATTTAAAGAATTAGCACCAATCCTTCTCAAATTCTTACAGAAAATTGAAAAGGAGGAAATACTTTCTGACACATTCTATAAGGCCAGCATTACCCTGATGTTAAGAGCAGACAAAGATGTTACAAGAAAACCACAGAGCAATATTTCTTAATATTGATGCAAAAATATTCCAAGAAATACTAGCATACTGAATTCCACAACATATTAAAAGGATTATATGCCATGAATAAATGGGATTTGTTCTCAGAATGCAAGCATAGTTTAACATATGTAAATCAGTTGAGTGATATAGCACATTAATAGAATGAAAGAAAAGAATGACATGACCATCTCAATTGATGCAGAAAAAGCATTTGACAAAAACAACATGCTGTCATAATAAAAATGCTCAGTAAACTAGGACAAGAACAGAACTTTGTTAACATGATAAAGGCCATATATTAAAAACCCACAGCCACAGTCGTGCTACATAACGATATTTTGGTCAACAGTGGATCACTTGTGTGATGGGATTATAATGTATCTGAAAGATTCCTATTGCCTGGTGATGTTGCAGTGGTCATAACATCGTAGCATAACACTTTACTCAAGTGTTTGTTTTCATACCAGTGTAAATAAACCTATTGTGCAGCCTGTCGAGTAAAAGTAGCATACACAATTATATTCAGTACATATTTACCTGATAATTATAATAAGTACAGTATTTACTGTACTATACATTTATTTTAGAGTGTATTTTTATAAAACCGTGTGCCGTGTTATGCCACCAGCAGCCTCATACATCGTGTGTGTACTGTCTCTTGATTATATCATGTCATGCTTGATTTAGTCTCATGTTATTTTATAAGTTTAGTGTAGCCTCAGTGTACAGTGTTTATAAAGTCTACAGTAGGGTACAGTAATATTCTAGGACTTCATATTTACTCAGAACTGACTCACTGACTCAGCCAGAGCAACTTCTAGTCCTGCAAGCTTCATTCATGGTACGTGTCTTATACAGGTGCACCATTTTTAATCTTTTATACTGTACTTTTACTGTACATTTTCTATACTTAGATAGGTTTAGATACACAAATACTTACCATTGTGTTACAGTTGCCTACAGTATTCAGTGCAGTAACATGCTGTACAGGTTTGTAGCCTGGGAGCCATGGGCTATACCATATAGCCTAGGTGTGTAGTAGGCTAGACCATCTAGGTTTATGTCAGTACACCCTAGGATGTTTGCACAATGATGAAATCACCTAATGATGTGTTTCTCAGAACATATCCCCATCATTAAGTTGTGCATGACTATAATGCTATTATTAATAGGGAAAGACTAAACAGTTTTCCCTGAAGATCAGGAGCAAGACAAGGATACCACTTCTATGCTAATAGTATTAGTATTTCTACCCAGAGCAAGTAGTCAACAAAAAGAAATAAAAGCTATAAGAAAGGAAGAAGTAAAATGATCTCTATTTATAGATGACATGACCTTATATGTAGAAAACCCTAAATATTACATCAAAACAAAGCCTGTTAATAATGGGGGAAACAAAACAGAAAACAAAACCAACATACAAAAAATCAGTTGCATTTCCACACACTAATAATGAGCAATCAAAAGGAAATTAGGAAAACAATCCTCTTTACAGTAGCATCAAAAAGAATAAAATACTTAGGAATACATTTAATCAAAGTGAAAGACTTGTACACTGAAAACTAAAACAATAGTGAAAGAAATTAAGATACAAATAAGTGGAAGATATCCCATATAAAATTTAATGTTGGTAACCCTACCTGAAGCAATCTACAGGTTTAATGCATTCTCTATGAAAATCCCAATGATGTTTTTTTTCTGAAATAGAAAAACATATCCTAAAATTGATATGGAATCTTAAAGGACCTTAAATAGCCAACATCAACTTGAAAAAGAGGTTGGAAGACTCACATTTCCTGATAGCAAAACTTACTACAAAGCAACAGTAATCAAAACAGTGTGGTACTGGCATAAAGGCAGACATATGGACCAGTGGACAGAAAACAGGGCCAAGCTCGTTGAATGGGGAAAGAGCAGAATGGAGAAACAAACCATGGTACATCCATACTCAGCAATAGAAAGGGCTGAACTATTGTTATGCACAAGTTGGATGGATCTAAAGGGCCTTGTGCACCAATGAAAAAAGCCAATCTCAAAGTCACCTGCTGCATATTTTCCTTTATGTAACATTCCTGAGTGATAAAATTATTTTAAAGTGGAGTCCTGATTTATTGGGGATGGCCAAAATAAGGCATTACAGGCATACCTTAGTTTATTGTTTCACAGCTATTGTGTTTTTTAATAACAATTGAAGGTTTGCGGCCACCCACCCTGTTTTGAGGAAGTCTATCGGTGCCACTTTTCCAACAGCATTTGCTCATTTTGTGTCCCTGTGTCACAAATTTTGGTAATTTTGACAATATTTCAGATGTTCTCATTTTATATTTGTTAGGGTCATCTGTGACAGTGATCTTTGATGTTACTATTGTAATTGTTTTGGGGTTGCCCATATAAAATAACAAACTTAATCGATAAATATTGTTTGTGTCTTTACCAACCAGACCTTTCCATCTCTCTCTGTTTCCTTGGGCCTCCCTAACTCCCTAAAATACAACAATATTAAAATTGGTCCAATTAATAACCCTACAATGATCTCCAACTGTTCAAGTGAAAGGGAGCGTCACATGTCTCTCACTATAAATCATTAGCTAGAAATGATTAAGCTTAGTGAGGAAGGCATGTTGAAAACTGAGATAGGCTGAAAGCTGGGCTCTTGTACCAAACAGTTAGCAAGGCTGTAAATGCAAAGGAAAAGTTCTTGAGGGAAATTAAAGTGTTACTGCAGTGAACTCGCAAATGATAAGAAAGCAAACAGTCTTATTGCTGATATGGAGAAAGTTTTAGTGGTCTGGATAGAAGATCAAACCAGCTACAACATTCCCTTAAGCCAAAGCCTAATCCAGAGCAAGGCCCTAACATTCTTCAGTTTTCTGAAGGCTGCAGAAGAAAGGTTTGAAGCTAGCCCACATTGGTTCATGAAGTTTAAGGAAAGAAACTGTCTCCATAGTATAAAAGTGCAAGGTGAAGCAGCATATGCTGATGTAGAAGTTGCAGCAGGTTGCCCAGAAGATGTAGTTAAGCTAATTAATGAAGGTGTCTAAACAGATTTTTAATGTAGATGAAATACCCTTAGATTGAAGAAGATGCCATCTAGGACTTTCGTAGCTGGAGAGGGGAAGTCAGTGCCGGTTTCAAAGCTCTGAAGGACAGGCTGACTCTCCTGTTGGGGGCTAGTGCAGCTGGTGACTTTCAGTTGAAGCCAGCAGTCAGTTACCAATCTAAATACTCTGGGGCCCTTAAGAATTATGCTAAACCTACTCTGCCTATGTCTGTAAATGGACAACAAAGCCTGGATGACAGCATTTGTTTGCAACTTGGTTGTCTGAATATTTTAAGCCCTTTTCTGAAACATATTGCTCAGAAAACAAAGATGCCCTTCAAAATGTTCCTGCTCATTGGCAGTGCGCCTGGTCACCCAAGAGCTCTGATGGAGATGTACAGGGAGAGTAATGTTGTTTTGTGCCTGCTGACACAACACCCATTCTGCAGCCCATGTAACGAGGAGTAATTCTGACTCTCAGGTCTTATATTCAGGAAATACATGTCATAAGGCTGTAGCTGCCATAGACGGTGATTCCTCTGGTGGATCTGGGCAGAGTACACTGAAAACCTTCTAGAAAGGATCCACGATTCTGGATGCCATTAGGAACATTTATGATTCCTGGGAAGATGTCAAAATACCAGCATCAACAGGAGTTGGGAAGAAGTTGATCCCAGCCCTCATGGATGATGTTGAGGGGTTCCAGGCTGCAGTGGAGCCGTAACTGCAGAGGTGGGGGAAATAGAAGTAGAAGTAGAGCTGATGTGACTGAATTATTGCAATCTCATGATCAAACTTCAGTGGATGAGAATTTGCTTTTTTTTTTTATCCTCATGTGAGGACATTTTTCCATTTTTTATTCAGATAAAGCGGGAGGGAGAGAGAAGAAGAGAGAGAGAAACATCGACGTGAAAGGGACACATCGAGTGGCTGCCACCCACACGACCAACCAGGGCCAGGGCCAAACTGCAACCGAGGTACATGCCCTTAGCGGGAACTGAACCCGGGTCTCTCTGGACCACAGGCGGACACTCTAACCGCTGAGCCAAACCAGCAGGGCGATGATAGCATTCTTTAGCAGTAACGTGTTTACTAATTAAAGTATGTATGTTTTATCTGGCCGGTGCGGCTTAGTGGTTGAGCATTGACCCATGCACCAAGAGGTCACTGGTTAAATTCCCGGTCGGGGCACATACCCAGGTTGTGGGCCTGATCCCCAGTGGGGGGCATGCAGGAGGTGGCCAGTCAATGTTCTCTCTCACATCACTGTTTCTCTCTCTCTCCCACTCCCTTCCCCTCTCTCTGAAAATCAATAGAACATATTTTTAAAAAGTTATATTTACATAAAGTATGTATTTTTTTTAGGCACAATGCTATTGCACACTTAAGAGACTACAGTATAAACATGACTTTTATATGCACTGGAAAACAGAATTCATGTGATTTGCTTTATTGCAATATTGGCTTTATTGTGGTGTTCTGGAGCTGAACCCGCAATATCTCTGAGGCATGCCTGTGTGGGAAAAGAATTAGAGTTCCAAAGAAGGACTCTCAGCTTGGGACTCACCAGACCAAGGACCCAGCTGTTGTAAGTGACCACTTAAGCTACAACTTCACTTGCTTGTTGTGGTCCTTTATTCTTGGATCTTTGGGGGATAATTGTCTTCTAAGACTGGCATGCAGCTGCCTGTGAAACTTACCCCAGGTGGTGGGGCAGGAAAGGGGTGGGCAGCAGCATTCCCCTCAGCTGTGGAGTAGAGGGATGAGAGAGGAGTATTTTCAGTATCTGGGGCTGTGTTACTTTAGCTTAGTTAACCTTGGATATTTATTGTAAAGAATGTATCTTAGTTGGCCTTGAAATTCAGCACTGTTGCAGACACTTGAATGACTTTTGTGGTCTTTTGTCCTCAAGTTCACGTTACCAACTCGAGGGTTTCCACCATGTTGATGGGTCAGCTTCTCTCTGTACTCCACCCCTGTTTCTCTGTGACTATAGAAACTCTCTTAATTCATTCTCTTAGCTTCATACTTAAAAGAAAGGATTAGATCGGGTTGCTAGTTACTGTCCAGTTGGGCAAAGTTCCCCTTTGATAACTTTTGGCTCAGAGGCGGATCCCTGGTCCTTTAAACCAGAGCTTTGGTGCCTCATCATCTGAAGCACAGTGGTCACCCTGTGTGTCTGTGTCACTTTCCTCAGAAGGAACTTGCGATATTTTTACTATTAGTGGGCTACAGGGGGCACTCAGATTGAGGGAGAAATAGGAACTGCTATACAGGCATGGGGTTTCTTGCCTCCCAAAGGGATAGCTCATGGCTAACCAAAACAAAATATTACCTTAACTTACGCTCGTTCTATAACCTTTTGGAGAAGTGTTTTAGAAACTAATAGCAACTCAGGTACATTATAGTTTTGATATTTACTCCTTTTATTTGATTTTTCAAGGCTTTTATAATTATTGAAATCTTACTAAATAAGAATGAATCAAAATATATATTGGAATGTATGCATGTAGCTGGACCATAAAAGATAATTTTAAAAAGGAGAAGAATAGCCCTGGCCGGTTTGGCTCAGCGGTTGGAGCGTTGGCCTGCGGTGCAGAGAGACCCGGGTTCGGTTCCCGCTAAGGGCACATACCTCGGTTGCAGTTTGTCCCCGGCCCTGGTTGGTCGTGTGGGTGGCAGCCACTCGATGTGTCCCTTCACATCAATGTTTCTCTCTCTCTCTCTTCCTCTCTCTCCCTCCCGCTCTATCTGAACAAAAAATGGAAAAATGTCCTCGGGTGAGAATAAAAAAATAAATAAAATAAAAAGGAGAAGAATAGATTGTTGTGAACTGCAGTCCACCTCCTGTAAAAGGAGTTCGAAAGCAACTGAGAGGAGAAGTCTTTCTGTATATTTTCTTTATCTGATATAGTCAGTTAAGATCCATAGACCTTTTTAAGGGTTTTATGTATGAAAGTTCTTTGGGGATGGCATATTTTCCTAGGGGCCAAGTAGCTGAAGAATGACACTTTGTAGGCGATCAGTGTACCTACTCGATCTGCTCTCCAAGAAAATTGATGAAGACATTTTGAGACCAAGAAAAATGGTTTCTATGTTGAAACACGAGAGCCGGCTGGGTTCTGGAAGGGACACCATGCAAATAGCGCATCTCAATTCCATGAACAGCGTCATTTAGCTTCGCTTTAGGAAAACCACCATGTTATCATATTTCCCACTTTACCAAAGGCTGATGAGACTTCCTGATGGGTAGGAGCCTCTGGGTTAGATACGTGGCTAGTGCAGGAAGTGGTCTCCTAGTTGGTTGGTGACTGTAAGCAGAGGTGTTGACGACGTGCCAGGCCAGGAGTTTGGACGGTGTCGGTCCACGGATGAGAAGCCTGGAGGGGAGGGGAGGCAGGAGGGAGGGTGACAAGGTGGCTCGTTTAGATCTGGATGATACATGTCAAAAGGATTAACAGTGATTCTAAGCAAGAAGGAAATTCTTAGAGGAAAAGCCTTTAGAGCTCGCGGGGGGCTACATTCTGGGACTGAGGGGACAGTGACTCCTCAGAGCCCTTCTCTTTCTCTTGGCTTCTTGCTGTGAAGGCCACACTGAGAAAGCAGTCAGCCTGCTGTGTCTGCGTGTCTTTGTTTTGGAATATAGTATTTTCTCTTCCTTCCAATAAAGAAGGGAAGAGTCTGACCTCAGTCTTTGCTGTTTTAGAGCCACAATGTGCTGATTTTACCTTTTTTTTTTTCTCCTTCAGGCTGCTTGATAGGGGCTGTGAATCTCAAATCCAGTAACCAAAACCCAGTGGTACAGGAGTTTGAAAGTAAGTATGAGGGAGACTGAGCATTGGGAGAATGGGCACCATCTAGTGGACATTCGCAGTCTTGCAGCCAACTCAGGGCAAACGCACATACATGTAGTACCGGAGCGATGTGCAGGTGGGAGTGCAAGAGTGTCAGTGAGGCGGGGTGTGCGTGAGGCCACAGAGGGCACTGCAGTTTGATAATGGCTCCAGCCTGCCCTGGCTTTGTGCTTACACAACATGGACATTTCTATTACAAGCGGAGAACTAAGGAGAATTTCTACTGTGTGGTTAAGGTTCTTGCTCATCATCTCTCATTGTTCTGGCTGAAGTTAACCGTTGCTTAACGTCTGTGGGAGCCTGGAGATGGCTGGGTTGTTGAGCTGCACGCAGGACTCCGGACTCCGGACGGCTTGCGGCCGGGCTGGTGACCCGAGCTGTTCCGCTTTCACTGACAGCTCCTTTTTCTCTTTGCTCACTAGGTGCCGTGCTGTCCTGTGTCATCACAGACTCACAGACAAATAACCCCAGGATTGAATGGAAGAAAATTAAAGATGCTCAAACCTCATATGTGTTTTTTGACAACAAAATACAGGGTATGGTCCTGTAGTCCTCTCCTTTGTGCTCCGGGCCCAGGCACGCCTCATGGCCGGAGACTTGCTTTCCTGACTGGCCCTGCATCTGTAGCCGGATTGGTCTTTTTGTTTTGCTTTATTTATGGAAAATTCAAACATAAAGGTGATAAGAATAGCATATTGAACCTCCTTGACCCTGTCACCCAGCTTCCACACGTACCAATTTATTAGTTAGGATTTTACTCTCTCTGCAAAATATCTTTATGAAGTGTCAGAGTGAACATTTTCCTGGGCCATCTTTTTATCGTGATCTAGGGCATTAGGACATAAGTTAAATGAGTTAACTGGAAGGACCATGGGACCGCAAGGAGACAGGAATCTGATGAGCACGCACCGCACTGAGAAAGCATTTGCTAGACCGGTTAGCAGGGGTTATTCTGTGTCAGAATCAAGGTTAGCATAAGGCGCTCAGGCTGCCTGAGTGGGGCAGTCCAGGTAGTCACAGAAGCTTCCCAGAGGTAACCTCCAGGCAGAGGTGAAGAAGGCCGATAGCCAAGCAGGAGGGTGCGGCGTGGCGTGGAGAAAGGTGTTGGGCAGGAAGGAATGTGAGAGAAGCGGAGCAGCACATGGCAGCTTGGCTTAGCAGACACTGCAAGGGCTGCGCCATCACAGGGCATAGGAAAGGAGGAGGGGAAGGACCCCAGGTGAAGGTGGAGGGTGCCAGGGCCAGACAGGAAGCCGTGAATGCCAGGCAAGACGGGACAGACCCTGAGGGGCCACTGAACGATTTGAGGAGGGAAGTGACATTACATTCAGGCCCCAGAATGACTGAATTGGCCGCTTTGTAGAGAAGAGATTGGAGGCGGGAAACGTGGAGCAGGGGCACCAGTTCTGAGTTCTTGTCAAATCCAGGAGGGAGCAGTGGGGCCTGGGCTGCGGTCCAGGCAGTGTAGAGATGGAAGGGAGGAATCGCAGGCGGTTACCATGATGCGGGAGGAGAGGAAGGGACCCCAGGAGGCGGGACATGCCATCAGTCTGAAGGGGGAAGGAGTAAACATGCGGTCAAAGCAGGTAAGTTGTAAGTGGGTGACTTCCTGTTCTCCGGGAAGTCGGTAGTTGAGGTTTCAGAGATGGGAAGGAGATTTTGTGGAAACACCCTAAGGTCATGGTCTTTCTGCTTTGGATTCTCAGTATCATCTGGAGTTGTAGGCTCTGAAAAATAGTTTTGGCCCTGGCTGGTGTTTCCCAGTGGTTAGAGCATCAGACTAACCACTGAGTGGTTAGAGCATCGAAGGGTCACGGGTTCAATTCCTGGTCATGGGCATGTACCTGGGTTGCAGGTTCGATCCCCGGCCTAGTTGGGGCACATGTGGGCAGTGTCTCTCTCACATTGATGTTTCTCCCTTCCTCCCTCCCTCCCTCCCTTCCACTCTGTCTAAAAAGCAATGGAAAAATATCCTTGGGTGAGGATTAACAACAACAAAATGGTTTTGTTTTCCCACCAATATCTTCCCCCACCTCCTATTTTTGAAGAGAGAAATGTTATTCTCAGGAAACAAAGCAGTTTTCTCTGGCAACTCAGGCTCTTCGTGATGAGAAACCAAATGGGAATTTTTTTTAAAATCCTATTTCTGGGAATTAAACACCTTACTCTTAGCCTGCAGGATTGGAAAGTATTTATCACACAGAATGCGAGGGCTGGAGGAACACTTGAATCTGTGTGGTCTTTTCTCTGCCTCAACACAGGACTAGACCAGAAACATCCTTCCGGGTTTTTGTTCACATGTTCTTACATGATCCAATCCATCTTCTTGCTTCTGGCCATCCTGGCGGGTGTGATGTCTCATTGTGGTTTTGATTTACATTTCCCTGATGACTGAAGATACTGTGTCTTCATGTGCTTGCTGCCATTTGTAGATCTTCTGAAAATGTCTATTCAAATCCTTTGTCCATTTTGATTAGGTTATTTGTCTATTTATTGTTAAGTTGCAAATTCTTTAGATACAGGCGCCTTGTTTTATTCTGCTTCACCTTGTTGCGCTTCACAGACGTTGCTTTTTTTTTTACAAATTGAAGGCAAGACCCTCTCCCAACAAAAGGATTACGACTTGCTTTGTTGTGTGACTTGCTTTATTGCGGTGGTCTTCAAGGTGTGCTGTATTCTGGACACTGGTCCTTTGTCAGATACATGATTTGCAAATGTTTTCTCCCACTCAGGACATTGTTTTCACTGGCTTGTGTCCTCTGAAGCACAGAAGTTTTTAATTTCTATGACAGCCCAGTGAAGGTGACGGTGACTGTGCTGCTCTTTTGGTGTCACATCTGAGAAGTCACGGTCTAGCCTAAGGTCATAACAACTTTTTTTTTCCTAAGAGTTTCATTGTCTGAGCTCTTCAGTAAGGTTTTTGATGTCTGTGGTGTGAGGTAGGATCCCAACTTCATTCTTTGCACGTGGATTCCAGTTGTCCCCACACCATTTGTGGAAAGGTCGGGTTACTTAATGTCGTTTGTTTTTTGTTTTGTTTCAGTTGGGAATCCCTGCTGAGAATGATGAGAAGGAAATGAGGTCCATGCTTTAAAAGCAGATGCTTATGGCCTTGGCCAGTCGTTCAGTGGTTAGAGCATCAGCCCGCAGACCAGAGAGTCTCCAGTTCGATTCCTGGTCAAGGGCACGTACCTGGGTTGCAGGTTTAACCCCCAGCCCCAGTTGGGGTCCAGTGGAAGGCAACCAATCAATGTGTCTGTCTCACATCGATGTTTCTCTCCCTCCTTTCCACTTTCTCTAAAAATCAACAGAAAAATATCCTCAGGTGAGGATTAACAAAACAAACACAAAAAATCAGACTCTCATAATGAGTCCTTTGACACATCAGGTGCTATTCTGGCGTTCAGTGTCCTCAGAGAGCTCACTGCTGTGATAAAGGGACAGATAGAAGCCAGTCTGCAGGCTTCTCGCTGAGGCATCAGATGCTGGCCCAGGAACCTTCAAGTGGCAACGATACCTTGAAAGAGCCTCTCAGTGCCCGGTGTCTTCTTTCTACAGGGGACTTGGCACACCGTGCAGAACTATTGGGGAAAACTTCACTGAAGATTTGGAATGTGACCCGAAGAGACTCAGCTCTTTATCGCTGTGAGGTGGTTGCTCGAAACGACCGCAAAGAAATGGATGAGATTGTCATTCAATTAACTGTGCAAGGTAGAAACTCCTGTCAAGTTAAAATATGTTCCCTCTTTCAGGCCCCAGGAATGTGTATATAGAAAAAAATGAACTCTTACTGTCTTTCCTTCTCCACATCCCTGAGGGCATCACATGACGGGGGGGGGGGGTGGATGGGGGGCGGGCTTTGACCCCTGAGGCTGCTTGAGTTGGGGGAAGATGGGAGGGAGTGGAGGCCTTGGGGTTATGCTTGGGGGCCTGACCATGGGACGGCAGTGGCGCAGAATCCCTTGGCTGGCTTTCTTGCTCTGGAGGCAGATTTATTGCAAACTTCCAGGAGAATGCTATAGCTGAGTTGCTGCTTTTAAACAGCACCTGTGTTTCTCCTGCAGTGAGGCCAGTGTCGCCGGTGTGCACAGTACCCAAGGCAGTGCCCGTAGGCAAGGCGGCCACGCTGTACTGCCAGGAGAAGGAGGGCTACCCGCAGCCTCACTACAGCTGGTACCGCAATGACGAACCCCTGCCAAAAGACTCCAGAGCCTACCCCAGATTTAAGAATTCCTCTTTTGTCATAAACTCTGAAACAGGCACTCTGGTAAGATCTCCTGTGAGAGGTGAGGACGGAAACGTCTGGGCTGGAGCAAGGGAAGCTGTAGTGGAAAGGGGAGGTGTAGGCAGAAGGTAGCTCTCACAGGTGGGTGCTAACGGCCCGTCAGAGGCCCTGCAGGAAAAGGGTGCTGTAGGTTGAACAGCACCTGTGAGACAGAGCAACTTGGTTCAGGCTGGAGTTTGATGCTAAGGGACTGCTCATGGCTTTAGGCACGGCATTGGCACTGTAGTTAAGATGAAATTCCGTACGTTCTAGGGACACATACTGAAGTACTTGTGGATGAAATGTGTCTGGAATTTGTTTCAAAATAATCCAGGAGTCTCGGCGGGAAGGGGCGGGCGGGGAGGCGAGCGCAGGCCGGCGGTGCACAGCGGCCAGCCTGCCGGGCAGCAGGCCACACCAGGCCTCTGGCCGCGCACCCCACTGGGAGCAGGGCCCAGGCTGGGCAGTGGGGCCTGGGCTGGGGGCTGCTTGAGGAGCAGTCATTATCACAGCCCCTTTCCTGAGCGAAAGTTTAGCTCAGCATCTTATCCTGGACGGTACTAGGCTTTGATACTCCCTTTAGCAAAGGGGCTCTGTTGTTCGGAAGCTGCCAGGCAAGGTTCCAGGAAAGAACCTAGACAGTGACCTGGAAGCCGAAGGGAACCCAGAACAGAGGAACAGACATTTCACCATGTTCTGGACTTAGCACGTGGGCAGGTGGGGGCGAGCGCTTCTCGGCTGCCCGTAGAGGCCTGCCTCGGTCGGCGCTGGGTCTCACCCTGTGACTCCCGCCCAGGTGTTCAGCGCCGTCCACAAGGAGGACGCGGGCCGGTACTACTGCACCGCTTCCAACGACGCGGGCTCGGCCAGGTGCGCGGAGCAGCGCATGGAAGTCTGTGAGTCTTCCCGAAAGGGTTCCTCTGAGGACTGGCACTGACTGGGCGTCGTCAGTTTCGCGTCAGACCTCCAGCTTAGACAGCCGCCCTGCTCTACTCCGTAGCTAGATGGGTGGGTCCCCTGAACCCACTTGGGCGCACTGAAAGGGAAGCTGAGAATCAGCTGCGGTCTCCGCAGTGGTCCGTGCAGCATGTGAGCCCCTCAGAACAGACTTTCCAGCGCCTTTGGTGGTGGAAGCATGGCTAGTAATGTCACTATTAGCTGTTTAATAAACTCCATGACTTTGTCATTGATGAAAGCAAGGTGTGTCCTCTTCAGAAATGTATCCAGTTGTGACCACTTTGCAGTAAGCTGAAAGTTTTAGCCGCAGTGATTTGCCCTGTTCTGTGATGATGCTGTCTCCGTGGTACTGGTGCTAAGGGGAGGTGCTGAGCCGGAATGGGGGCAGGTGGGCATGTCTGAAGCATGTGGGGACCTCTCTGTGTCCCTCCCACCTCCCACGTGGAGCCCCCCTGAAGAGCAGTGTTTTCCAAACTTGCGCGTTGCAAGAATCATTTGGGAGCATGGTTTCCGATTCAGATTCTGCACCCCCCACACATGGAATCGATCCAGGGGGTCTTCTTGTCTGTCAAGTTTGGGAGACTCCTCTAGGGTAGGAGGAAGATTCCTGGGCTTTGCTCTGGACCTTTTGAATCTCTAGGGATGTAGCTTGGGAATTGAGATTTAAAACCAAAATTACCAGTTGATTTTTAAACATACACTCATATTGCAAACTGTCACACAGCGTGAGGGAGAATTCTCAACTTCCTTTTGTTGCTATAGCCCCTGCATGTTCCACTGTGTGTGTGTGTGTGTGTGCACGAAGGGAACAGCCCTTCGTGGCCATACCCTGAACGGACTGAGTACCTTTGCCCGCTACCCAGAAATGAGAGCAGGGAGTCAGGTTTCCCCAGGGGCTTGTCCGAGGCCAGGCACCAGTGAGGGGAAGGTCCTGCTCTCGCCTCGGGCTTTCTGCTGCTTGAAACGAGCTCTCTCCCCTCAAGTAATCCATAGCAGAGGGACCCTGAAAATGAGGAATTTCTCTTCTTTAAGTCTCCTGGCCCCTAATTCTGTTTTTAAAGTGTACCCATTTCCTCCATCAACAACATTTTCAGGGATTTAGCCAGAGGGTTTTTAAACCTTTTATACCAACCAGGCCCTTTCACTACAGTGTCAGGTCTAACAGTATCTGAACTGTAGAGACCTCAGTACTTTCACAAGTGAGAGCGGAGGACCGGGTCCTGCGTGTTCTAGGGGAGTCTCCACGTGTCCTCACTTAGTTCTTCTGGCTGGGGTCAGGGTCTTTATAAAAATACAGTGTATCTTCTCCTCCCTCACCTCCCTGCGACCAGACGACCTGAACATCGGCGGGATCGTCGGCGGGATTCTGGTGGTCCTTGCCGTGCTGGTCCTGACGACCGTGGGCATCTGCTGTGCGTACCGGCGCGGCTACTTCCTCAGCAGCAAGCAGAGCGAGGAGAGGTGAGCCTGCCTTTTGTGGGGACACGTGGGCATGAACATGGTAACCAGTAGCCACTGAACTGCTCTGTGCTTCTGTTTCAGTTACAAGAATCCAGGGAGGCCCGACGGAGTGAACTATATCAGGACAGAGGAGGAGGTATGGAGGGAGGGAACACAGAGAGTTCATTTCAGGAACTCAGAAATCAAGGGGTTCCCAGCAGGGAAAATGACATTATTCCTTGGAAACCAAGTGGGTCCCTAGGAGAAAGGTTTTCCTAGTTACATTCCAGAGCCCGAGCCGTGCTCTTCAGAGGAGCGTGTGCACACGCTGATGCATTCACGCATCAGGGCAGCTTTTGCCGTCACGTGTTAAGAATGCTCGCTTTGATTTTCGCCACTTTTCCTTCAGGGAAATGGTGCATTTGACTTCACCACCGTGTTTCCTTCCCCATGACCCCACCAGGCCCCTCGGTGGGTGGAGGATGGCCGTGCTCTAACTTCCTGTTGGCCTTGCAGGGCGACTTCAGACACAAGTCGTCGTTTGTGATCTGAAGGCTCGGTGGGGCTGGAGCACACGCGACTCTTCACTGGAAGCTGTGGAGCAGCTCCGAGCAGCGCACGTGGGCACAGCCAGACACTCGCGCAGCTTTGTTCTGGCCAAAGTTGACCGCTCCTCCTCTTACCTTCTAACAAGCCACACCGGTACAAGAAGTCCCTCAAGACGGGCTGGCGTCACAAGGACAGGCTGACTCCCCGCTGAGCGTGAGGGTGACCTGAGGCTCTGCCCACAGGCTCTGCCGGGTGCCGTGGGCCTGGGTAGCCCGTTTCTTTGCCTCTCACTGTGGTCAGCCGGGGCACGCACGCTGCCAGGGGTGGCGAGGGGTGGCGAGGGGCGGCGGGAATCCCAGTGTGAAGAAGCTGGATCCAGTGCGCCCAGAGAGAGGCTTCTCAGGAAGGACCCTGTCTCAGCGGCTCAGTCCTGCGCCAGGTCTGAAAGGCGTCCATCTTGTGGTCGTGTCCATCTTGGAGAACATTTTGGGTCAGCATTTTATAAAAACAACCAAAATCAGAAAGGTAAACTGCCTGTCGGAGTAGGGGCCTCCTTACCTGTAGGACCCCTGCTTGTCCATGGAGGGTTTCAGTGTTTAAGGAAACCTCCCCCTCAGCCTAAATGTGAAATGGTACAAAGTATTCTGCTTTTCTATGGGTGTTTCTTTTATAGAATTTTACATTCTAATTTTGCTAAACATGTATTTTGGTTATTGAAAAGACAATTTCTATTCAAACTGTAAATATGTTGTCATAAAATGTTGAATAACCTATTTTTTTTTTAAAGTTGAACTTACAGTAGGAGTTCCAAGCTATTTGTGTTAAATTGGAGAATGTCAGTATTGAGAGTGTCTTACCCCAAGGAATTGCTGGAACATTCCTCTTCCCACAAGTGCTTTAGCATTTCTCACAAGAGAATTATGCCCTCGATATATCAGACCATTGTTGCTTAGGAAACCCTTAAAAACTCCAGTTAAATAATGTCCAAGTCTGTCATCTCTCCAAAGAAACACAGAGCTCCCTGGCACTGCTGTGGCCGGGCCCCCGGAAGCTGTGGACACGGTGCCGCCGTGTTCGTCAGCTCCTGGGGTTGAGGCGGTGCCTGTCTGCGGTGCTGGCCTAACCCTGGGGCGGGCGGCACGTCCCCACCGCGACGTGCACTCCGCACCTGCTGCTGGGTTCTGAGCACGGCCCTTTCTGCTTGGGGATGGCTCGCGAAACAAAAGCTACTGCTGTTTGGGTTTTAAACTTATTTAACTTATTTGTGTAGTTCACAACACTGTCCAGGGCCAAAGGCAGTTTTGAATCGTCTGTCAAGTGTAATATTTTTTAAAGACGACGAATCCCACTGTTCCTCTTTGCCTTGAAGGAAGTGCCAACACCGCAGGTTCCGCCTCACTTGACAGCCAAGTGTTGTGCAGCCTGGGCCACAGCCTGGTGCTGGGGAAGGGACCGTGCCTGAATCCAAGGCCGTGTTCTAATGTGGATCTTAGTTTCCGTCCACCCCGGACACTGCCCTCTTGTGGGGGACGTTAGGGCAGTCCAGGGCCCTGGTTCTTCAGATCAGGTCGCCCGGCAGACATGTTCTCCTTGTGCCGTGCAGCGAGCTGAGCGGGGGCTTCTCAGGCGGAGGCCTCGGGCTCCAGTGTGCTTAGGGGGTAGTTTGTGTATAGAACATAGTCATCTTGAGATTAAATTTCAGTTGTTGTAATTTCTTATACTTTGAGGGTTTTTAAAGTCGAAGACTTGAGACCTGTGTTGACATTTGTGTCACGTGAAATACTGTGCCACGGGGAAGCTGGCAGAGGCGGTGGCAAGTCTCCATAGCTGCTCAGTGCTGCCTCCCCGTTTGCATCTGTGTCTTGAATGCTCGGAGTTAGGACTGTCCCTTCACCTTCCCTCTTCCTGGTGGAAAGGGATAGCGTCCCTTTTCTTTAATTCTTGGGGATCAGCACCTCAGCCTCGACCTTGGTTGTCAGAGAGAGGGCAGCCTTACCGCCTCTTCCTGTGCCCTGAAACCCACCCGGTGCCACGTGAACTTCTTGGTCAGGGCAGGAAAGTGAAGGGTGGAGCCTGGGAGGTGGTTGCCTGTTACTGTAAACATGTAGACAGAAGAGAAACATTCATGTTTTCCAATGTGAATGTGACCAAAGGCTTGAGGTCTGAACAGGGCTGCGGTGGCCCTCGGCGTGGCCGTTGCTGTGCATAGATATGGCAGACTTGTACTAACACACCCCTGAACTGGTCTTTGTTAAACCTCATTTATAAAAGCTTTTTAAAAAATCAACTTCGCCTCAGCATTTCTTTCTTACTCCCTCCCCTGTGGGTTTACCCTTCTGCCTGCTGTTCTGTTCAGGGAGCACAGAGGCCCACCTGCACGGTGCATGCAGGGGGCTCTGGGCTCCCTCTGCTGGTGGCTGTCTGCACAGTCGCCTGTGGGAGAGCGTGGGTGGGTCACAGCGAAGCTGCACCCCTCAGACACAACTGCCATGTTCATACCGAAAACAGTCACAGTGACGCTGTGCTTTTAGCACTTGGATTCAAGAGTGAACCAAATGAATTTCTGGTCATGGTTGGTGAAAACACAGACATACGTGTTTTAAGGTTACCTGGGGTGTCAGCAGCGGAGACGGACGCCACGCTCTTCGTGGAGCAGTCCTTGCAGACTAGCAGCTCAGATTAGCGCTAGTGTCATCAGGGAAAGGGACACGACGCATGTTTCCATGTTGTTAGGAGGCAGACGGTATCTGTCTGGGGACACAGGCAGGGGGACAGGTGGACTGAACCTTAAAGAAAAAGTCTTTCTTTTTTATTAACCTAACAGGAAAGATTTGGTTTTATTGTTAAATATTTTATGTAAATTAAAATGACTACCAATAAAAGCCTTGTTCTAAAAATAGAAACGTTCTATTGCAAAAGAATACTAAAGGCTGTATTTATGCTTAACCTTTATTATTGGCTTAGAAAGCTGCACACTTGTCAAAAAATGTGTAGTTCATAAATAAGAATAGAAAAAATATACAATCAAAACCTTGTCATTACATAAGGGAAACTATCTACTATAAAGAATCCCCATCAGCTAACAGAGGTTGGATAAAAAAGCAAATGTGTTGGGCTGTGTTCCTTAGGGACCTGTAGCTCATCGGAATGGACCTGATACTTTCAGATGGAGTAACGTTAAAACATTAAATAGCTAAGGCATTTTTCTATTATTTACAGTTTTTTACCACGTTTGTTCATGAGAAATGGAAGGGACTGGCCAGCTGGAAGCAGGACACACTGGGGTGCTGCGTAGCGCACGTCGGGGCGGGGGGTGAGGGCTGCTGCCCACCCGCAGGAGCCCGCAGGAGCGCAGGCAGGGCCAGGCCCCGCTTCAGTTGGCAGTTTTCAGGGGGCTCTTTCGGAGCGACCTCCTGCTGGGGACTGGGCTGTCTTTATTTCTGGCCGGAGACTTCACATTCCACTGCTGAGGCTGCGGAGGCCTGGGGAGGGAGAGACACGATCATTCTGGAACTGAGAAAATGGACACAGACTACCGCAAAGGAACTCTTGCTGGACTTACGGTTTATCAGGCAGTGATAAACATAAAATGTCATTTCCTTGATGCTGGGCTTCCGTTCTCTCTGAAAGGGAGTCACACACACAAGATCAGATTTCCCAGAGCCCCAGACGCCCACGCACCCGCCAGGAGGGGCACTTGCCTCTGCCAGGGAAGGGGGTCCGCGGTGTGCCGATGTAGCTGACTCCTGCTTCAAACGTGACGTCGCTGATGGTCTCTGAGTGAAGGGAAAGCAGCAAGGTTACAGCGGATAGTCACCCAGCAGGGTCAGTCACGGGGTCAGTACAGGGCTATGTCAAATCCAGCAACCCTGTCAGTCAGGCCTCAGTGACTGCAGGACTGGACACGAAGCTGCACCTTCCTTCCCTCCTTCCTCACATCCACGGCCCTGACTTCCCTCCTCCGCACACCCCTCCTAGGCTGCCTCTCCGGCTTTCTGCCTGCCCCATGTCCAGGTGCTGCCTATATGCCAGTACCCCCAGCTCCGTGTCACACCTCCCTGCTGAGCCTCCTGTCCCCTGCACCTCCCTGCTGAGCCCTGCCTGTCCCCCTGCACCTCCCTGCTGAGCCCTGCCTGTCCCCCTGCACCTCCCTGCTGAGCCCTGCCTGTCCCCTGCACCTCCCTGCTGAGCCCTCCCTGTCCCCCTGCACCTCCCTGCTGAGCCCTCCCTGTCCCCCTGCACCTCCCTGCTGAGCCCTCCCTGTCCCCCTGCACCTCCCTGCTGAGCCCTCCCTGTCCCCCTGCACCTCCCTGCTGAGCCCTCCCTGTCCCCCTGCACCTCTCTGCTGAGCCCTCCCTGTCCCCCTGCACCTCCCTGCTGAGCCCTCCCTGTCCCCCTGCACCTCCCTCCTGAGCCCTCCCTGTCCCCCTGCACCTCCCTGCTGAGCCTCCTGTCCCCTGCACCTCCCTGCTGAGCCCTGCCTGTCCCCCTGCACCTCCCTGCTGAGCCCTGCCTGTCCCCCTGCACCTCCCTGCTGAGCCTCCTGTCCCCTGCACCTCCCTGCTGAGCCCTGCCTGTCCCCCTGCACCTCCCTGCTGAGCCCTGCCTGTCCCCCTGCACCTCCCTGCTGAGCCCTGCCTGTCCCCTGCACCTCCCTGCTGAGCCCTCCCTGTCCCCCTGCACCTCCCTGCTGAGCCCTCCCTGTCCCCCTGCACCTCCCTGCTGAGCCCTCCCTGTCCCCCTGCACCTCTCTGCTGAGCCCTCCCTGTCCCCCTGCACCTCCCTGCTGAGCCCTCCCTGTCCCCCTGCACCTCCCTCCTGAGCCCTCCCTGTCCCCCTGCACCTCCCGCCTGAGCCCTCCCTGTTCCCCTGCACCTCCCTCCTGAGCCCCCCATACCTCCCTGCTGAGCCCCCGTCCCCCTGCACCTCCCGTGAGTTCCCTGAAGTTGCTTCACCCACCCTCCACTCCTCAACATGTCCCTTCTGTGTGCTCCTCCGATCAGAGCGGGATGAGCACACTGGAAATGCCAGGCAGTTAGCTCCTTCTCCACGTCTAATCAGTAGCTGAGTCCCAGCACCTGCACCTTCCACGCCCTCTGCACCCTCCTCCCTCATCTCAGCCTGGTCCGTCCCAGTGGTCTCCCGCTGACGGCCTCCCCTTCCAGTCCCCCCGAGCAGGCAGGAGAGCAGTGTGGGAACACACTCTGAATCAGACTCTGCGTCTTCCTAGTTGACTACTCTAAGAACCCCAGGTTTACCTCTAAAATAGGACACAAATGTACTGACCTCAGGGAGTGTCAGGATTAACTGAGATCATCTACGTCAAGTCTTCAAAACAGTACTTGGTACACAAGGTAAGTGCTAAAGATGTGTTAGCAACTATGTAATTTATTAGCTGTTATCCCGGTGTCACTTAGAGGTAAAATAGTTTAAGGATCTGGTACGGTTACTGCCCTACTACAGCATCCTGAGGGCTCTGTTTAGGGCTCAACAGTCCACCTCCGGCTGAGCCCCAGCATCACAGCCTCTGAGCCGGGCCCCAGCCACTTTCAAGAAAGCCACTTGCACACACTGCCTGCGGGTCACTGGTATCCACGTGATGGCCACTGTTCTCTGAGCAGCCCTGCGGCGGCACATCCGGATCCACACGGGCATCCTGCCCAAGTGTTCTCCCTTCTGGGACCGGGGTGCGCTGCCTCTCCGGGGCCCCTCCTGCTCTGCCCGCCCCACTCCGCCTGAGCCGCTGCAGCCTGGCCGGGGCAGCCTGGCCCGTCCGCCTGCCATCCCTCTGCGAGGACGCTTGTGAGTGAGTCGCTTAGTTCTCACATCCCCTTACACTGTGACCGGAGTGCCGATTAGATCTGTCTGTTTTTTTGTTTGTTTTTTAATCCTGACCCAAGGACATTTTTGCATTTCTCTTCAGATAGAGTGGGAGGGAGAGAGGGAGGAAGAGAGAGAGACATTGACTGGTTGCCACCCACCTGGCCCCAACGGGGCCAGGGACAAACTGCAACCGAGGCACGTGCCCTTAGTGGGAACCGAACCCGGGACTCTCTGGTCCGTGGGCCGACGCTCTAACCGCTGAGCAAACTGGCCAGGCATTTCTGGTCCGTTTTAAAGCCCGTCCGTGCATCTGCAGTGCTGTGCCCGAGCTCCTCAAGCCGTGTGAACAGACGACACACGGCCATTCGCATAGCTCAGTTCTGCTCGTTCCTGCTCCCAGGAGGGCTCTCTTTGTGCTACAACTGAAACCCCTTGCCACGCACACATTCCTCGTCCTGTTGGGAAGCTTGTGGACATCAGTGGCAAGTCTCCAACCCTCCCCACAGCACCGATGCAGGAGGTCTGAGCGCCCTGTACACTTGGACACCCTTAGAACAAAGGCAGAGCACCTCTGCTGCCCGTCACAGTAGGAAGCACTGGCTAAACCTTCACCCCACGGATTTTTGAAATCTAGCTTTGAACATTTCTCATTTCCACTTCTCAAAACCACTCTGTGCCTGCCGAGCAGCACTGGTGAGCCAGAACAGTGGAGCTGGGCTGCGTCCCCATCGGCTTGGGGAGCAGGGACACCTCCTGACAGTCACCCTGCCTAAGAGCTGTCATCAGAACCTGTACTTACACACTACGGAGAAAACACAACGGAGTGGTTTTAAAGGGACAGTCTCCCAGGAGGGAGACCTAGCAGAGGATCCTTCTTCAAGCTTGTCTTCCTGTTCAGATAAGAAGGGATCTCCAGGGATTTTACACTCAAGAGCTAGAGAAAGAGCCCGGGACACCTGCGAGCCAGCCCTGTCTTCAGGAAAGACTGCTGCACACGAGCCTCAAGCAGCATTAACGCAGCACGTGAGGCCCAGGGAGCTGGGCCCTGTGTGGGGCGTGCAGAGCCAGTGGGGATGCCTGGTCCCGTTCTGCAGCATGTGGTACCCAACTGCCCAAAGAGAGCACCTAATGCCCCCAGCCAGGAACAGGAACATACAGAACATTATACCTGTTCAATATACAGGACCCCAAAATGACCCACTGCTTTTAATGACAAAAGCTGTCATGACTCAATTGTCATCTGAGGGGTGGGGGGATTGCATTCATCCATTACTCTCCCTTCTAACGTAGACGTGGATGAAAATAACCTATGACCTGGCAAATGTTCTCAGAGATCACAGCCTCACAGGTAACAGGACCACCAAGCCAGCACCCAGAGCACAGCAGGCGCCCAGCACGACCACCCAAATGGCTGACACTCGGCAGCTCCACTGTCATCAAGAACTGTCCTCATAACATATGCCCAGATGAGCACAGAGAAAGGAGGAACACAGGACTCAGAAAACCCGAGTTCGGGTCACAGCTGTGCCATCCAGCCAACCACACACCTGTTCACACGACCCCGCCCCAGACACCGCGAGGCCGGGCACACGGTAGAGAACACAGCAGCCCACAAACCAACAGCAAGGACAGACTTGTGTAGGTGTGGTGAGAGCTGAGAAGGTGAGGGCACGTGGTCTTGTCTGAAGGGCGATGAGTGGTCACTAGGAAGGGCATGCTCTGGGAGGACACGTCACTGCAAGCCGTCGGGGCAGAGCGGGCCTGCGCAGCGCTGGACGGGACCGCCCATGGCTGGCGTGCAGGTGATGGGGGAGCAGGTGGGGGGCACGCAGAGACATGTGCAAACTACACCACAGATGTTGTCGAGAATTTCTTCACACTGTAATGTTCTCAAAATTACGGTTTTTATGGGTTTTGAGATACTAAGAAGCCATAAAACAAAGCAACGGGGAAAATACACTGCACTTCTCACTCATTTCCCCTTTGGAATGAAAAGGACTAGCCCGGCCGGTGTGGCTCAGTGGCTGGGTATCGACCCCTGCACCAAGAGGTTGCTGGTTCGATTCCTGGTCAGGACACATGCCCAGGTTGTGGGCCTGATCCCCAATGGGGGACATGCAGGAGGCGGCCAGTTAATGTTCTCTCTCATTGCAGTTTCTATCTCTCTCCCTCTCCCTTCCTCTCTCTCTAAAATCAATAAAGAAATAGAATAAAATAAAAAAGACTAGGGCCCTGGCCAGTTTGGCTCGGCGGTTGGAGCATCGGCCTGCGGTCCAGAGAACCAGGTTCGGTTCCCGCTAAGGGCATGTGCCTTGGTTGCGGTTTGTCCCCGGCCCTGGTTGGTCGTGAGAGTGGCGGCCACTCGATGTGTCCCTTTCACATCAATGTTTCTCTCTCTCTCTCTCCCTCCCACTCTATCTGAACATAAAATGGAAGGGTGTCCTTGGTGAGGATAAAAAAAAACCAAACGACTAGGACTGGGAAGAGCCCTGAATGGCAGTGAGCAGGCGCAGGCTCCCGGCATGGCTGGCGGTGGGCTCCTCGGGGTGCCGCTGTCCCTGGGTGAGTCTCAGGGCGCGGTGACAGAATCTGCGAGCTACAGAGCAGGGCTGGCCAGCAAAGCAAGCACCTGGGAGGTGGGGCAGGCAGGCGAGGTGTCAGCTCTGGAAGGCCGAGCACTGCTGCCTCGAGTCCTGGGAGGGTCTGCCCGGCCTCGGTCCGTCGACGAGGCCCTTACGGCTGTGGGCAGTGACCGGGGCTCACACATCACCTGGACGCGCTCTGACGTCCAGCTGGGTCAACCCTGCTGTCACAGATGACGCTCACTTGCTGTAATCCCCCGAAACATCCGACCTGACACAGAGCACTGCCGTGCTGCTGGGCCTCGAGAGCCGCGCCAGTGACAGGACTCTGCAGCGGCAAGGGCGGCCCCGCAGCTTCGGCGGCAGCGGCCGCAGGGGAGAGGACCAGCTACTCCCACCGGCTACTTACTCTCGGGGGTGCTGATGGCTCGTCTGGCCACAGGGTCAGCATTTCCACTGGACTCTTGCTCCAGGCTGTATGAAGATGCTAGAACAGACACAGGGAAAGTTCAGTGCGTCCCAACACCCCAACCGACCTCACAGAGCAAAACAACTAAGTGAGAAACAGTATTTGTAAGACACATGATGAGGTTAATATCCCATATAAAGTGTTCTTATAAAGAGGTAACTGAGAAAGATACAAAAAGATGATGAACAGGAGACAGTGTCCATTTTCACTAGGATTCAGAGAAATGGAAAGGAAAGCCACAGCCATTTTTAGTCTATGAAGCTCAACAACAACAACAGAACCCGGAACGTTACAAAACCAGTGTCTAGCAGGAAGACGGACACTCGGGGCCGAGGGCAGCCCGACAGTGTCAGAAGTGTCTAAAAGCAGTGTACACTAAGGCACAACTTTATAAACACAACCAAGCACGTGTGAAGAGTGGAAAGACTAGAAGAATAAATACCTCACTACTATGGGTGAGTTTTCTATTTCACAATCTTTTCCAAATCTTTTATCACAAATATGCATTGTTTTATACCTATAACCCTAAGCCCCCAAAGTTGTTTTTCTTTTTAGAGAGAGTAAAACAGAAAGTGTTCCAAGGGGAGTGAGAGGAAGCTCGTTCTGGGTCTCAGTCTGCAAGCGCTGCGGAGATGGGCAGGGTCTCCTGAGCCGGGACTCACCCCGGCGGTGCGCTTTGTCCGGGCTCCCCGAATTCAAAGTGAAAGGCAGCAAGCCTATGCTCCGGTTCCGACGCCTGCTACTGGACTCCACGGCTTTCTTGACGGAGTTCAGGATTGCAATGGTACTCAGGGACATGGACCTGTGGAGAACATGCCACAGACGTGCAGAGAGCAAGACAGTGAGGACACGGAGTCACGACCCATCTCCTTCACTCCTTTCCCGCCTGGAAGGGAAGCGCAGAGGGGAGCATCGGTGCCAATAGCGGTGATCCTCCTGCTGCGAGTGCCCGGGGGTGGGGGTGGGGGTGGTCCTCCTGCTGCGAGTGCCGGGGGGGGGGGGGGGGCACGCTCACTGGTTCCGGGGGCTCCGTACCTGGCTTTGGGCATGAAACTCTTCAACTGCCCCTCTTCCGCTGAAGGGGGCAAAGGTGCTGCTTGGCCGGTGCTAGGCCTGGGTTTTGAGGGAACAGTGGCACTTGCTTGGCCATCAGAAGCTGGCACTGTTTCTAAACCTGGAGCAACCTGTCAGAGAAGGTATTTTTAAGAAAAGGAATCTTCAGGTGCGATGAGCAAGTCCGCAGTCATCTACTTTAAAGCACGTCGGCCGAGCACCTTCTCTTCGAAGCAGCACTGTTAGCAGACTGCCTGCCACACGCGTGTTGTGGCATGGAAGAGAAAAGGAGAATGTCAGCTTGTCTTCCGCATTTCTAAGGAGCAGACTGTGCGGCCTTCTCGGCCAGCAGCACACTGCGCCTGAGGTGAGCGCACGCCCCTGGAGACACCCCCGAGCTGCAGGAGGCTCGCAGAGGGGCTGCTGGGAGGACGGCACACCCAGCGAGCAGCCTCGAGATCTAGGTGCCTGTGGAGCACTCGGGTCAAAGGTCACACAGCCTGCTGCCAGCCTGCTCGCTGGGCATTCCCGCATTTCCCCAACTATTACGGCAATGACCTCCCAGGCGAGCTCGGGAGGCGGGGCCTTGAGGGAAGGGAAGCCTCTGTGGTCCAGCTCCCTGCCTGTCACCCTGTCACCATAACAAACAGCGGCCACAGCAGCAATCCTGGGTCTCAGCAGCTTCTGCTTCTGTGTACAGCAGAGAGCAGACTGCAGAGGAGGGTCCGCCTCAGGTGGCCGCTCACCTACCTGCCCGGCCTGGGCCCCGTCAGCACGGTCCGCTGCTCTGTTCACATCTGCTTGTCTCGCCAGCTCCTGCTCCTGGGCCAGCTGCTCGCTGTACTTCTTCATGTCGTACTCCAGCTCTGACGCCAGCTGCTTGTCGACCGCAAAGAAGTCCTTGACCTCGTCTCGGTAGTCCTGCATCACCTCCTGGGGCAGACAAGGCACCTTGACTGCTGCCCTGAGCAAGTCAGCACGCTACCCAGCACGACTTGATGGGCGGTAACAGGCAACGACTTATTTTGCTGAGAGAGGACTGTTTCTACTACAGCAACCAGCAAGGAATGAACACAGCGGTGTTTCCCAGGAAACACCGGCTGCTCTTGACCACACGAGCAAGTGAGCACGGTGTGAGATAGCATCTGAGTCCCGCCCTCCTAGGAAGCCTACTGCCTCTCTGCCTGCTAACAGGTAGTTTCTCAGGTTCCTGATGGGAGCAAGGATGTGGAATCACACAATTTTAGCCAAAAGCCGAGCTTGAACAGGGCACAGGACTGCCTCCAACAGCTACCCCCTTTCTGCTCCTGGAAGCTGGCATGGGGAGAGGGAGGTATGTGGGTGGTCTGGCTAGGCTCTGGGTCACCACCAGTTCAAAGGACCTCACACTGTCACTGAGGCAGGCCCCTGAGAAGTTCAGAGAGAGGCTAGGGGGGTAGGCGAGACATGGCACTGGCCTGGCCCAGGCCTGTGGAGTAAGGTACAGGAACGGCCGAATAAAAGTGACGCCTCCGTCCACACTCGCTCCCGCAGAGGACTGCAGCCATGGCTTAGTCCCACCTCTGTGTCCTCTTCATCGTATCATGGCAAGAACATGCTTAGGTCTAGAGGAGGTTGCAAAGGATGAAACCTCTTTGGTCAGAGAATGAAACCACCTCACCTAACAGGGTTAGAGGGAGGAAAAGAAGTATCATAGCCCAACCAGTCCCAGCAAGGGGAAGGCAGTAAATGGACCGCCCCCGCCACCGCAGAGAGGGCAGCGCGGGTCAGGCGACAGCTGCAGCCGCTCCCACAGCAGGCTCGGGAGCTGAGCTGTTTGGCCCAGCAGCTCCCCCAGCGGGACCAGCCTCGGAGAGTGTGCTTCAAACGGACAAGCTCATTCTCGTCCGTGTTTCAGCAGGCGTTTAGGGTCTGAGCTCTTTTCTGAGGCTAGTACAGGGCAATGGAAATGTAAAACTGGGAGGTTTCATTTTCGTCCAGACACTGAACCTGTCTTTCCCACCTCGACTTCCTTAGGATAAAGAGATGATTGAAAAATTATATTCAATGTAATTTTTGTTGTAGCTCTTTTTAAAAAATATTCTTAGCCCTGGCCAGTTTGGCTCAGCGGTTAGAGCGTCGGCCTGCGGTCCTGAGAGACCCGGGTTCGGTTCCCGCTAAGGGCGCGTACCTCGGTTGCAGTTTGTCCCCGGCCCTGGTCGGTTGTGCGGGTGGCAGCCACTCGATGTGTTCCTTCACATCAATGTTTCTCTCTCTCTCTCTCTCTGTTCCTCTCTCTCCCTCCCACTCTACCTGAACAAAAAATGGAAAAATGTCCTCGGGTGAGGATAAAAAAATATATATATATATTCTTAGTGGTTTTTGAGGAATAAAATAGCAGCAAAGTGTAAACAGAGAAAGGAAAAAGGTGTTGCATTTATTCCCGATGGTAAGATTGTGCCAGGCAGGTCTGGGGCACCAAGTACGCCTGCCTGCAAGTGTACAGACTTCTCGTGGCGAGTGAGGGCGGCCCAGCCTCTGCTGGGTATTCCCCAACCAACGGCTGCTGCTATTGGGCAGTTTTGTCCTGACTTGTAAATCACAGACAGGGTTAAAAGTAAATATCCCTAAATAAAATATGATGACCCATTTTCACTCGATCCCTCACCACAATAAACTTAAGATGATGACTTTGCTTTTGACCCCAGTTGAGAAAGTCTTTAAAACTGAATCTACTTGGATGATCAAGGACAGACACATGCTCAGCAGTGGGTCAGCTCTTCACAAACTCAATTGCTCAAACAAAGGACCAGCTTCTGTGGAACCTACGGGCAAATTCTGTCTTCTCCCCACCAGTCAAAGGCCTGCGGCAGGTCTAGTTCTAAACTAAGGTAATGCTGCTTTTGAGGCATTTTGAGTTCTAGCTGTAGAGCAATAGCCTGGGGACAAGAGATACCAACCCCAAAGCAAAAGGCCATATTTTACCCTGAGATAGTTCATGAGTTCCCGCAAAGCTGGGATCTTATTCTTCTCCAGCACCGTCTTCAGGGAGATGATGATGGGAATAATGTTTTCTATGAAATTCCTCTTCTGAACCTGTAGTAACACAAAGGCGTGTTTTAAATGTATACAGTTCTGAAAGACAAAGACTGTTCCTTGATCTGTTCTTTTGTCTAGCAGATCTAATAGACTATGTAAGTCTACTTCTGACTTCTGAGTATGGTACTGGGAACTGTACAGAATGCAGCACCTTTGTCCTGGAGACTTTGTAAGCATTACCTCAAAACACCAGGAAAGCTTATAAAGTAGGACACAGATAAATAGCATTCTTATTTTCTGAACAAAAAAAGGAACTAGAAATATGTTGAATAATCTGACAACAAGCTCCAAACCGCCACACAAACCCATCACAGACTCTCGCTCCACATCCAGTGCCTCCATTAACACCTCCCTTCAGAATGGAAATGAGTTCCACTGGGCTTTCCAAGAGACGTGTTTATTCCTGTTGGTGAAATGACAGTGGTCCAAAATGGCTAAGCATGCAGGTAGTCAGTTTTGTATCTCTCTGTGTAACTTTGTATATATTTAGGAAAGTGTTAGGTATGGCAGTCCCTGACTTGACCAAGCCTTCATATTCTTTACCATGAATGATCACTAACTACAAATGTTTTGCAATAAATCTCTTAGAATTAAAAATAATTCATTATAGTAGCACACATGTACATGAGTTATCATTCTGACTCTGAAAAGTATTCTTTTTCTTATTTAAAGTCACAAGTACACATTTCTTGCTTGTAAACCACTCATTTCTAAAAAGTCTTATCAGAATTCCTGAAATAGGAGGGTGATAGTCGAGAAACAAACAGTTTAATAATCTGAGTCTAAGCAGGTGGCACCTATAGTGGCTTAAATGTATTCCTTCAACAAATATCAACAATATGATCTCTGTACCAGACACAAAGCTAACCTCTGGGGCACAGAAAGAAAGCCTTCAAGTTACTTCTAGACCAGACTAGAAGTCTGTGTTTTGAGCTGTGACAAGTGGTAGGTGTCAAGAAACGTATGGAAGAGGGATGCCTAGGAAGGGAGTACAACTCAGGGAAGGCTTCTTTGAAAAGATGAGCCTTAGGAGGCGAGGAATCAGGTTGCGGCGGGGACAGGGTGGGAGTGGGCGCAGTGGGCAGCAGCAGCAGTGTGCAGAGGCACAGAGGCGGGAGACACCTCCCGTTGTGGGGATGGACGGTCATCTGGAACCGAGATCTCAGGATGGGGAGCAGGCAGTGAAGGGGTCTGTATGCCTTGAAGAATGGGAATTTTACTCAGAAGATGAGAGGAAGCCACCAACCTACTCACTGAAGATTCCATTAGTGACGTATAACTTATATACAGTAAAATTTGCCCATGCTAAGTGAACACTTCAGTGAGTGGACAGTAGTATATATGGAATGCCCAACACCACAATCTAGATCATTACCCACAATCCATGACCCCAAAAGTTCCCTGCTGCCCCTGCAGCCAATCTGCCTCTATCTAGCCTGTTTGAAGCAGGAGAGAGCAATGATCAGGTGTGTACGGAAGAAAGAGTACTCTGGCAGCAAGAAGTGCGCAGCCTGGACAGAAAGAAACCAGACGCAGAACGGGTGTTGAGGAAACACAGGCTTTCGTAAACACAGAACCAGGAGAAAGGTACAGAGAGAGGGATTTGTAAGCTAAAATGGACACATGAGGTGTGATCATTCTATTTCTTTGGGTGCACAAGTCTTTAGGGCTCAGGTGGGAAACAAGAATTAGAGATCCAGGAATAAGAGCCCGGGGCCTGGTGAGAACCACGACAGCCAGCTGCCCCTGAAGTGCCGGGCCCTTCTCCACGACAGAGGACGCGGGAAGAGAGTGCCGGAGGAGGAAGAGGGATGAGTAGCTCAGGTCGGACATGGAAGTCTGAGACGCTGGTGGCACATCTAGGCAGGCAGTGGGTTCGCACTCACGAGAGAAGTTGGCACATAGTCTCCACGGGGGAGAATCAAGGCCACTGCTGAGATCAGGATCGTGGCCAGACCACAGTACTGAGGGGTGTGGCCAGGCCTCCTTAGAGAACACACTCACTTGTGAGATGAGCTTCTTCTGAGCTTCCTGCATGACCACATTGGCCAGGGCCATGTCATCTTCTTCCATAAGCAGGTCCTTATCTGGTTTCGATCTCATTGCCAAAAGCTTGATTTCCTTTGAGCTGAGGACCTCAAAGGTATCTGAGAGCAGCTCACTGGCGTCCATGTCCAGGGGCAGGATGCCGTCTGCGAAGCACGCTGGGAGAGAGCACAAAGACCGGCCTCTGAGGAACTGTGGCCTCGGGGAGGTACGCTCAGAGCCGGGCGAGCACGCGGCTGCCAGGGCCTGCGTGTGCACAGGCAGTGTCCAGGGAGGACAGAACGGGGTCTTCCTGTAGGACCAGAGTCCCATTTGCTCCAGATCTGCCAGACCATTAGCAGCACAGCACTTCATTGTAAACAGACATTTTATCCCAAACACACATGCCTACCCAAAATACTGAGGCAGATTTTGGATGTAATATTGAATCGCTGTTCATCTGTGAAGTGCTCCAGAAGAAACTTATAGATTTTCATTCGTTTGTCCTTATTTGTCTTTCCCTTCAGTGAAAAAAGCCGCTTCTCCCTGTGGCAAAACAGGACAATTTTACCCCCTCATGTGGGCCAGGGTGAGCAGGACTTAACAGCATCTCGCGGCCACCACCAGTGCTCATCACAAGCGTGTCCCTAGGACCAGGGGCACGACTGGATGTCTTGGTGGGTCTGCCAAGGCAAGTAACGACCGCACAGAAGTGCGTGGGCAGGGTCTGGCCATCTCCCATCGCACCCGGCTCTCCCGGGAGCCTCACTGACCTCTCTGACTGGGAGAATTTGTTATACTTCTCATGCTTCTCGTAGTTATTAAAGTGGAAGATACACTCAATAAAGTGCTGGAAGAACATGACCGGATTCCTCTTCAGTAACAGGTGAGCCAGGCAAAACTCCCCAAAACTGCAAAAAAGAAGGAGGCCCATTGGCTATTTGCAAACAGCCGCTAATATTATGCCAAGAACTCTGCAAAACAGAGGGGAACTGTGAATTAGGGTAAGAGCCACTAAATCTATCCCAGTAAACAGCTTCGTTCACATTAAAAACAAGGCATGAATTTAGCTTCTTTTGTCTGTCCTTGCCCGGCAGCCTCCCTTTGGACTCCAAGGCTGGCATAACGGCTTTCTCTACCAGGCTTCCGTTCGAAACTCTAACATGGGCTCATTAGTCAGCTACACGTCAGAGCAGAGGCCCATGGTCCTGAAGGCCGCTGCAATCAGAACCACCACCTGGAAATCAACACTTGGGCTTTCCCCCTGACCGGAAGGCTGTTGCCCACAATAATGAACAAAAACCAATTTTAGTAACTAAAACTTTTTCAAGAATTGTGGCTAACTACAAGAGCTCCATAGTTGGGTCAGCAGGGCAAGTCCTCTCCACGGACAGCGACTGGCTCACCGAGCTCTGGACCCTCAGCCAGTGCGGCATGCTCCTCTTCCCGTGCCCAGACCAGGAAGAGGCTTTAGCACACACGTACCGCGGCACAGGGACACCGACGTCACTAGCACCACGCCGATCTGAAGGGCAAAATCTAATGGGCTCCCAAACCCAGTGAACACAAACAAAAGCCGGACTGTCCAACGTCAAGCTCCCTGACAGCTCGTCTCATCACGTCAGCAGGTGAGACCACGCAGGGCGCTGCTTTCTGCTCAGGGTCGACCCAAGGTGGTACAGGGCGGGCGCTGATCCTTCACACTGTCCACACCAATGCTGTCGTTTCATTTCAGGGTTACATGCAGTTTCCACCTACACAGTCAGCTCCCCTCGGGAGCGGAGCAGGGACGGGAGCTGCAGAGGGCGTCAGGACTGGCTGCAGGCGTGCCTTCGCCTCCCGCTTCCTCTTAGGCCGGTATTCTAGTCAGTCTGTAGTCACAGCGTACGCATCAGTGAGAGGTCAGAAGGTCGCTCAGAAATCATGAGGTTTAAGGAAGCTTATCACGACCCTTTGACTATCAACCTAGGAAATAAGGGAGCAGTCTGACCTAATTATACAAACAAAACAAGTAAGTCCCACTTGATACAGGGAATTCCTCAGGGGAGACTCACTGAGGCCAGCGAGACGCACCGGTTTGATCTGAGAGTTGTCAGTAATTCTACACACACTGTGTGCTCAGCAACGCAGGTGAGAACGGCAGAGGGTCACAGCGTCAGATGTTGTTCTTTTAAACAAGGGTTACTCCAAGTAAACCGTCGGGGATGAAGAATGGAGAGAACCACTGCACCAACAGAACACAGCCCCGAAGGAAGCGGCAGGCCTTCCGCCCGGGTGCTGATCACAGCTCACCACCACGGCACGACAATTTCCTCAGCTACCCGAGTCTTCTCAGATTTGAAGTCATTCACATGAAAATGTAAAACCAGCCAGAATCCAATAACTCTTCTGCAAGAAGAGAGGCTGCTTGGAGCTTGAACTTCATGTCAAATGCTCCTCTACTTAGAGTCTGGGTCAAGAATACATGCAGGTAGAAGTAACTAGTGAGCAAGACACTTCAGTCGCTCCCCAGTGAATTAGCAGCCTTACCAACTACACAAATCCAGCCAATGGTCGCATAAATAATGCAAAAAAAAAAAAAAGGCATAGGCTCAGGGCTGAGCGCAGACTCAAAGAGCTCCCCGCAGGGTGCGAAACAGACACCCAGTCCGTGGGCCGTGCAGGGCTAACTTGCTGCTGCCTTGGCTGGGTCTCGCGAAGCCGAGCTCCAGCTCTGACTGGACTTAGGCTCACAGACCCTACAGGCTCAGTACGCTGAGGAAGAGGATCTGTCTGCCAGCTGGAGGCTGGAGGGTGTCAGCGTCCCGGGCAGGCCGTCCAGTGCAGAGGGCAGCGTGGTCACTGCACAGAAAACGTGCACCGTTCTAAGAGAGCTGACTGAGAACTCACGCCTTTCTCACTGGTCCTATCCCTCAGGACAACTAACAGACACCAGACGTCAGCACTGCACCACTTCAGGAAGGCTGCCTGGAGTTTACCCTGCATTCACTGCATTTGATGAAAAATAAAAGGAAGACCAGTTAGATCTAAGCAGTAATAATGTTGTGGAAAGAAACGATTAGTCTCTTACTGAAACGAAATCCAGGTTTCAAACGCCCTGTGAGGCTACAGGAAAGAGCAGTCTGTTCATTCGACTTTCAGATTTCGTAGGAAACAACAACCTCCTTCAGATGTCAAGCCACGTGCTATTCTGAAGCGGGCATCTGCTCAGTCAAGGCTGCTGTGCACGGACACGCCTTCCTACCCTGGTCTATCTCAGATTCAAACTGGGGCTCAGAGCCACTGACACCAGGATTCTATCTGAAACTGGAAGCAAGCCATTCCCTGTATCTGAGCACCCCTTGGCCGCATGCAAAGCCGGGCCCTCCTCACCTGACAGTTCCCTCATCTGTCACACTCTGCTGCTTCCTCCTGATCCCACTTCCCGCATCTCCCTTCCCGGCCTGGAACCTTTCTCCCTGCACCCTCTGGTCTTGGTTCCACCATGAGTCCAGCTTCTACGTCTCTCTACCTGCCCTTCATAATGAGAGTGGGCCTTCCTCCAAGGACACCGGTTCTCTCTCAGCCTCTTGAGGGGGGCTGCTGTTCTCTCCAGTCCCACAGCCAGGGCAGGGGGCCAGGTCTTCCCTAAGGTGTTTCCCATTTACCAATGTTCGCTGAGTGTCTACTCCATCTCAAGCTCTTTCATGGGGCTGGGATAGTTAAACAAAATGTCCACCCCTCAGGAAGCTTACATGCTAGTGGACAGACTGATGTACCTACAACACAAATATGTTGCTGAAGGTGCTCTGAAGAAAAAGACCGTTGGGGGAGGATACAAAGAAGGGGCAAGGGAAGCTTGGCTGCTGATTAAAAACACATGATTCTCGACCTGGTTCATATAACAATACTTAGTCTTTTCTCTTGAAGCTCCTGCCATCTATTTTGCCCTCCACGGCTTGGTAACTGCTTCCTAATTTTCTCCATTCCAAATCCTGACATCACTGCTATGATCTGAACATGTGTGACTCTCATTCTCAAAGTCCTATGTTGAAAACCTAACCCCCAGGAGACTTTGGGTCATGAGGACAGAGCCTTGTAAGTGTGAGCAGAGTCTTATAGAAGAGGCCCCAGAGAGATCCCTCATCCCTCTGCCATGTGATTTTCATTTAAGCCATGGTTTAAACAAACTCAATCAGATAAAATGGAAAGATTTAAGGGGGAAATATTAAAATGTTACAAGAGGCACTGACAGTCTTACTAGAGTGTAAATATCTATCTGTCCTAATTTCTTTCTGATTCATGCTCTTATCATCTGTATAGCAAGTTCTGTGTATATTTTACATACAAATCAAAGCTCTTCTTACATATATGTATAAGAGCTGACAAACGTGGGAAAAACAGAACTGCAAGTTAAAGAACCAACGTGCCTCGGGCTCATCATCTGAGAGCCTTCCAAGCACTTCTAACCGAGACCGCTCCGGGGCTACACATCGTTCAGAGCCCGAGAGACAGTCTCGTGGCCGCAGAGAAGGGAAGAGGCACGGCACGGCTGTCTCGGTCCCTTTCCTAATTATATAAACAAAGAAAAATAACCTTAGCTTTTTGCTTCTGACTCAACACAGTAATAATTAGAACATTAACCTCTACAAGTTTACTATGTAAATGTTCCTTCTTGGAAAATTATATTTAAAGGAAACCGAACAGAAATTCTCCAGGGAACTCAGAGGAAATCACTGGTGACCATATTTAGAACAAGAGGGACCCACTATTATAAGCTATTTATAGTTAATGAACTCTATAAAGACCTTTTCCCAACAGTGGTAGCTTTTGCCATAGTATTCAATATTCTATTTCCCAATTGCAGATTTGCTTTAAAAAGAATTATTCACACAACATAATCTAGGTTAGCAAATTCTGTGAGATCATTTTTCAACCTTTGAAAATAAATCTTTAAAAAAAAGTTTTTGAATAAGAAATAAGAAATGACAAAGTAATTCCTTTCCCTTCAGTTTTTAAGCAGCAGCCATTTCGAAGGAGCCTTGTCATTTGTATACTCTATTCATACTGTGAAACTGTGTCTTAGTTCCTAGAATTTCTTCTTAAAATTTCTGCACTTAAAAGCAACTGAACTCTTTATCAAAACTCACACTTTACTGGCCCAGAAATCAGCAGTTAGGCTCACGTGAATGGCTGCCATTCGAGAGCTGCCCTGACGAAGGCACATTCCCTTCACTATTTCTTCAGGAGGAGTGAACAACGTTAGCAAGTGTGGTCAATGCCGACATTATTTCGTAGTCAAAGTGAACACGTTTCTTCCTTAAACTTGTATGCGAAATAAAGCTTTGTTATATAGATTAGTATTTTATATATTTATTTTTTGAATCTTATACATTTGTTTCAATATTGCCAGAAATGTGGGAGAACAGTGGGTCATCCCGTAAAATCTGCTCTGCCCACCCTCACTTGCCAGCTGCTTTTAAAGGGTAGAGAAACAATGACTACGTAAGAAAAGGCAATTAGGCCAAAAGGAAAAAAATGAGGAGAGGAATGTGGGCTGGGGAGGTGGGTGGGTTGTACAATGTTTCGGGCAGGGGCAGTAGTGTGGGCTGGGGAGGTGGGTGGGTTGTACAATGTTTCGGGCAGGGACAGTAGTGTGGGCTGGGGAGGTGAGTGGGTTGTACAATGTTTCGGGCAGGGGGAGGGGCAGGAGTGTGGGCTGGGGAGGTGGGTGGGTTGTACAATGTTTCCGGCAGGGGGAGGAGTGTGGGCTGGGGAGGTGGGTGGGTTGTACAATGTTTCGGGCAGGGGGAGGGGCAGGAGTGTGGGCTGGGGAGGTGGGTGGGTTGTACAATGTTTCGGGCAGGGGCAGTAGTGTGGGCTGGGGAGGTGGGTGGGTTGTACAATGTTTCGGGCAGGGGGAGGAGTGTGGGCTGGGGAGGAGGGTGGGCTGTACAATGTTTCGGGCAGGGGGAGGAGTGTGGGTTGGGGAGGAGGGTGGGCTGTACAATGTTTCGGGCAGGGGCAGGAGTGTGGGCTGGGGAGGTGAGTGGGTTGTACAATGTTTCGGGCAGGGGGAGGGGCAGGAGTGTGGGCTGGGGAGGTGGGTGGGTTGTACAATGTTTCGGGCAGGGGCAGGAGTGTGGGCTGGGGAGGTGGGTGTGTTGTACAATGTTACCGGCAGGGGGAAGAGTGTGGGCTGGGGTGGTGGGTGGGTTGTACAATGTTTCGGGCACGGGCAGGGGCAGTAGTGTGGGCTGGGGAGGTGGGTGGGGTGTACAATGTTTTGGGCAGGGGCAGGAGTGTGGGCTGGGGTGGTGGGTGGGCTGTACAATGTTTCGGGCACGGGCAGGGGGAGGAGTGTGGGCTGGGGTGGTGGGTGGGTTGTACAATGTTTCGGGCACGGGGAGGAGTGCGGGCTGGGGAGGTGGGTGGGCTGTACAATGTTTCGGGCAGGGGGAGGAGTGTGGGCTGGGAGGTGGGTGGGTTGTACAATGTTTCGGGCAGGGGGAGGGGCAGGAGTGTGGGCTGGGGGGAGGTGTGTGGGCTGTACAATGTTTCGGGCAGGGGGAGGAGTGTGGGCTGGGGAGGTGGGTGGGTTGTACAATGTTTCGGGCAGGGGCAGGAGTGTGGGCTGGGGTGGTGGGTGGGTTGTACAATGTTTCGGGCAGGGGGAGGGGCAGGAGTGTGGGCTGGGGGTAGGTGTGTGGGCTGTACAATGTTTCGGGCAGGGGCAGGAGTGTGGGCTGGGGAGGTGGGTGGGTTGTACAATGTTTCGGGCAGGGGGAGGAGTGTGGGCTGGGTGGTGGGTGGGCTGTATAATGTTTCGGGCACGGGGAGGAGTGCGGGCTGGGCCTGCAGGAGCTGGTCGCCAGTGAGTCAGTCACGAGCCCAGTGTGCCGATAACCAGGCTGTTAATCTCTCCATGATGCAGGCAGGCCACCATGTCCTCGGGTTAGAATGGACCGACTCCTGAGGTCAGCTCCAAGGCACACACCTCCCGGCCACGTCAGAGCGGGCTTTTCTTTAGAAAGCTTGCCGATCCTCACACTTCTTGGAACATGTCTCCAGTTAACACTAAGGGATTTTCATCTGCCTCCTTTTCCCTCTTCCCAGTAATGTCCCACTACCCAGACATTAAGAAATGGCCCCCAGGAGGAACTCTGGCCCTGGGCCCTGGGCCCCACTCCTCACAGCCCAAGACCACGGCCACACTTCCCAACACAGATCAGTATTTTAAAAACCTGGTAAATTTCTGGCAACTGCCAAAAAGTTCACTGAATCCTAAATAACTCAATTGTAACCCAATTTTAGAGAAAGAGCTCAGGTAGAGCAGAAGTCAGGTCAATCACTCAGCCGACACGTAGAGAAAATGTACCTGGCAATGTCTGGATGTGAGTCTATCAGAGTGCTGACAAATCGAAAGAACAGAGAGCCCTTCCACTTCACAAATTCTTCCTGTACAAAGAGAAATGGCATGATTAAGAAAGATTTTTAATTTTTTTCCTCTATTGATTTTAGAGAGAAAGGAAGGGAGAGAGCATGAGAGATCAAAACATTGATAGAACATCAATTGGCCATCTCCTGCATGCCCCCCACTGGGGATCAGGCCCACAACCTGGGCATGTGCCCTGACTGGGAATCGAACCGGTGACCTCTTAGTGCATGGGTCAATGCTCAACCACTGAGCCACACTGGCTGGGCAAGAAGGATTTTTAATATATAAACCTTAACAGTAGTCAGTCATAAAATCAACTGTTAACTTCCTTTTGTTTAACATCATAGCCGTCAGCCACTCAAGTCTGTCTGTGGCCCATGAGCAGGCCCTTAGCACTCAATTCCCAAGAGGAGTGGAGGGATACGTGGGAAGAGCACATCAGATCCACTGTATTAGGGACATGACTCAGCGCAGGGCTTCGGAGCCTTCGTCAGGTACACAGAGTACAAAGATGAGTCTACAGAACACACTAGAATAGATGTACATCTTTGTTAAATGCCTTCTTTTTAAAGATCAAACATTATTTTCCCTTCCTCATAGGCTACACGTGTTCTCAATGTGAATAAAAGTGTTAATGCTCTGCAGAGCTTTCCAGTTCTCCAAGTTCTTCACACTGGAAGGTCTCAGTGCAGCCTCGGAGAGCTCAATGAGGTAGCCGGGGAAATGCTGGGCTCCTCACTGTACAAACAAGACCTTCTATCTGAGAAACACCGACCTGTCCAAGAGTCAAGAACAGCAGAACTGGGCTGGAACCACCAGTCTACGGGGCATATCTTACGTAGCTTACTGGCAAAAGAGAAATGTATGCTGCTGGACAGACGCCCAGAACAAGTATTAGGAGTAACGATCTGTTTAAAAGGCTGTACTGAAAATTAGGAGAATGATTATTTTAAACCAAAGATGAGGCTAATTATTTTTGGATTCTACTACAAAGCAGCACATTCTCTACGCTACTCAAATATTCCCTTAAACTGGAAGCAGTGTTAGAGGGAAAGGAATGACAGGTCTAATCCTCATACGAACCTGCAAGAGATTGGTAAGCAAGATGAGCGTTTGCTTTCGGATGAATGGATCTGAATCCTTCAGACACATGGAGATGTTGGGAATGTACTTGTCCACCATGACAGTGTACCGGATACAGAGATCACACATAACAATGACAACATTGTTACGAACAGCCACATCATTGCACACCTCCAGCTCTCGCACCAGGGCCGGGATGCTCTTCTTTGCAAGATCCTCATGCTGTAAGCACAGCTTACCTATCGCAGAAGAAAGTAAGCCATGACTCTATTCTTTGCTAATTAGGCATAGATGCCTGTATTTTCTCTAGAGATACGTTGCTATGAATTTTATTTATTCAAAGTTAAAATATCATGTCAACAATCACACACACACACAAAATCAAAGGCAAAGAGACCCATATTAAGTATTAGGATATTCAAAATAGCTTAAGAAAAAACACCTATCCCATCCTCCAGGATCTCATGAGATATACATTCTTTCACTATAGTAAAATTATCTTCCATTTATTTATTTATTTATTTACTTTTTTTTTTTTTTAAATCCTCACCCAAGAACACACTCACCAACTTTTAGAGAGAAGGGAAGGAAGAGGGAGGGAGGGAGGGAGGGAGGGGAGGAGAGAGAGAGAGAGAGAGAGAGAGAAAGAAATATTGATGTGTATTGATGTGAGAGAGAAACATCAATCAGCTGCCTCCTGCACATGCCCAGACTGGGGCTGGAGATCAAACCTGCAACCTAGGTATGTGCCCTGACCTGAATTGAACCCATAACCCTTGGGCGCATGGGATGATGCTCCAAGCAACTGAGCCACACAAGCCAGGGCAAATTATCTTCCTTTTAAAGTTAACAGTTGAATTTTGGAATTATCTACTTCCCTGGAAAAAATGACCAATAAAATTAATAATGAACTTGATCTGAGCTAGGTAATTAGGAAACAATGGTAATGTCATTTATTTGTCATATAAAAAAGAAGGCTGTTGTTTGTGGAGTGTGCGTGCGTGTGTGTGTGTGTGTGTGTGTGTGTGGTCTGGGGAAAGTTTTGCTCTTATTTACAATTCTTAGTTGTGAGAAAAAGTAAAAATAACCATTATTACAAAAACATTCATGACTCTTACCCAGCATAAAATATACAATCACACTAAAGAAGACAAGAATCAAATTATAAATAGGGATTAGTGTTTTTGAGATCAACACCAATTTGAGTTCATGAGTAAGTAAGTACATTTAATAGCACATTTACCAGTCCTGGAAAGTATCAAATAAACCATCTCCTTTTATAAACTAAACTGCAAATTTATTTTTTCATTCCTAGAACTCAGTGTAGTGCCTGGTATACAGTACTGGATGAACAGACTTCATGGTGCTACAGTATGAGTATAAAAATGTAAATCACAGGAATAGGTATAATTGTAACAAATTAACATAAAAACAAAGTTCCCTACTGGGCATGTCCTGAGCCTGACGTCTTGGGCAGAGTTGGGTGCTTCTATGAGAATTGCCTCAAAACTCCCAAGACCTAGAGTTCAAGTATATGCTCAGCATACAACCAATTACTGGCTTATTTAAGACAAAAAGCTACACAGGAAACTAGACTGCACAGGTGATACTCTCCCCACACGTTACTCTGACTTACCCAAGGTAATGATGGCGTGTGCTCTGATCACAGCAGGCATGACAGAGCCTCTGACCTGGGAGAGCGGTTGAGAGGCTGGGGCTTCACTGCTACCTTGAGAGGATGTCACTACAGGGGAAGGAAAAAGGGCTTGTTTACAGTACTCCAGGGGCTAACACAGACCTCAGACAGCGTCTGCAAAGAATAATTGTAAGTGCCTTACAGTGCTCCGCATCAGCAGAAGAAGCTAGGATGGACTGAATCAGAAGGAAGGCTCGCTTCTCCACTCTGGCTGGACAGAGTTGGGCTACATCTCCTAAGGTAAAAATATATTTCACCTGCAAAGAAAATTGCAGTAAAAATAAAGCAAAAACTAACTAACTAACTAAATAAACTCTAGCTATAGATTAAGGACACTCCAATGGAGTACATTTTTGTCCCCCAAATTTAAAAGAACTATTTTTTTCCCATAAAAATAAATAGCCATTTAAAAAATTCAGTTACTACTAAATGAAATACACCCAAAATTCAGGTCACTAGATTAATTTTATTTTAATCCTCACTTGGGGGCATGCTTAGAGAGAGGAAGGGAGAAAGAGAGTGAGAGAGAGAAACATCAATCAGTTGCCTTCTGTATGTGCCCTGACTGGGAATCGAACCAGCAACCTTTTAGTGCACAGGACGATGCTCAACCCAGATCTTTTTATCATCTACATTTAGATACTTCTGCAAGTAAAAGGGGGTGCTGTCTATAATTATGCTGTGATAACAGATGTATAACATGATTAGCATGGTAAACAGGTATATAAAATTACCTACTTAGGCCCTGGCTGGTTTGGCTCAGCGGTTAGAGCGTCGGCCCGTGGACCAGAGAGTCCCGGGTTTGTTTCCCGCTAGGGGCACGTACCTCGGTTGTAGTTTGTCTCCGGCCTCGGTTGGGGTTGTGCAGGTGGCAACCACTCAATGTGTCTCTCTCATGTCGATGTTTCTCTCTCTCTCTCTCTTCCCCCCTCTCTCCTTTCCACTCTGTCTGAAGATAAATGCAAAAATGTCCTCGAGTGAGGATAAAATAAATAAATAAATTACCTACTTAGTATAATCCTACCACTCAAAGGCCATATCATTATTATTTTTGTATATATCTTTCTTTTCAAAGTATTTTTATAGTCCCATAGTTTTATTTGCTCTTTAAATATACTTACCAATTATATTAATAATTGCAAACTATTTTGAAGTTTGCAATTATTACTTTCAATGTTAGGCATCCTTTCATGTCAATATATACAATAAATACATTTAATGACTATATAAGTATGTTAAATCTATGGATGTCGTCATAATTTACTGCATTATTCCAATCTAGGTATGTGTCCTAACCAGGAATTGAACCTGCAACCTTTTGGTGTATGGGTCAATGCTCTAGCCAACTGAGGCCAGGGCACCTTTAGATACATTTACTTCCTTAAAAGTAACATCCAGGGTTAAAGGACAAATAAACTATTGTACATTTAAAAATATATTTCCCAACTGTCCCCCAGATTAGTTTAGTATCCAGACTCCTACCAAAAACTCAGAAGTACTGCTGCCTCGCAATCGCCACTGCCGCGTTGATCAAGGACATGCACTTCACAGTTAAGTAACACTGCTTATGATAATCCCCAAAATGAAGGATTGATGCCAAACAGGAAAATGCTAAGTAAAGGTTTATTTTAGATTAAGAAAGCCAATAACTTTGTGTTTAAAAAATCCTGAACAGCCCTGGCCGGTTTGGCTCAGCGGTTGGAGTGTCGGCCTGTGGTCCGGAGAGACCCGGGTTCGGTTCCCGCTAAGGGCACGTACCTCGGTTGCAGTTTGTCCCCGGCCCTGGTTGGTCGTGCAGGTGGCAACCACTCGATGTGTCCCTTCACATCGATGTTTCTCTCTCTCTCTCTGTTCCTCTCTCTCCCTCCTGATCTATCTGAACAAAAAATGGAAGAATGTCCTCGGGTGAGGTTAAAAAATAAAAATAAAAAAAAATAATCCTGAACAGCCCTGGTTTGGCTCAGCGGTTAGAGCGTCGGCCTGTGGTACAGAGAGACCCTGGTTCAGTTCCCGCTAAGGGCCCGTACCTCGGTTGCAGTTTGTCCCCGGCCCTGGTTGGTTGTGTGGGTGGCAGCCACTAGATGTGTTCCTTTCACATCGATGTTTCTCTCTCTCTCTCTGTTCCTCTCTCTCCCTCCCACTCTACCTGAACAAAAAATGGAAAAATATCCTCGGGTGAGGATAAAAAAAAAATCCTGAACAGCCCTGGCCGGTTTGGCTCAGCGGTTAGAGCGTTGGCCTGCAGTCTGGAGAGACCTGGGTTCGGTTCCCGCTAAGGGCACGTACCTTGGTTGCAGTTTGTTCCCGGCCCTGATTGGGTCGTGTGGGTGGTGACCACTCGATGTGTCCCTTTCACGTCGATGTTTCTCTCTCTCTCTCCCTCCCACTCTATCTGAACAAAATATCAAAAAATGTCCTCAGGTGAGGATAAAAAAAAAAATCCTGAACATATTTTATCTGTTCGTGAATTAAAGGAATATTTAAATCATATTTAAAGAGTTAAGTACACAATATATATAGGGTAAAACTTCTCCATGTATATTTTGACTAAAGGGTAGATTTTGGTGACATATTTAACAGTGAAACAAAACCTAGGGGGAAATACCGACTGGTCATCACAAGCGTTTTTCTGAGTTTGGGCAGAGACCCTCTAAAAACCCTGGGTCGAAACCATTCTACACATGGCCCTGGCCTAAAATGTCCAAATCCAACTGACAGTGATAGTTTTATTTCTGAACTGTATGCATATCAATGCCTCAGACACAAATGGTCTTCCCTTCTAACAAATGTAAACGGTCTCCGTCACTTGGTGCAGTGCCAGGTGGCAACGTGGGAACGGAGCACAGAAGAGCGGTGCCCGACTAGTTTTCAAATACACGAGGGAAAGAGCCAATTCTGGTTAAACAATGGCCTATCCTAAAGGACATTAAAAAAAAAAAAAACAAACTCATTATTTTCTTTATTGAACAAGTGCCGGATGTTGGAATCAGAGTATCAAAATTACCAAAATGTATTTTGTGACAACAGCCACTCGAACCAGAACACAGGCTCCACATTTACTGGCTCACGGGCATCCCTGGCGCTGACCTCTCTCTAAAGCAAAGATGCACGTCAGATAATCCTGCTGCTCCAACGTCACTTGTGTTTCCATTTTTCAAATTCCTCCTTTTATTTTAGAACTGCTCAGCACTATTCCCTCGTTCTACAGTCTGATATTCAAAACGCTTAGCAGACACATTATAATTTTTAAATCAAACAAACCAATCAAAAGAACAAAAAGTATACTCACTTTATTATTTTCTCACATTATTTCTAAGCCTGACTCTATGACGCACACAACACTGACTGTTTCCCTGCTGGATCAGGTATCTCATAGGATCTAACTGGAGGAAGTGTATACCATCAAGTTGTCCCCCACCCACCCCCGGTAATAAGAACAAGAAAAAAATGGCCCTGGCCGGTTTGGCTCAGCGGTTAGAGCATCGGCCTGCGGTCCAGAGAGACCCGGGTTCGGTTCCCGCTAAGGGCACGTACCTCAGTTGCAGTTTGTCCCCGGCCCTGGCTGGTCGTGCGGGTGGCAGCCACTCGATGTGTCCCTTTCACATCGATGATTCTCTCTCTCTCTCTCTCTCTCTCTTCCTCTTTCTCCCTCCCACTCTATCTTAATAAAAAAGTGGAAAAATGTCCTCGGGTGAGGATTAAAAAAAAATGAATAGGTTATCAATAAAAACATTCTTCTAAGAAAAGAGTAAGCTTTAGGCTAGGAAAATCCTTTTCTTGCTAATAGTATTAAAAACTCACATTCAAAAGTCATCTTTTTAAAACCCCAACTGATATACAGAGAAAACAATGGTTAAGAAAAGTAGTTCCTTACCACCAGGTCTTCATCCATATTCCCAGCTCCGTCTTCCTTCAGAACGATGTTGGAGAGGCAGTGCACACAGGTGGAGAGGACATCCCCGCACACCTGCTTCAGTAACTCCTATGGCAAGGCAAAGGTCATCTCTGAAGGATTTTATACACCTATATCAGACTATTCAGGAAACACAACTTTCTCAAGAAACTTTATGATCTTCAAATGTATAAACCATAAGTCACAAAAACCCAGCCATCATGCTTTTGTATCTTTGTTCCTATAGCAATCTGGCAAGTGGCAACGTGAAATTCACAAATTATATATATATATAATTTTTCTTTTAACATCTGCCTTAAGAGCAAAGGGCATATGTTTGGGAAGATCTAGTGTCTGAATTTATAAGAAATCTATAATAGCAGTGCTCCTCCAATAATAAAAATATTGCAATTCTTCTGACAAACGTAGATGATGAATTAACCACTGTAATAAACAAGTACAATAAAAATGAATAGATGTTATTCTTCTGAAATTTATTCATCAGAAACACTTTTCAGTGTCTCTTATTAGTTAAAGTAACTTAAAAGGGGCACCACCTCTATCCTACAACATCTAACTACACTAACTAGGGATGGAGTTCAATCTCATTCAACTCCGACTTTAATTTCTCCAGGAGGCCATTTCAAAATACCCAGATTGAGCAAAGTGGCTGCAGCCCAGTACTTCCATGTTACCAATGTACAGTTCTATTTTAGGAATAATTATATCACACTGAAATTAACTGTTCACTTATAGGTCTCCCCTACTATGCTGTAGAAGCCTTAGGAAACAGTCTTCATCCCAGGGTCTAGAGCAGTACTACCACAAATGGTACTCAATGTTTGTCAAAATGCTGGCCAGCCGTCATTATGATTCAAATATTTTTTATCAATTACAGTTGATATTAGTTTCAGGTGCACAGCATAGTAGTTAGCCCATCATATACTTTACAAAGTGTTTCCCCCTGATATTTCCAGTATCCACCATACATAGATAATACAATATTATTGACTCTATTTCCTATGCTGTACTTTACATCCCTGTGACTATTTTATAACTACCAATTTGTTCTTCTTTAGTCCTTCACCTTTTTCACCCAGTCCAATTCCCTTCCCATCTGGCAACCATCAGTTTGTGCTCTGTATCTGAGTCTGTTTCTGTTTTGTTAGTTCATTTATTTTGTTCTTTAGATTTCACATAAATAAAATCACATGGTATTTGTATTTCTGTCTGACTTATTTCACTTAGCATAATACCCTCTAGGTCCATCCATGCTGTCACAAATGATAAGATTTCATTTTTTATGGCCAAGTAATATTCCATTGCACATATATACCACTGCTTTTTTTTTTTTAATCTTCAACCAAGGATATTTTTCCATTATTGTTCAGACAGAGTGGGAGGGAGGGAGAGAGAGAGAAAAATCAATGTGAGAGAGACACATTGACTAGCTGCCTCCCACACGACCCCGACCAGGACCGAGGATGAACTGCAACCAACGTACATGCCCGTGACTCTCTGGTCTGCAGGCTGACACTCCAACTGCTGAGCCAAACTGACCAGCGCTACCACTGCTTTTTTGATGGGCACTTGGGTTGCTTCCATAGTTTGGCAATTGTAAATAATGCTGCAATAAATATACAAGTGCATATATTATTCTGAATTAGTGTTTTAGGTTTCCTCGGATATATACCCAGAAGTGGAATTGCTAGGTTATAAGGCAGTTCCACTTTTAATTTTTTGAGAAACCTCCATTCTGTTTTCCATAATAGCTGCACCAATCTGCATTCCCACCAAAGTGCACGAGTGTTCCCTTTTCTCCACATTCTTGCCAACACTTATTGTTTATTGATTTACTGATGGTAGCCATTCTGACAGAAAAGAGGTGATATCTCACTGTGGTTTGAATTCACATTTCTCTTATGATAAGTGACGCTGAGCATCTTTTTATATGTCAATTGACTGTTATGTCCTTTTTGGAGAAGTATCTATTCAGGACCTTTGCCCATTTTTAAATTGGATTTCTTTTTGGTGTTGAGTTGTATAAATTTTTATTATTAACTACTTATCAGAAGTATCATTGGCAAATATCTTCTCCCACTCAGTAGGCTGTCTCTTCCTTTTGTTGATAGTTTCTTTGGCTGTGCAAACCCTTTTTATTTTGGTGAGTTCCATTTATTTACGTTCTCATTTCCTTTGCCCGAGGAAATCTATTATGGAAAAACATTGCTAAGAGATTTTACTGCCTATGTTTTCTGAATTTGAATCTTACATTTAATCCCTTTTAGGTTTATTCTTGTATATTACAAAGATTAGGTTATCTCATTTCAATTTTTTGCATATACTTTAAGACTTTTTGTTTGTCTTCAACTTTTGCTATTTTATTATGATGTGTCTTGGTGTGGGCCTCTTTGGGTTTATCTTGTTTGGGACCCTGCACTTTCTGGACTTGTGCGTCTTTTTCCTCCACCAGGTTACAAAAGTTTTCAGGCATTATTTTTCTTCAAATAAGTTCTCAACCTTTTGTGTGCTCTCTCCTACTTCCGGTACCCTTATGATGCAGATATTGTTACACTTCATGCTGTCCCAGAGGTCCCTTAAACCATCCTCAATTTTAAACAGTATTTTTTTTTCCCCTGTTCTTATTGGGTGTTTTCTGCTATCTTGATTCTCTGCTTCTTCAGATATTGTTTTCATTTCTGACTAGTTATTTGTTTTCTATGTCCTTTTTTAATTCTTACTATCTCTTTAACTTCTCACTGAGTTCATTCATTCTTCCTCTAAATTCCATGATTATCCTAATAACCATTGATTTAAACTGTATCTGGTAGATAGCTTGCCTCCATTTCACTCAGTTCTTTTTCTGGGAATTTCTCCTGTCCTTACATTCGGGGCGTGTTTCTTTTTCTCCCCATTCTGGCTGACCCTGTGTTTGTTTCTGTGTATTAGGTAGATGTGCTATGTCTCCCAGTCTTGGTAGGATGGCCTTATATAGTGGGTATCCTGTGGAGCTCAATGACACAGTGTCCTTCATCACCTGAGATAGGTGCTACAAGAATGTCCCTTGTTTATGTTTTATGAGCCCTCCTGTTATAGACGAGTCATGATTGCTGTTGGCCCATCTGTGCATGGAGTTGACCCTCAGGCTGGCTGACTGAGGATCAACCCTGACCACAGAGATGCTATGTAGATGCTGACAACACAATGCTGAATTTGCCACAGCAGGGTCTGGTGCCCGCTGAGATCTCTTTTTGAATGTGCTGCTTGAAGAGCTAATTTGGTCCTGCTCTGATGTGATCTGAAGCCTGTTACCAGGTGTGTGGGCTCTGGTGCCTCTTGGGAGAAGCTCTGGTGCAGATCAATGCCAGATGCTGCCTGTGACTGGCCCTGAGCTGCCTGTTAGAAGTTATAAAGCGATATACAAAGTTTCTGCTGGAACTGGATGACATGGAAGGGGCTGAGCTGTGTATCAAGGCCAACTCCCACCAGCACTGAGCCTGGAGGCAACAGGTCAGCAAAAGTCCCAAGGCAACCTGAGAGAGCCTCAGGCAATACTTGAGTTGTGTGAGGTAGGTTCTCAGTGAGTCACCAGGTAGGGGCAAGTGGTGTTCACCATACTAATAGAGATTCAAACTCAGTGCCAGAGCTTGGTCTGAGGCCACTCTGCAACATTCTCAGCATACACCAAGGCCAGCTACCACCTGCCTGGGGCCTGTGAACCTTTGTGTTAGGGCAGGGTCTCAGGGAGTCATCAGGGTGAGGCTAGTAGAGCTCATCACTCTAAAAGCAAAGGCAATTAAGATTTGGCTGTGTGGAGGAAAGGCTCTACCCAGGGAGAGTGGCAATGGTCAGGGTGTGCAGTGGGGGAAAATGGACCTCCTCGAGAACCTACCAAGAAAGTATGCACCTCGGGGCCAGGCTGGCGTAGCCAGCAGTCTGCTTCACCGAGCATTAGCTAGACAAGGTGGGGCCACAGAGTCAGGAGGGTGGGGCTGGTACATCTTCCGGAGGTTTGATGTGGCATGGAGGGGAGTGCTAGACCCAGGAAAGATGGCATCTGTGGGCAATGTGGGAGAGGGACTCAGCACAGGGACAATGGTAGCTGTTCTTGGCAATCCTGGAAGACACACAACCCAATCTCTCTTGCTAGGACTCCAGTATGTTTTTAGCCACAGTCCCTCCACTGGAGCCCAGGGTGAGTGCCTGTGAATAAGATTTTGTGTGCTGACCCTTTTAGAGGGTACCTGTGTTTCTTGCAGACTCCTGTTTCTCTCTGGCAGAAATCACCCCACTGATGTTCATAGCCAGATGTTATGCAGACTCCTCTTCTAGGCACAGGTGCTCCAGGATGGAGAGCCCAGTGTAGGGCTGAGACCCCTTGCTCCTCAGGGTAACTTTGCAGCTAAGAAATCCCTCCTGATTCATGTATGTGTGGGGCCAGCCCTTTGCACCTCTATGCCCTTCCTACTAGTCTCAGATGTGGCTTCTTCTGTAAATCAACGATTATGAGACTTCTGTTCAGCTACCCTTCAGTTGGTTATTCAAGTTGACTGTTCTATAATTTAGTTATAATTCTGGTTTGGTACTGGGAGGAGGTGGCAGTAACGGCTACCTACTCTGCCATCATCTTGGTCCTCCTTGATCCAAATGTTTTTTCATCTGACTTAGCCTAATGTTTCAAAACTATGCCCTGGCCTGTTTGGCTCAGCGGTTAGAGCAGCGGCCTGTGGTCCAGAGAGACCCAGGTTCGGTTCCCGCTAAGGGCATGTACCTCGGTTGCGGTTTGTCCCCGGCCCCAGTTGGGTTGTGCGGGTGGCAACCACTCGATGTGTCCCTTTCATGTCGATGTTTCTCTCTCTCTCCCACTCTATCTGAACAAAAAATGGAAAAATGTCCTTGGGTGGGGATAAAAAAAACAAAACAAAAAAAAACAAAAAAAAAAATCTATTACCTATATTACCTTTTAAAGAAAGATTATACAACCTGGGCTGTAATGCTGTCCAAAGGAGCTTCTGGAATCCATGTGCTCTATCCTGCTGAGAACCCAAAGGCTAATTTGCTTGAGACCTCAAGCCTAGAATTTGGCTGGGTATCAATAGTAATAATTTTGGAACCACAGATTGTGAGAGAGAACCATCAAGGCCATCCAATCCTGGGACTCCTGTCAAGCTGTCCAGCTTCTTTGTGAACACCTCCAATGACTAGAGATGTGTTCTGAGACAAGTCTATTTTAAGCAGCCCTCAGTGTGGTTTTTCTTCAGTTGGCCAAAATCTGTTTCCTTGAAATTTCCACCCACTGTTCCAAATCAGTCCTCTCTGATGACAAATAAACCCAATTCTTCCATTTTAAAGTCCTTCACGTGTTTGAATCTAGTGAGGCACCCTATCCTACATGTCTTCCCTTCTCCAGCTAAACATCCCAGATCTCCAGCTGCTCTTCATACAGCCTACTTGTGATCCCACCAAATCACTCTCCTATAGCTATACTCAATTTTATCAACATTTCTCTGAAGACTTGTCATTAAAATTGAATTATATAACAAGTCAACTTAGACTTAACCAGTACAAAGAGCAGAACCATCACCTCTCTTATTTTATTAATATAATCCAAGATTTCATACATTTTTTTCAGTGATAGCTACAAACACTATTAACTCATACCAAAATTACAGACAGCAAAAATACCCAAAGACCTCTTCTTTTCACATGCACTGCTGTTGAGCTATATCCTGATCATCTATAATGTTTTCCTTAGTAAATACAAAATGTTCATTCACAAAGAAAAGAAAAAGAGATGTTTAGGGGAAACAAACATGTCATATAGATTTAAAACCTAAGATTCTGGAAAAATCTCAGGTCCTCAGTCCATTGTCTACCACTGGTTTCCATCCCCTGACTAAGTAGAAAATCATCTGTGATGCATTCTTGAAAAGAGGGTGGATGTGAAGGAGGAGGACATACAAAGCTATCATAAGCATCTAGCCTACAGCTTATTAAAAGATAACTTGCAGAGTTCTCCACCAAGGTGGTGACTTTCCAAGGGAAAGTCTTTAGCAGCCACGATCTTGGGAAATGTCAACTGCTTGTCATACTAAGTGTTTCCTTCTGTTGCAGTAACAGCTGCTGGGGACTACCCATCCGTACAGGTTCTTTACAGAGAACACGTCTCAAACTTCAAAACAGTAATAGGTCTATTAAGTACAAATAAATGACAAACATACTCAGGAGAGTTTGTAGCATACCTGCTCCTTCACCGGTGTCTCTGCAGATGCTCTGCAGAGTCTTTGCAAAGTATCAACAGCTGAGCTGATCAACTCTAGAGACCAGTGGAATCCACTCAGCTTACACTTGACAACATCTAAAAAGGAAGTAAAAACCCTTGAAGTTTAACTGCTTTTAATATATATAAAGTGAAAGGCAATGCCTTTTTAAGATTCTCCAAGAGACACTCACCAGTTATCTTGTCTCGGGTGCTCTTTGGAAGATGCTGTGCAATATGCCCAATAACACACAGAATATGTCCTAAGGTGTTTGAATTGGGATTCTGTTGACTAAAAAAAGGGCAGAAGAAATATCAATGTAGAACCAAAGTAAACACTGCTGCCAACAAAATATTTTTCTTCTGGATTATTAATACCAGGGTAACATGGTTTGGGATTCAAGCTGTAAGAGCATTAAGGCACTTAAAGTACAGAGAGTAAATTGAAAGTTTAAAAGTGATTCTTACTTTTCATGTTTGTTTTTAAGCTTTAATTAAAAAAAAAAAAAAAAAAGATCCGTGTATATAAACAACTATAAAATAGCCCATTTCCATAGACATGAGCTTTATTTCCAAGAATCTTTAGTGTGTCCATCAGTAGCTAAGTTATAAGGATGCAAACCTGCTGATTTCTTCCCAGGACTCGATTACTTTGGTGTAGTCGAGCTTGGGTGATGAGCAAGCAATCTTGGAGAGCAGCATCCAGGCTGGTGCAGAATGTTCCGTGCCAGTGTGGGATAGCATATTATTTATAAAAGCAGATGAGAATTTATCTTTCTTGGACCAGATATAAAAAGCCTTATTTAAATAGCGGCTGGAAAAAAAAAAGATGGAAAAGCAGAATTGTAACTATAAATATACAAAACTGTTGAGATCAGCCCCTTTAGTAAAAGGATATCAACTGCTGCTGCTTGGGATCCCTTTTACACATCTGATACCACACTAGGTATCTTTTTAATTTTTATTATAGAGAATAAGATATATTTATTTCTGCCCCCATAAAGTATTTATTTTTAAAGCAAAGGATAAAATTTCATTACTTATTTGAGAATCATTTCATCCTCATCCCCTCTAAATTTTATATACAAACATATGGACTATGCTACCAATAAAAACACATCCAGAGTTTATAAAGTTGTAATGACAAAAAACGTAGACACTGTCCTTTTTCCAATGGAAGGATTGGAGAGAAATTACATCCTAGCATTTAAACACAGTGATATTAAACAAGTTAAAATTTGTTATGACTTGCCAATACCACTCAGACATACATATTTCAATCTTTTAAAAAATAAAAGAAATGCATCTGATGTATTAGTTTGTTATGTCATTATTGCTTTTAAATCATTTATTTTCCTTCTTTCCATAGCACTGAATGAGATCTTATGACTCATGAGACAAATGCAACATTATATATTTAAGCAAAGAGAAAAAAACACTCCTTCCCCCAATTAACTGTTCTTAGACTGCTAGGAACACACACACACACACACACACACATGCACAAATTAAGACTTTCTCATTAAACAAAAATCAAGGAATTCTCAAAGGTTGCAAAAGGCAACTATAACGAAATAAGCATATCTACTCACAATAAGCATATGCATATTAATAAATGGTTTTATTAGTAAAGTACCTATTGATTAAAATCTATCCATATATGTCTAGAGTTTACTTCAGAGAGCTCACAATATAATTTTTATCTGATGACTGTCCAAAAAACAAGATACATGCAATCAACAATATTTAAAAACGTATTAATAAGAATCACACATAAAGTAAGTGATGTTCACTACAGGAAGCCAACAGAATAGGGAAAAAAACAATTCTCTGAACTTCCAGTCTCAAATGTGGCTCCTCTCTAACAACCCCCTCCCTCCACATCAGTTGAGCAGCTGCTGAAAGGCCTCTTAATTTGCCCCTCAATTAGCTCTACAGCTGATCACAAGCCATTCCCTAACAAGTCAGAATGTGATTCCACAATCACAAACCAGTTCTCTGGAAAAGCGTCATTGACCTCAACCCTATCCAATGGATAGTCTTCAGTGCCCATTTAACATGACCTCTGCTAGACATCATTGGCCACTCTTTTTGCCCTTAAATTCTGGTCTGTTTGAACTCTCCTTTTCCCTTCACTAATTCTTTTTCTTCTAATCACTTTAATTGCAGATTTTGAACAGCTCTATTCTTAGTTCTCTTATCTTGTCTACAACCTAACTCTGGGGTCATCTCATTTATTACCAAGAGCTCCCCATTCAGACTTGCAAAAAAGCATGCCAAGTACACATTTATAATTGAACTTCCATCTCCAGCCCTCCCTCTCCTCCCCATCCGGCCTACCTCTGCTTTCCATGCCTAGTCAACGGCAGCCCCACTGACCAGTCATTTTAGTTAGAATTCTTGGAGCCTTCAGGCCTCCCAGCCTTTTTGCATTGCTATTCCCTGCCTGGAAAACCTCACTATCTTAGCTGCCTGGTTAATTTCCACTTATTCCACCTCTGGGAATGATTTACCTCATGCCACCATCTCAAGGATGTCACTTGAAGCTAAAAAATTTAAAAATTGCTCCTTTAACTCACTTTCTACTGAAATTCTGAATTTATTTTGTCTCTTTCCCCGCTAGACTGAGCAACTTCAGTAGAGAAAGTGCACTGATTTCCTTCACCCTTCACACCACATCTTCGCCAACTCTACCCTTCCACTTGTTCAACATCTGAATAAAGCCCATTCTCTCCATTTCCACTGCCGTCACCTTGACTGAGGCCCTCATCCTCCTTAACTTAAATCAGTTCAGTGGTGGCCTGTTTTCTTGAACTCTAATCTTGTATCTTGGTCATTGAACACAAGTCCATTTACTACACTTCCTAAAATAAACTGTATTACTCCTGCATTTTAAATTCATCAATGGCCTCCCAAAGCCTCTGCCCACCCTGTTTTCTCTCTACCGTCGAACATCTTACATGCCGTGTTACAGTGCGCCAGCACCTGGGCCCTGCTCACCTCTCCAGTTTCATGTCATGCACTCCCCACAAGCACCGTTACCCCCGCCACACTGACATCCTGTGGCTCCTCCTCAGTGTTCACGGCTTCATGCATGGCTTTGCCCTGGCTGTTTCTTACTTTTGCCCCCTTATTAACCTCCAAAATGCAACTCAGCGGTTGTCTAATCTGTGAAGTCTCTCCTCAACCTTTCTTGATACCCTAGTAATTTTACTGAAGAATTCATCACAAGACTTTGTTTACAAATGTTAACTGAACTCTACTGAACTATCTCTTACTGTTATCAATAATTATTTTCTACTTCGATTCCCTAGCTCAGTGGCGCTCACACTCACACTTTTTCATCTCAAAGTCCTTTTAAATGATTAAAAAGTACTGTCCACCTTGAATGCTTTTGTTTATGTTATATCAACATTTGCTATGCTAGAAATTAAAACTGAGAAAATGGCCCTGGCCGGTTTGGCTCAGCGGTTAGAGCGTCCGCCTGCGGTCCGGAGAGACCCGGGTTCGGTTCCCGCTAAGGGCATGTACCTCGGTTGCAGTTTGTCCCCGGCCCTGGTTGGTCGTGCGGGTGGCAGCCACTCGATGTGTCCCTTTCACATCGATGTTTCCCTCTCTCTCTCTTCCTCTCTCTCCCTCCCACTCTATCTGTACAAAAAATGGAAAAATGTCCTCGGATGAGAATTAAAAAAAAAAGAAAAAAAAAATATAAAACTGAGAAAATGAAAAATATTTATAAATTTATCTAAAAATAATAATAAGCCAATTAATTATGTTAACAAAAATAATGTATTGTTTTACAAAAATAACTATCTTTCTTAAAACAAAATAACTTGGTCAGAAGAAAAGTATTGTTTTACACTTTTGCAAATCTCTTTACAGTCTGGCTTAAGCAGAAGACAGGTGGATCCTCATTTCTGCCTCTGCATTCAATCTGCTTCAACATCATTATACGATTTCTGGAAAACCACTATACTACCTTGAAAGAATAAATATGAAAAATGCATATAACATCTTAATATTATATAGAAAGTCTGAGCTCATAAACTCATCATCCTTTAAGAACTGATGCCCTAGCTCATTTCTTACAATGGCTACTCCAAAACTTCTTTATACGTAAGTCCCTAATTCTACCAACTCCTTCCAAAATTTGGGCAAACAATTTTTTTTCTTGATTATGGTAAAATATACATAACATAAAATTTACCATTTTAACCATTTTTAAGTGTAATTCAGTGGCCTTAAGTACATTCACATTGTACAATTATCCATTTCCAGAACTATGTTTTTTTAATCATCCCATACAGAAACTTTGTATCCATTAAACATAACTCCCCATTGGGTAATCACCATTTTACTTTCTGTCTCTATGAATTTTGACTATTCTAGGTACCTCATATAAGTGGAGTCACACAATATTTGACATTTTGTCTCTGGCTTACTTCACACAGGATGTTTTCAAGGTTCATTCGTGTTACAGCATCAGTATTTCATTACTTTTTAAGGCTGAATAACATTCACTGTCACATTTTATTTATGGACATTTGGATTGTTTCCACCTTCTGGCTATTGTGAATAATGCTGCCGTGACATTGTTGTACTGGGTAAATATTCTGATTATTACTTTACTGAGAAAAGAAAGGCCAGAGAGCTCTAGTGTTTACAGTATATCCTTTGAATTTCTCTTTCCCCATTCTCCCTTTATTTCCGAAGTTCTTGCCTTCTAATGTATAAATGTTCATCCGTTCAGATATTGCTCTTTTTCAGAAACTTCAATAACTATTCCTTTCATTTATCCTCAGTATTTCCTACATATTGGTTCTCGTTCCTTCTGATTTCCAAACATGCACAGGTGGTTTCCCTGCACCTTACAATGAAAACAAATAAGTAAATAAATAAAAAGCCTGTGAAGGAAGTTCTAACAACTTAATTGCAGGTACGTTAAAGACCTAACTGAAAAAGAGGGAAAGATAATGTCAAACTTCTAGGAGGTCATATGGGAGAATATCTATAATACCCTGAAGTAGGAAAAGATCTCTCTCTTTTTTTTTTTTTTAATCCTCACCCGAGGACATTTTTCCATTTTTTGTTCAGATAGAGTGGGAGGGAGAGAGAGAAAGAAAGAAAGATTGATGTGATAGGGGCACACTGAGTGGTTGCCACCCGCACAACCCAACCAGGGCCAGGGACAAACTGCAACCAGGTACGTGCCCTTAGCGGGAACCGAACCCGGGTCTCTCTGCACCGCAGGCTGATGCTCTAACCACTGAGCAAAACCAGCCAGGGCAGGAAAAGATTTCTTTAAAAATGTATTAACCAAGCAAGGGAAACAAACTTAAAAAATGAACAAATGGGACTACATTAAACTAAAGTTTTTGCACAGGAAAGAAAACCATCAACAAAATGAAAAGACAGCCCACTCAATGGGAAAACATATTCACCCATACATCTGATAAGGGGATAATATCCAAAATTTACAAGTAACACATAAAACTCAAAACCCAAAAAAACAAACAATCCAATTAAAAAGTGGGCAAAGGACCTGATTAGACACTTCTCCAAAGAGAACATGCAGATGGCCAACAAACACATGAAAAAATGCTCAACATCACTAATCATCGAGAAATGCAAATTAAAACTACAATCAACAACAAGCGCTGGCGAGGATGTAGAGAAAGGGGCACCCTCGTGCACTGTTGGTGGAAATGCAGACTGATGTAGTTACTGTGGAAAGCAGTATGGAGTGACCTCAAAAAATTCAGGAAGGAACTGCTTTATGACCCAGTGATTCCACTTCTGGGAATTTATCTGAAGAAACCCGAAACACTAATTCGAAAGAATATATGCACCCCTGTCTTCATTTCAGCATTATTTACAATAACCAAGATTTGGAAGCAGCCCAAATGTCCATCAGCAGATGAAGGGATAAAACAACTATGGTATAGTTACACAGTGGAATAATGCTCGGCTTTAAAAAAGAAAAAAATTTTACCCTTTGCAACAGCATGGCTAGACCTGGAGAACACTATGCTAAGTGGATTAAGCCAGTCAGGGAAAGACAAGTACCATATGATTTTACCCATATGTGGAATCTAGTGAACAAACTGACCTAATAAGCAAAACAGAGACAGACTGATAGACAGCAGGCTGACAGCTCTTGGGGTGGGAAGGTGGGGGAGGCAGGTGGCATGGAGGGATTGAGGGGAAAAAAAGAGAAAGAACTCATTGACAGGGATAACAGTGTGGTGACTGCAGGGACAGGGGGATGAGTGAAGGCAGACGAGAATATGGGGGTATAAACGGCGATGGAAAAAAATAAAAAATAAAAAGACATTAACTATACAGAAAACCACTGACAAACTGAACTCATCAAGACACCATTAAGAGAGTAAAAGAGACAAATCATGGAGTGGTTTGCAATATGTATAAAAATGACTTGTAGCCCTGGCCGGTTTGGCTCAGCGGTTAGAGCATCGGCCTGCGGTCCGGAGAGACCTGGGTTCAGTTCCCGCTAAGGGCATGTACCTTGGTTGCAGTTTGTCCCCGGCCCTGGTTGGTCGTGTGGGTGGCAACCACTCGATGTGTCCCTTTCATGTCGATGTTTCTCTGTCTCTCTTCCTCTCACTCCCTCCCACTCTGTCTGAACAAAAAATGGAAAAATGTCCTCAGATGAGGATAAAAAAAAATAAATAAAAAAAATGACTTGTACACAGCATATATAATGAACACTTTCAGATGAACAAACGGAAGAGTGACAGCCAAATTAAAAAAAAAAAGGCAAGAGACCTGAGTAGGTAATTCATAAATATGAATATCTAAATACAAATCCACATATGAAAAGAGACTCAGTCTCATCAGTCAATATGACACTGCAAATGAAAACAATGAAATACTAGTATTCATCTACCAAAATCGCTAAAAAGAAAAAAAAAGTTAACACAAAATCCTGGCTAAGATATGGAGCAACTGGAACTCTCTTAACTGCTGGAGTGAAATATAAATTGGTACAACCATGCTGGAAAACTGTCTGGCAGTATCTACCTATTAAAGATAAAAACAATATTGTTTTTACATATAATACCCAAGAGATATGCATGTATATGTGTTGCAAAAGCTATATATAGGAATATTCATAGCAGCATTATATATATAATAATCAAAACATTGATACAACCCAATTATTTATCAACAGTAGAATGGATAAATTGTGTTTTTTTCATAAATGTCATACATATGCAGCAATGAAAGTGAATAAGCTATAGCAACACACAATAACTTGAATTAAATGAGTAGAAGGAGTCGGACACACAAAGACTACATATCATATAATGCCAATTACACAAAACTGAAGAATACAGAAAACTAATATGTGGTATCAAAATCACATAAGTGGTTCCCCTTGAGAAGGGAAGAACAGTGCTTGTAAGGGATTGTGGAAGGTATTTCTTGGGCCTGGTGATGGTCTACTTCTTAACCTGAATGGTGGTTACATGGGTATATTTTCTTGATATTTACTGACGTTACAGTTATATACTTTTCCATGCATGTTATATTTCTTTTTCTTTCTGAAAAATATTTCAATATAAAAGTTTCTTAAAAAGAAAAGTAAATAAATAAACCTCCCAATGGTTTCTCATGAGCTATAGTAGCCTTCTCCTGTTCTTTTGTGAAGAATGGCCACTACTTTTCATACCCTGAAGCTTTAATATGTTGGGTGTGTATAGTGAAATATCCCTAAGAAAAGCAAAAAAGAAGTTGATTTTATTGCTGGCTAACTTCCTCTTCCATCTAGGATTTTAGCAAAGCATACAGTTGGTACTGAGAAAATAATGAGTGAACGCATTTGCAGTTATAGAGTTTTAATACCAAACTTATATGACCTTAAGAGATCACATAATCCAACTGACTGTTCTTACAAATGAGGAAACGAAGACCCAGAGCATCATGGTGATTTGCCAGGGCCACAGAACAGTATTTTGTGACACTACATCTATCATTCTTCCTATTGTATAATTCCTTCACAACTACATGTAAACAAGTAGGGAGGTGTTCGTAGTATACTTTTAAAGAAAGGGGAAAAGACAGTCAAGGTAGCACAAACAAATGCTCGGATTACTGCGGAACAGATTGAAATATATCACTGCAGGTGCTAACTCTTCACTACAATGCACTGATGTTCAATAAATGTTATCAAGTGGAAAAAATATTGCAGCGTTATTAAGTCAACTGATCCAATAAAATGTTAGACAAAGTTTAACTTGTAAAAACTAGTATTGAGGAAAGTTAATATTAGTATACCATATCCAACAGTGCTTTCTATTACATATGTATTAAGATACCAAGTTAAAACTGGAGAAAATTCAGAGAAAAGCAAAGGAAGCAATCAATGTCTTCACAAAAAACAGTCACCATGAAAATGCTGCAAGATTTCATTAGGTTAAAAAAAAAAATAGACCAAAATTGAGTCTACAAATAAACTAAGTCATTTAGAAACATACTTTTCTAAGATCAATACAGAAATTTATTAATAAAAACTCTTATAGCCTTCTATAAGGAAAATAAGTCATAATTAACATACCTCAATTCCTGGCTTTCTGTACTAAGGAGAGAAAGCAGTGCCCAAGCTAGCACCTGGCTGTCATCTCCACTATGAAACTTCGTGAAATGCTTAATGTTCTGCAGCAGGAGCTGGTCAAGGCATTCCAGGGCCTTTTCCTGCACGGTGCTCTCCGAGTCCATCACAACGGGGGTGATCCCCAGCAGCCAGGCTTTCTGTATCTGGACGCATCTAGGTTGAGCCTTAGGAGTTAAAATCGCAAAGTCATAAAGAAGTCTAACGCGATTAAAAGTCTAACCTCAAATCAGTGAAGTTGTTATCCATGTTTTGAGACATGTTAAAAGTCAGTGCACACACAATTACAAGTAGACCATAATAGTTAAAACCCACAATATTCTAATGATATATGAAAACAAAGTTCAATACACAGTTATTGCAAATCAGTGCATAATGAAATTTTAAACTTATAAAGTCATTATTTTGTTATTAGTAATAAATCACTTTTTGGTATTCAAGAACAAGAGCAAATAATAAATATTTATCCCAAGAAGTAAACAGAATAAATGCTACCAGAGAAAGTAAAAATATACATTGCTTATTGCATTTGGTCATGAAACAAAGAAAAAAAAAAAATGCTCTTAAAATTCTTCAAGAGCTAATTACTTGGCAGAAGTAAATTATATCTAGAATTACTGGTTCTGTTCTTTTGGCAATATCATCTATATAAGTCTTAGTGAACAAAAATTAATCTAGGCCTCTGGCCTAACCAAAGTAATTTTAAAATTCACATTGCTGTGTGAGATTTGAGCTGAGGTCAAGAAAGGCTAACCATCAACATTCTCTAGCATTAGTTCATAATTATATTTAAATGAAATGCAGTCTATCACAGTAATTAAAAGATCGTTCTTCCTTTCTCTTATGCTATATGATAGACTTGGTAGAGTTTCTACCAGTCAACTTAATATTTAGCAACAAGCAATTACTATGCTGAATTATTTTGTAATGTAAAATATCATGCATTAGATAATAATGCCTTGCCCCTCACCATAAGAAGCTCAGTAAGAGACTGTAAGGCCTGCTTCCGCACGGACACTGCAGGGTCCCGGCACTGCTCCTGAAGAACTGATAGCTCTTCTTTCATACCTGAGACGTTGCAGTGCTTCAAAATACTCACCAATACCTAGAAAGTGTACATACAACATGAAGTGATGCTTCATGCACAGTATAAATGCAAAAGGACAAAATATAGACAAAAATACGTCCCTCAAGTTTGTGGTTCTTAATATTGTTAAGGTCAAGATCCATCCCTCCTCTCAGCTGCATTCCACCTTTTAGAATAGGATGACAGCTAAGGCCTCTCTCCAGAGAAAATTTGACATACATTTTATATAAACAAGTATTTACAAACAATTTCAGTGGTTTCACAAACCCTTTCAAAATCTGTCTGTGGTCCCCAAGCTAAGAATCCCTATTCTAAAGAATGAAATTAAGGATATAAATCCATGATTCTTAAAAAGCCAGTAATCCAGTAGAAAAGCTTAAAAGCAGATAGTCTTCTGTTCATGTATATAACTTAGACATAAGAGGATCAAGATGAACTAATGTTAAGAGAAAAGCAAATTAAGTAACAAATATGTCAGGCGGATTTATAAAATATTCTCTTGGATTTCCAAGTTTTTAGTGCTTAAAAAGAGAGCATATGAGCCCTGGCTGGTTTGGCTCTGTGGTTAGAGGATCAGCCTGTGGACTGAAAGGTCACAGATCTGAGTCCTGGACACCCTTGGGGTCGTTCGGAGGCAACCAATCGATGTGTCTCTCTCACAGAGATGTTTCTCTCTCTCCCTCCCTCCCTTTCACTCTATCTAAAAATCATGGGAAAATACCCTCAGGTGAGGATTAATCCACCCTCAATAGAGAGCGCACATTAAAGAATGTGTAGAAAACATACCTGGAGTGCAGACTTCCTAACGTTGGCCTTCTCATCTCTGATTCTCTTCTTCAGCATTGCCATGACACATCTTTCTGCAGAGAAAATGCCCGTCATCAGTCTGAGAAAGAATACACAGACCTGACATCTCACTACACAACACTGAGCAAATCTAAAAAACTGATTATTAGCTTATTTTAAATTAGAGTATAAAATGAGGTAGAAATAGGGGGAAAAAAAAATCAATAATTAGCTATTCATAATAATAAAAAAGGCAAAACTAGTGCAAAAAAAGGGCAAAAATTCTAGAATATTAAAAATTCAGTTTTAAATGCTCCTATGTTTAAAATTTTAAATTATTTATATCTTCTAGTTTAATATAGTTTTATATCTACAATTAGAAATGTCTAAACCATAAAGTTTTTTTAAAGACTAAATAAAATAATATAAATATATAACAGCAGCTTTCAAACTTTTCATCCACAGGCCCCTTTCACTATTAGAAATTACTGAAGACTCCTAAGGGCTTTTTCAAATGTGAATTACATATTTTAATCCAAATTAAAAATTTAAACTGAGAATTATATAAAGAATAATTCATTTGAAAAAAGACATGCTATTATGAAGAGTATATTTTTAAATAGAAAATAACTATACTTTCAAAAAATTACTGAAAAAAAAATGGCATTGTTTTATATTTTTGCAAATTCCTCAATGTTTGGCTTAATAAAAAGACAGCTGGATTCTCATCTCTTATGTCTGTGATCTGTCACATTTATTTGCCATGGGATCTCTGGAAAACCTCAATGTATACTTGTGGGGAAATCAGAGTGCAGAAGGTACACGATATCTTGATATTACTATGAAAACAGTATTAACTTCAAGGATGTGTTGAAGGAGACTTAGAAACTCCAAAACACATTTTGAGAACTGCTGATCTCTAAGAAAGCAAATTTAAAAAATGAACTAGAGAATGGAAAACAAGAGGAAATAAATGAAATTAAAAAGTAATTTCCTTGATAAAGATAACAAAATTTGACAAACTTTTAGATAGATTGACTAAGAAAAAGAGAGGGAAGATTCAATTGCTAAAACCAAGAATGAACAAGGGAACACTATCACTAACCTTACAGAAATAAAAAAATGTGCAGAAGAATACTATAAATAATTTTATGTTAACAAATTATAACCTAGCTGACAAATATAACAAATAACCTAGATGAAATGGCCAAATTTCTATAATGATAAAGTATGGAAACTAACTCAAGAAGAAATAGAAAGTGTGAATCCAATTATAAATACAGATATTGAATCAATCAAAAACTTCCCACACATGCACAAAAGCCCAGGCATTACTGAAGAATTCTACCAGATGTGAAAACAAAAATTAACACCTATTTATATACACACATATCTGCCTCCCACTGCTCCTTATGAAATGGAACTTTATTTTATTAAAGTCTGTATCTACAATGCCCAGCACAGAAAGAACCATATAAAAGATCATAAAACAAACTAATAAATCTAATTATATAATTTATCCTTCATACACATATTCTCTTCTTTTCTATCTTACCTATTTATCCATCTTTTAAAATTACTTCTCTAAATATTATTTCTATAGACTCTGACAACAGCCCTCTGTAAAGGACAGGGAAGGAGTTAGGATCAGAACGGGACAAGGAGCTGTGCTGACGTCCATGTCTTAGGTCATGCAGCTATTTAGTAACAGAACTGTACAGGAATTCAGACTGCTTCTTGTTTCTAATAGGGTGTTTAGTGTTTTTGCCATGGTTTTATGATCTCATATTACAAATAAAAAAGGAGCTCAAGACCTTACAGCCAGACAGGAACAGAATATGAATGAGCAGGTCTACCTACTACCTAGTACAACTCTGTTTTTCCCCCTGAATCATACTGACAGTGATCAGGCATCATTCATGTTCAGAATCCTGTGTGGGAGTCTATGGAGGACCCCATAATCATGCCATACAGTAAGTATGACCCATTAAAAAAAAATGGTACATTCTGTTGGTGAAGAGAAATTATAATCTAAATTCTGAATTGTTTTTTTCACTGGAGCTTGGACTCATAGTTCCTTACCATATATTAAAAAGTAAAATCTGGGCCCTGGCCAGTTTGGCTCAGCAGTTAAAGCGTCGGCCTGTGGTCCGGAGACCCGGGTTCGGTTCCCGCTAAGGGCACATACCTAGGTTGCAGTTTGTCCCTGGCCCTCGTTGATCATGCAGTTGGCAGCCACTCGATATGTCCCTTCACATCAATGTTTCTCTCTCTCTCTCTCTCCCTACCACTCTATCTGAACAAAAAATGGAAAAATGTCCTCGGTTGAGGATTAAAAAAAGAAAAAAGTAAACTCTGGGATGGCTGAATCATAGTCGAGATGACATGGTAGACAAAGTAAAAAGGAATGAAAAACAACAACAAGATTGGGCACACAGTATTGTTCATCTGTTCTCCCCCTTTTTTGTGATGACCTTTCTCCAAACACAAATTTAATCTCTACTGCACTTTCACTAATAAGTGGTCCTCTTTTGGTCAGTAATCCCCAGAATTTACAACAACTGACTTTAATAAAAAAATAAAATATTTACTAATATTCTCTTAAGTGTTAAATACTGAAGTTTAGTACATGATGAGTGGAATGCAGCTTATTCTTTATCTTAAAATGAAATATAGCCCTGGCCAGTTTGACTCAGCTGTTAAGAGTGTCAGCCCGAGGACGGGAGGGTCTCGGGTTTGATTCCCAGTCCTGTTGGAGTCGTTTGGGAGATAACCAATCGATGTGTCTCTTTCACATCGATGATTCTCTCTCTTTTTCTCTCCCTCGCTCCCTTCCACTCTATCTAAAAATCAATGGAAAAATATCCTCAGGTGAGGATTAATGAAAAATACTTAAAAAGAAAAAAAAAAAGGAAATACAGTATAGTGCAAGGACATCAACTAGAGATATAATAACACAGAAATTACTCCACTTTTGCCCTGGCCAGTTTGGCTCAGGGATTAGAGCGTTGGCCTGTGGTCCAGAGAGACGCGAGCTCGGTTCCTGCTAAGGGCACGCACCTAGGTTGCGATTTGTCCCCGGCCCTAGTTGGATCATGCAGGAGGCAGCCACTCGATGTGTCCCTTTCGCGTCGATGTTTCTCTCTCTCTCTCTCTCTTCCTCTCTCTCCCTCCCACTCTATCTGAACAAAAAATGGAAAAATGTCCTCAGGTGAGGATAAAAGAAATTACATCACTTTTAAGAAAAAGACATGTTCCGATTCTTAAGGGTGAATTAATCAGGAAAAACCCCAAGGTTTGTAGACTCTACTTATAGTTATTATGCATTTTATCGTGGTAAAATCTGACATACCCCTAGATCCAATTGTTTCAGTACTGCTGTCTGTACTGATCACCTCTGAGTCTCCAGAAGGGTGAGGTGTCTGCTTCTGACAGAAAAAAGCTTAAAAATAAAAAAATAAAAAAAAGATCAGTCATTAAGGTAAATATTTATTATACCTTTTAATAATATAAGTATGGTATAGTACACATTTAAGTTACCACATCATTACTGAAATGAATTTCCATTTCTTTGATAAAGGAAAAAAGCATAATATTAAAACAGATAAACACAAAGATAGAAAAGAACATTTAAAATATCTAGCTAGTCCTTTAAATAAAAAGACAATTATTCAATATATGAAAATATATTGACCCCATTACCTGATGTATTTTTCAGTAAAGTACCAGGGTGGCTCTCTATTCCTGAAATTGCAGGACCTAAAAATAAGCAGATAGATAAGAGGAAAAAAAGTCATAGTATCATAAACCCTAAATAAATATTCACAGAGGAAGCAAAATCAAAATAATTAGGCTTTAAGAGAAGGCAGATTCTGCCCTGGCCGGTTTGGCTCAGTGGTTAGAACGTTGGCCTGAGGACCAGAGAGACCCAGGTTTGGTTCCTGCTAAGGGCATGTACTTCAGCTGCAGTTTGTCCCCGGCCCTGGTTGGGTCGTGTGGGTGGCAGCCACTAGATGTGTCCCTTTCATGTCAATGTCGCTCTCTCTCTCTCTTCCTCTCTCCCTCCCCCTCTATCTGAATAAAAAAATAGAAAAATGTTCTCAAGTGAGGATAAAAAAAAAAAAGAGAGAAGGTAGATTCTAAACAATTAATAACGTTCTCCTCGGGTACACATTTGAAATGAATGTTAGGCCCCGTACAGCCAATACCCAACAATGCAAAGCAATAGTGAAGGCAGCCAACAGTCTCACCTCTAAAAAAGGCCTTTCAAAAGTATCAGGCTTGTCTAAACATTTATTCAACAACACAATATACTGAAATAAGTTTATAAGAGTAAAGATACATCATACCATCCTATCAACTACCTTTGCTACAACAAAGAATGATTCCCTCGCAGTCCAATTTCTTGAGAAGCAGAAGACCAATTCTATTTCACGACAGTCACCACACTTACTGTTAATCAGAAGTTCCAGTACGCTCTCCGATGCAGTGTTGACAGACAGCTCCAGGCAATGTGCAAAACTGGACAATGCCTTGCTGCGGACAGTTGGTGCCTTGTCTAAACAGCGATCAAACATAATGTCCTGCACCAAAAACTTATGCTTTAAGAACTTCTGATGCTCCAAGGAGACTGTGTTATCCGCTTCTCTTTCTGGCAGTTCCAACAGAGCTAAGGCAACATCAAGAGTAAAAACCCTGTGTGGGATCTGGTAAAGCAAAATCATAAGAATCTCCATCACAAAGGATCCCTTATGTATTCAAATCTGGCTGGTATTAGAAGGTTGCAGAACCAAGAACCAAGATTTTATGCAGATGTATCTCTTACCTTGGAACTTCGTGAATACCTGTAAAGCCAGGCAATAAATGTAGCATATTCCCCACAAGGAAGTTTGCTGAGCAGCTGTACCAGGGACTGAGCTGCATAGGTCCGATACTCTGATTTATCTACTACCTGAAACACAATCATTGAGAAGCTGTCCACCTGGGCAATGAAACTTGCTGTAATACAAGTGGAAAGTTAATAAATGTAACTATAACTAGTTCAGTGATCTTTAAGTGTTATAGAAATGACTAATAAGTTTTAGGTTTCAGACCCCTTTGAAAATTAACCTAGAAGAAATCTATAGGCCCCTCTCCTTAGAAATACAAATTTAACACATGATTGCAGGAAGTTTATGAACCCTTAGAATCCAGAGTTTAAGTTATGATTCATTTGTCTGAACAGTTTTAAAAACTTAAGAGATAATCATAGAAATGTGAACATTAACTGGGTATTTGGAGATATAAAGTATTATTGTATATTTTGTGATTATGTTTTTAAAGAGTTCTTATCCTTTATCGACACATAAAAATTTTTATACATAGAAAAATACGATGGAATTTGTTTTTAAAAATTCAGTATGCATATGTGTTCAGGATTATCTTTCAGGGGTATAAGTGACACAGAATTGTTGAAGATGGCTGCCTCATCACCCTATTTTCTTTATATATTTGAAGACTTCCAAAATGAAGAGGTTTTTTATTCCCAAAAGAACACTGTCCAGGGGAACATCTAGTGAATATATTAAATAAAACTATGGTTAGTAATGACACAGACTCATTTCTAAGAACAAAAATACACAAACACACAAATTTAACTTCATACATATTATATATTTTAAAAATTATTACTATTATTATTATTACTGTTATGAAAGCAACTAGTACCTTGGCACAGATGTGCTGGAGTAAGACACGAAGAACTGGGAATATACTTTCTTTTAGTTCATCCACAAGTGAGCTATTAAAAAAAAATATCCTCTGTTTAAAATTCACCTATAATTACAATCAAATAGTCTTTTCCTTGACTTTCTAAAAAACCACTCTACCTATGTTTAGAAATCCTCCGTAGTAAAACAGTCTACCCCCACATTTGAAGCACTGTTTCAGTGCATAAGAGTGAAGACGTAAAGTGTCAAAGCAGAGAACGATGCCTACTGCTCATGTGTGGTGTTCAGAGCTGCTGCCAGTGGACAGCTAGTCAGGGGGAAGCCAGTGTGCAATCTTCTCATGACTCCACTAATTAGTAAATTCCATATTAAGACTCTAAAATACATCATTTGGGGGTAAACAGACTAAGACACAGTACCACCTCATGGTAGCTCAGTGAAATGCAACTACTTCACTACATTTATAATAGTGCCTCTCCAAACTTCAACCCAAGAAGAAATTACTGTCATGCCAGATTTGACCCATTTTTAGTGTTAAGTTTATTTGTACCATTATAAGGATACTACTGCATCATGAACTCCGACAAAAAAACCAAAGTGAGGGTTTCCACCATCCTCAAATCTTCAACTACATTATATACTGTGTATGTACACACTCTCATGTACATACTGACCACTGTTTTTCCACCACCAAATACTCAATATAGGAGGGGAAGAAAAAAGCCAATGAAAGCAAATAGGTCTTTCCCAATAATGCTAAAACATGAAACTTTTTAGGTGAAGCTAAGTGGCTCATGAGCACAAAATTAGTCTATCAATTACTGCTAAAGAAGTAAAAATCAACCAGCTTCTTTCCTCAAGGAAGCATTTTCTGTAGGGGGAAGAGAACACAAAAGTGAAAAGAAACAAGAAAAAAGTGTCACAGAGAAATAGAGAAGAGAGAAACAGAAAAAGAACAGGAGGTGGCAGACTTGCTGGAATGGTCAGTACTGAAGCAGATGATGGTAAAACAGAAAAGAAGCCACAGTCATCACTCAGAGGCAGTCCTTATAGCTGACGACAACCAAGGTGGGGCTGGTGCTGGCCCGTGAACTACAGACTCCTATTCCTTCAACAAGACCCCCCATGTGGAGGTTACCATCAGTGACCTAGACCACATGAACCAGATGAGCTATAATTTGATCCTCCAAACCACAAACAGGCCAGACATTTGTTAGTTTCCATAAGTGTCAGAAATCTTGGTTAGTACAGGGCCCAGAGATGAAGGGAAAGCCATAGAGAGAGTAACAATTCAAGCTGTGTGTGCTTCACCTGATAAACTGGACTGCCTGGTTTCTGCTATTGATGACTGATGAAGTAATAGCAAGGGGGGCATGATGTGATCCTTCACCCACTTCTAACATTAATATTACATTTAGCATTTGATGGAAAACACAACTGATAACCTAGAAGAAAAAAGAAAATTCAACTTAAGGCATAATAGAGAATTTTCGAAAACCACAGCAAACAATTTGCAGCCTCTAAAGATTAGTCAGGTTGACATAGTTTTGGGCCGACCACTAGTACTGTGTTTCTTAGACAATTACCAGGTATTCAATAAACATACAATGGCAACAGTGTGAAAACACTGCTTGTAGATAACAATAGAAATATCACTTAGTTTCTCTCCATACCCTCTCTTACTGTAGCCCAGAAATTAAGGCAAAAAGAATTAGTTGTCACTTATAGATGGCAAAGAATGCTGCCGATAGCAAAAGGGGAAAAAGAATATTTCACCCTTGTATTTTACCTGAAGTTTGCAAAGCACCTTCCATTATATCATCTCATATAATTTATTCACATAATTCTCTCATTCAGCCAGTAAATAAAACAGTTACTAAAAGCCAAACATGTAACAGGTATTGCATTAAGCACATTCATATATAATACTAGATGTTACTGTATTTAATCTTAAACCTCACAACACCACCATGAGGTTAGCAAGGCATTTCCATTTTATATATAATATCATTATTTCCAGTTTATATATAATAAAACAGACTCCAAAGGTGAGTTATCCAAAGTCAAGTAGTTAAAGGCCTGGCTAAAATTAAAGATGTCTAACATCAAGTCATACCTTTCACAGTTAAAAAACACTACATCTTTAGAGACACAGTGGACCTAAAATGATAAAATTTTCACCCATTCTATTTTTTAAAATGTTAAAAAGGGCATGGAAATTAAAAGCATTACTGTGAATTCTATCACATCCATATTTCAAGCACATATAAATAATAATAATATAATAAATGTTACTGCCCCTGGAAATTAAGTGTATCATAGCCACCAAAAGCTACATGACCTTGGTCTATCACATTTTTTTACAAAATCTTATGTTATTAATAACATCTAAGTTCAGTAATACCATAATGCTTGGATACCCTTAATTCAAATGTTTAGAGTAGTGATACTGTTAAGGTATATTAGGGGGCAAAATCCATATATGAATGCTAACAGGAATGATAACCAGTAATATTTCTGTAGAATTACCAGCTAAAATAATATAAATACTAATAAAATTACTGAAGCACAGATGAATTACACCAAGAGAAATTAGAAAATTTTGACTGTCTACTCTTCTTTTTAGAACGATTTGGTGAATATTTTTATAAAAGTAATGTTCTGTTCAGTAGCTTATCTGTTCTTCCTACCTAATTCATACTGGAACCGTTTTTATGTATGAAACCAAATAATAATTTGCTTGGCCACCAAGTATTTGAAGATAGGTACTGTTACGAAGAGTAGGCAACAAATAGAAATGGTTATACTTTCTATTATACAAACGATATATAATAAGGTCATGGAAGTAACCCGTAAAATTAAAATGGCATTACATCAAATGCTTCTAATGTTTTTCTACCACATAATTTGCACACTTTCAATTTAACCAATAACTAACTTAGATCCTTGTCTCCTTTACCTTGTCTCCTCCATGAATCGGGGAGCATAGCAAATACAATCCATGATAGGCCAGTTCTGGTATGTACTTTGCTTGGTTAAGGTTTCTAAAGAAAAAAGAGCAAAGATTAATTAATGGATATGATTTTACTGACAATATTGCCTTAACGCTATAAGCCATATTTAAAATTTAAAAACTCTACCTGTGTAACACTTAGGATAAAATGGCATTTATACTTCAGCTGGAGCAAAATTTATTACACTATATTTAAATTTTAGCATTGGAAGATTTAATGGCTCACCTGGCTTGTGTAACATGAAATTCATGAAGAACTGGCTCAAAATTAGTTAATGCCACAAAGACCTAGAAAACAGATACCAAGAGAAGCCTGATTTTTCTTAGTCATTAAGTGTTAGCCCTCGTCTGTGAGCTTTGAGATTTCCTCAAGTTTCTTGGAATTTTCACTTACCTCTATACAATTCTGTACACACTGTGGCTTTTCTTTCAGGGAAAACTTGGACAGAAGCCTTAAAAAGTTCTTTAAAAGATGAAAGATGGCTTTTCGAATTTGACAAAGGTCCCAGGCAGAAAAACAAATGTCCTCTTCCTCTTCTTGTTCTTCTACAATTTCATCCATCTAGATTATGAAGAAATATATAGGTGACTGTAAAATAATGCCTAACACTTTGTCCCATGGTTTGCAATTTACTCAAGTAAAATCCAGCGAAACGCCAGGGGGTTGCTGAGGTGCTGAGGTGACCATGTCCCTTGACTGCTCTAGGTCTCTGCAGTCACAATGGTAAATCACTGGATTAGATGACTGCTACAATACTTTCTAGCTCTCTATTTTTCTCTCAGTGAGAATTCTTGTGTCTCTTCGAAGTTTTCACATCAATGAGCCTCTACCACCCTACCCAATCATACAGAATTGGGAATTAATGTTATTCTCTTACACTCTTATGGATCTGTGTCCTCAGAATAATTCAATCACTTTCTCTAATGACAATGAGATAATGTGGCAAATATACCTGTTAGCAAGTTGTCAAGAACACCTGGGTACAAGGCTGGGAGAGATGATGGGAGGGTGGAAAGTTGGCAAGGTAGAAACGTACTCTCAGTAGTACATGAAGCCCAAGAGGCAACTTAGTCTTACTGGAGAGCTGGTGATACTTTAGGACCTTTGACTATAACCATTATGCCTGAAATCATATTTTAATATAAAGTTAATTCATAAGTAAAAATCATGTGTTGTAAAGATCTGTTTTATTGTTCCTCTTACTTCTTACCTCAATATCCTCTCTCCTGGGTGGCTTTCCTCTCTTTCTATGCCCTCTTGGATTAGCCTGAGAATTCTTAGGCTGTTCCTTCTTTCTCTTCCGACTCAAGTTAGACTCCTGAGGCCAGCTCTTCTTTAGAATCTGTATACATTTGTCAAACATCACTGGGTGGAATATCTGATTGGCTACACTGCCTAGTCATAAGGAATAAAAAGTAAGCAGGTTAGAGTTAATTGCCTTAAAATATGTCTGTTATCAAGAGATAAAAATTTAAAAAGCAAAAAATGGGCTATTCATTAACTGTGAATAACAATAACCCTTTTTGCAAAAAAGTACCATTCAACTTTAGCCATAGGTGTGACCAATAGTACTGATCAGAAATAAATGACAAGATTTCCATATTTGGCCATGAAGGAGTAACCGGTTTTATATTTATCCTCTTACTGTGAGCTATAAAAAGTGGACCAAAAAATTTTTTTAAATAATAATTTTAAGACATGAAGCAAGAGACAGCATAGAAATAAAATCCCTGAGATAAGGGAAACAAATGAAATAACTCCTAATATTGCCCCAGTTTTTGTATTTTTTTTTTTTATCCTCACCCGAGGACATTTTTCCATTTTTTGTTCAGATAGAGCGGGAGGGAGAGAGAGGAAGAGAGAGAGAGAGAAACATCGACGTGAAGGGACACATCGAGTGGCTGCCACCCGCACGACCAACCAAGGCCGGGGACAAACTGCAACCGAGGTACGTGCCCTTAGCGGGAACCGAACCCGGGTCTCTCTGTACCGCAGCCCGACGCTCCAACCGCTGAGCCAAACCGGCCAGGGCCCAGTTTTTGTATTTTGAGACAATTTCTGGACAGCAGCAGAAAAAGGACAAACCCAAGCACATAACTATGGTCTTACTAAGCTGAGACTACAGAAGTCAAGTCAGAAAGGCAGAGGTAGCTGGAATGTATGGAGAATAATGGAGAAGAGGAAGCTATGTAGAAAAAGTGCTCCGGAAATCTGCCCAGGACTGATTATAAGCTATGCATGAATGGAGTAAAACTCCAAAAAGGTGGGCAAAGAACATTTTCTAAGAAATCAGAAGATAAATAATTTTGAGAACTCATACAGGGCAGAGACATATTTGAATCTGGCCAGAATACTAGAGAGATCTTGTTAACCACCTAGAGAATTTAGTAGACCTTGGAAAGAAACATAGCTGAACAGCAGGTCTAAATCAGCTCTAGAGTAAAAGCTACTTTACCTTTTTAATTTTTTTAAAAGATTTTTTTATTGATTTTTGAGAGAGTGAGAGAGAGAAAGAGAGAAAGATGAAAGCAAAACATCAATCGACTGACTCCTACATGCCCCCCACCAGGGATCGAGCCAGCAACCTGGGCATGTGCCCCCGACAAGAAACTGAACTAGCAAACTTTTGGTGCACAGGACAACTCCCAACCAACTGAGCCACACTGGTCAGGGCAGTAAAAGCTACTTTAAATCTGCACTAAAACAAGTTGCAAAAGGATCAAGTTAATCCACCAATAAATGACTATTAAAACATTTTTAAACACAAAATGAAAACAAAATCAAGACACTCACATTCAAATGTCCAGCATCAAATAAAAAATACTAGGCATGCTGCCTGGCTGGTGTGGCTCAGTGGTTGAGCGTCGACCCATGCACCAAGAGGTCGTTGGTTTAATTCCTGGTCAGGACACATGCCCAGGTTGTGGGCCCGATCCCCAGTGGGGGGCATGCAGGAGGCGGCCAATGGATGTTCTCTCTCATTGATCTTTCTCTCTCTCTCCTTGTCCCTTTCTCTCTCTCTAAAAATCAATAAAGGAAAAAAAAATTCTAGGCATGCTAAGAAGCAGGATATGTGCCCCATCATAAAAAGAATCAGTCAATAGAAACAGTCTAAGAAACAACAGAGATAATAGAACTGGCAGACAAGAACCTTAGGAGAAGGTATTATAAATAGCACAAGAATTAAAAGCAAACACAGTAGCAAACAAAAAGACAAATAAAAATTTCTTTTTAAAGACTCAAATAGAACTTCTTGATCTGAAAACAAAAAATTCACTGGAAAGGCTTACCTGTGGATTAAAAATTTCAGAAACAAAGGTAAATGAACTTGAAAAAAACAGAAGCACAGAAATAAAATAATAATAATAGAATCAGTTATTTGTGGGAAAATATCAAGAAGTCTAACATGGAGTAATTGAAGGCTCAGAAAGAAGGCAGGGAAAAAATATTTGAAGAATAATTGAAAAATTTCCAAATTTGTTAAAAACTGTAAATCCACAGATGCCAGAAGCTCTATGAACCCAACCATGATAAACACAAAGGAAATCACACCAAAACATATAATCTGATCAAACTGCTGAAACAAAGTAGTAGAGAAAATCTTCGAAGTATCCAGACCAAATAAAAGGACACAAGACAGAGGAACAATAAGAATCATGCAGAATTCTCAGTAGAAACTGATATAAACTACAAGATAATAAAATAACACCTTTAAAAAACTATCTGTCAACTTAGAATTCTATATTCAGCAAAAACCTTCTTGAAGAACACATGTAATAAAGGTATTTTTACACAATCAAAATCCAAGACAACTGATGGCCAGCAGAACTGTACTGTAAGAATGTCAAAGAAAGTTCTTTGGGCTGAAGGAAAATTATATGAGATGAAATCTTTTAAATACAAAAAAATTTTTGTTTTTCAAATTCTTTAAAAGATAATTCAAAGACAAGTGTTGACAAAAAACTGTGGGGACTATAACATGTAGGAATATAATGGATAGCTTCAATAGTACAAAGAAGAGGAGGGAGAAAGCATACTGGTCTAAGATTTTTACATTATCTACAAATTGTGGAATACTATCTAAAGATAAGATTGTTAAAAGCACTTATTGTATACCCAACACAAGCACTTAAAACACACACACGTGCAAAGAAGTGCAGTTAATAAGTCAAAAGAGGAGATAACATAAGATACTAACAAAATACTCAATCTAAAAATAGGCAGAAAGTGGGGAAAAAATGGAACAAAAAAAAAGATGGCACAAACAGAAAACAAAGAGCAAAGTGGCAGAAACTCAACCATATTGATAATTACATTCAGTGTAATTATCTGAACTGTTTAAAAATTCTAATAAAAAGGCACAGTGGCCCTGGCCAGTTTGGCTCAGCAGTTAGAGTGTCAGCCTGCAGTCCAGAGAGACCCAGGTTTGGTTCCCACTAAGGAACCAGTTCCCACCAACCAGTTTGTCCCCGGCCATGGTTGGGTCTTGCGGGTGGCAGCCACTCGATGTGTCCCTTTCACGTCGATGTTTCTCTCTCTCTCCCTCCTGCTCTGTCTGAATAAAAAAAAAAAAAGGAAAAATATCCTCAGGTGAGGATTTAAAAAAAGGCACAGTGGATAAAAAGCATGACTCAATGATAGGCAGTCTAAAACACACTCTATATTTCATTTTATTTTTAAAATATTTTTAATAATATTTTTCTGTATTGATTTTTCTTTTGAGAGAGAGAGAAACATCGATGAGCGAGAACATCGATTGCTGGCCTCCTGCATGCACCCCACTGGGGATTGGGCCCACAACCTGGGCATGTGCGCTGACTGGATCCGAACCGGTGACCTCTTGGTGCATGTTTCCACGCTCAACCACTGAGCCACACCGGCTGAGCATAAAACACACTCTTTAAATATAAACACAAAGATAGATTTAAAAAAAATAGAAGCATGGGAGAGGATGTCCAACTGATACTGTTGTAATTAGCTAGTTATTAATAATAGGAAGAAGCAAAAGGGAGGCCAGACATTATAGGCACGTCATTTGGGCAGCTTCACCAGGAAGTTGCAACTGGGAACCACAGGTCCATTCCCTGCAAATCACTGGGTCAAGGTGTCCAACCAAAGGGAGATGAACACATGCACAATGAGTCAGACTGATGTAGGAAAAGTGCTTGCTGCCAGTCAAACCTGGGAACAGAGATAACTGGCTAGAGGGGGTGGGGCCAATGCAAGCTCCTCCAAAATTTGGGAATACATAATTCCCCAAAGGAGTTCTCGCTCTTGGCTCTTGGTGTTCTTGTTTCTCTGGCTTTGCTCCTGCCGTGTTCCCTCCACAATCACGTGCCCTGCGACCCCACACACAATGGACTGATGGATTGCAAGTGGAAACACAAACTAAGCCAGCCTGATGCTGGATTGGACTGTGCCCCAAAAAGGAATGGAATTGTGGTCAATGACTTTAATCCTAGCGCTACTGAAGACACAGCTGGACTTCTTCCTTGGTGGGGACAGAAGGAAATGGGACTTTGGAAACTCAGGGATTTAACTCCATGCAAATAAATGCCACTCATTCTGTGCGAGTCTCGGAAAATTCTTTTTCTTGTGACATCACGAGAAGCCCACTTCCATCAGCAACTAGTGAGGACAAGGAGAGTTTCCCACCAATAATACAACCAAGGACAAACCATAAGATAACTAGAATGATTGTCTTAATATTAGAAAAAGTAGACTTCAGGGTAACCAGACAGAAGGACATGACATAATATCAAAAGATCAATTCATCACGAAGACATGCAATTATAAATGTTAGTATGTTGTAGACTTTCAAAATACCTTAAGTTAAAACGGACAGAAATAAAAGGAAAAATGGATAAACTGACAATTATACTTGGAGATTTCAATACTTCTCTCTCACTAATTGATAGAACAAATAAACAGAATATCAAGACAGATAGAAGACTTGAACAACCCCAGCAACCAGCTTGACATAATTGACATTTACAGAATATCAGATCCACCAAAAGCAGACTATTCTTTCTGTTTACATGCAAATAGAAGGTTTACCAAGTCAAACCCTGTGCTGAGTCACTAAAACAAAAGAAAACAAACAATAAAAAAAAAAGACCTCAGCAATTATTTAAAAGTCTATGCTCTTGTATGCATGACCAATGAACATAGACAACAAAGCTGGGGATGAGGAGGGGGGCGGGTGTCAATGGGGAAAAATGAAAAACATCTGTAACAAAAACAAACTAATAAATAAAAAACTTTTAAAAATAAAAGTGTATGCTCTGATCTCAACATAATTAAAAAAGAAATCAATTACAACAAGATTTTAGGAAAGTCCTCAACTATTTCAAAATTAAACACATTGCTAAATAACTCAAGTGTAAGATGAAATCACAAGATTAGAAAACTACTTAGGCCTGAATGATAATGAAAACAAATCACCAAAATTTGTTGGATGCAGATAAAGCAGAACATAGAGGGAAATGTATAACATTACTTATATTACAAACAAAGAAAAGTATGTGAAAACAAAGATCTATGCATCCATCTTAAGAAGTCAGAATAAGAACAATTAAACTCAAAGTAAGAAGGAAGGCAGTAAAGATAAAAATCACTGACATAAAAAATGGACAGCCCTGGCCAGTGGCTCAGTTGGTTAGACCATTGTCCCATACACCAAAAGGCTACGGGTTGGATTCATAGTCAGAGCACATACCTAGGTTGTGAGTTGGATCCACAGTTGGGGTGTATACAGGAGGCAAAAGATGGATGTTGCTTTTTCAGATCAATGTCTCGATCTCTCTCTGTATGTGTGTGTCTCTCTCTCCCTTCCCTTGTCTCTAAAATCAATAAACATATCCTCAAGTGAAGATTTAAAAAAAGAGACAAATAGGATATGATCAATATCAAAAGTGAGATCAATAAAATTAAGAAACCTCTATCTAGACCAATAATAATAAAAAAAAAGAAACAGAAAGTACCAATAGCAGGCATGAAAGAGGACATATCACTATAGATTGAACATACTTCTTTCTTTCTTTTTTTTTGTAAATATGTTTTTATTGATTTTTTAGAGAGAAAGGAAGGGAGAAAGAGAGAGAAACATCGAGTGACTGCCTCCTGCACGCCTCCCACTGGGTATCGAGCCCACAACCCGGGCATGTGCCCTGACCCAGAATTGAACTGGGACCTCTCAGTCCATGGGATGACTCAATGCCCTGAGCCACGCAGGCTGTGCAAACAAACTTCTTTCAAAGCAAACCCCAAGCCCTGGCCAGTTTGGGTCAGTGGTTAGTGTCGGCCCTCAGACCAAAGTGTTGCGGGTTCCATTCCAGTCAAGGGCACGTACCTCGATTGTGGTTCAGTCCCTGGCCCTGGTCAGGTTGTGTGGAAGGCAACCAATCTTTGTCTCTTTCTCACATCAATGTTTCTCTCTCTCTCTCTCTAGCCCCCTCCCTCTCGCTGTATGTGAAGATAAATGGAAAAAGTATCCTTAGGAGAGGATATTAAAAAAAAAGAAACCCCAAGCCCAGATGGCTTCACTAGTAAAATCTACTGAGAAGGCTCAAAATAAATAAATAAATATATACATACATACTACTTTCCCTCCTACTTTCTTAAGTTCTTCTAGCTGAGCTAATAATCAAATTAACAGAGACAACTTAACAGGAGAAAATCAAGTTTAACACATGCTCCTAAGGAATCCACATATGCACAGAAGTCCGAGGCAGTGAGGCAGCACTGGGCAGATAAGACATTCTGGACAAAGGAAGGAAGCGGGGAGCAGGGTGTCAGATCTCAGAAGTGAGAATGGGTGATGTACAGGTAGCCGAGGAAGAGCTGAATACATACACACAGCAGGCAAAGTCCTGCTGGCAGCTCAGAAACATGGGACAAGGGGTGTCCAGCTAAAAGACCCTCTGCCTGAAGCCCTCCCACTTACTATACTTAATTCAAATTAGGCCAAGGGAAACATCCTGATGTCCTTCCTAAAGCAGGTTTTTCTATCTAAAAATCTCTTGGGCAGGTAAGGGGGGAGGGTCAAAGGTTTTGAGTTCTTTGTTTCTTAATATTATCAGCTTAAAATTAGTATCACAGCAGGCGGCTTCAAGGTGGCAAAAGTTTGCTCTCCTTTACTACCAAAAATTTAAGGAAGAAAGACAATCAATTCTTCACAAACTTCCAAAATATAGAAGAGGCAAGAACACTACCCAAATCTCATTCTATGAGACTACTATTGCCCTGAAACCCAAACCAGATAAAGACTTCTAAAACAAAGAAAAAAGAAAAAAAATTCCCTTATGAATATAAATGCAAAAATCTTCAATAAAATATTAGCAAACTGAACCTGGTAACAAATCAAAAATGATTACATACTATAGCCAAGGCCATGCAAAACTGGTTTAACATGTAAAAATCAATCAATGCAATACACTATATTAGGAAAATAAAGAACAAAACCACATGATCACCTCATACATGCAAAAAAGCAAATGACAAAATCTAATACCCTTTCATAAAAAAACACTCAGCAAACTAGAAATAAGAACCTGATAAAGGCCATCCTCAAAACACCTGCAGTGAACTTCATACCTAAGGACAAAAGACTAAAAGCTTTCCTCCTAAGGTCAGGAACAAGGCAAGATGCCCACCTCCCTCCTTCTATTCAACATTGTACTGGAGGTCCTAAAACTAGGGCAATTAGGCAAGAAAAAGAAATAAAAGGCACCCAGATTGGAAAAGAAGTAAAATTATGTCTATTCATAGATAACACTGATTACTTGCTTATTAAATAACAGAAAAGGCATGAAAGAGAGACTAAATAATACAGGCATACATTCATACAGCTTTGCCAGAAAGCTGCAGTTTAGACACATGCCCAGTAAGGTGTGGGTGACCTGGGAAGATGCTTGCCTATCAGTCACAGCTGGGAACAGGTAATTGGCCAGAATAGGCATGGCCACTACAAGGGCATGAAATCTGAGATAAATAAGCTCCTAAACAAAGGAAGTCTCTCTCTTGGCTCTTGGCCCTCTTGCTGCTCACATCTGATTCCTGGCTTGTGGGGCTCTCATGCTCTGCATTCACCCACGTAGCTCACTGCCATGTGGGACCCACACAATGGACTGATGGACTGTGACCAGCCTGATGCCTAATGCTATATCGGATCCAGCTCCACCACGGAATGGAAACTCTAGACACTGGCTTTGCTTCTAGCTCTACTAAAGCCCCAGCTACCCCCTTTCCAGGACTGGCTTAAGGGAAATGGGACTTTAGAAACTGAGGAATATAACTGCACAAAAATAAAGTCTTGTACCACATCTCATCCTCCCATGGGGACCTCTGGAAATGCTTATTCCAGCGGTACCCTAAGAACCCTACTCCCACTAGCAACAGAGAAATTCAATTCTCTGGCAACTACATGACGTTATATATAGAAAATACTACTAGAACCAATAAATGAGTTCAGCAAAGTAGCAGCTACGAGATCAATAATCAAATAACAATTATACTTCTATACACTAAATGTAAATAATCTGAAAATGAAATTAAGAAAAAAATTCCATCTACAATAGCATCAAAGAATGAAATACTTGGGAATAAATTTAACCAAGGAAGTGGAAGAACTGTACTCTGAAAACTGCAAAATATCAATTTTTTTTTTTAGATAGAGTAGAAGGGAGAGAGAGGAAGAGAGAGAAACATCAATGTGAAAGGGACACATCGAGTGGCTGCCACCTGCACGACCCAACCAGGGCCAGGGACAAACTGCAACAGAGGTACGTGCCCTTAGTGGGAACTGAACCCGGGTCTCTCTGGACCACAGGCCGACGCTCTAACCGCTGAGCCAAACCGGCCAGGGCGAAAACCACAAAATATGAATAAAACTAAAGACCTAAGAAATGGAAAGACATTCTGTATTCATGGACTGGAAGACTTAATGTTGTTAAAATGTCATTACTCCCGATATTGATGTACAGATTCCATGCAATCCCTGTTAAAATCTCAGCTTTTTTTTTTTCTTTTCAGAAATTGATATGTAAATCCTAAAAGTCATCTGGAAATGCAAGGGACCCAGAATAACCAAAACAATCTTGAAAAGGAAGAACATACTGTAATCAGATAAGTATCAACAGCAGCCCAATCACAATCCAGAAATATTTAAAAGCAGAAGGTAACAGGGAACAGTACAAGTCCAGGAAAGCTGCAAGTGGCCATACAATTAACGACAGTCACCTCTTCGCTTCTGGCATAACCTCAACCTAAACCAGAAGGAAAAGCCTCTAGAAAGGGAAGAGGAGAATAAAACTGGGTTTCTAAAAACTGCCAATTTTCCAAGAGACCCCAGTTACAACTGAGATATTGTTTAGCAACTAAGTTCTTTAGAAACTGATTTCAAAAGTGATTATGGGATCATTAACAATGCAAGGCTTTATGCACCTTTTTATCAATTTCTAAATTATAGAGAATAAATCCTTAACATTTACTACAAATACATTTATATAAACAATGACAACAGCAAAGCTGACCAATCCTGTGACTTTCTTTTCTATATAATTTTTGGGTTCTCCAGCTACATCCCCCTCTATGTTCAGCCGTCTTTTGCCGTGAGTTATGACGGAGAAGGAACTCATTCACTGCTCACAGGAGGAACAGCCACCTAAATTGCTCTGACAATAAAGGAAGTGGAACAATACTCATATATAGATTCCTTTCCTATGCTTTCCTTCATGAAGAATTACTAGCCAGTCTTCTCATGCTTTCTTGATTAGAATGGCTTAAACCTGTTTTTCCACATCACGTACGAGGTATAACACAAAGAAGCCCCATGGCAGTTTGTCTCAGTCTGGATGGGGAGACAAGGGAAATATCAGAATTTTATAATAGGTGGGTATGGGTGGGAGGGGAGCTTACAGCTTAGAAACATTCCCCCTCCAGCCTTGTCCCTATTAGATTATTTCCAATAGGTTGTCGACATAGCATAGTATCAGAAAACCAACACATTAAAAGAAAAATGGGAAGGACATTTCTGGAACACTTGTACATGCACTTCATAGACTTAATTCTCATTTAAAGTCAGAGCAGCTCCATTTCATAACTCAGGAAACAAATTCTAAGCTCAAAACAATGTAGAAAAATTTTAATGAAAAAAGGTATGTCCTAGCATATCAAATTACATACCTGGTACTTCTAGTAGCAGAAAATAAAGACTAGCAGCATGAAGGCCATATTCTTGATATTGCACACTGACATTTTTCTTATGGACTGTTTGAACAAAGTGATAGAATAAAGCCACCAGCGCACGGGGAGATATATTGTTTTCAATGAAGAAGGTCCAAATGATCTGGGGGAGAAGGAAATCACAAAAGCCACTAATTACAGAAAAGCCTATTATTTGATTTTAATAAGTTCTTAGTGCCTTATAAAAGAAGAGAATAGACCAGTCTGGCTCCTAATTATAAACATTTGCCATCTTCAAAGGGACTAAAACAAAAGATTTAAAATGTATTATTCAAAATTACAAAGATACATAAGTACATAAGAGATTAAAACAATTAAACTTAAAAAATTTGGTTAAGTTGAACCATATATATTTCTAAAATTATGACAGCTAAAAACTACACTAAGACTTTTGGGACACCTTATATTAGTGATTACTCAGACAAGTTACCCTTCATCTATGTTAAATATACCCAAATTTATCAATCACTCTAATTCCTAGCTGAGGAAATCAGAGCAATTTATTTAAATTTAAATGTTCTATGTGTAATGGCAGCAAGTAAGGAAATACCCAAAAGTTTCTCCCTCAATCGATTTCAGAAGTAGCCTACATGAGAAAGTAAATAAACCTTAGAATATAAACCACAATTTTTTAATTTTTTCATTGTCCCATGCTTTCTCCTATTAAACACATGAAGAAGAAATGGGTTATTTCTAGAAAGCAAACATAGCAGAAACTAAATATGGTTTATCCTGGAGTACCTTAAAAAAACATAGGTCCACAAAAGTTCAAGAAGTCAGACCTTATACTTCCTGCTCCTCTGAAATGACAGGGAAAGTAGGTAATGCCTTGGCTTAGTCACACTGCTTAGCACATGCCACCTTACAGAAGGGACCATTTAGAGCCATTCAGCACTCTTTCTTTTACCATGAAGCTCCTGAAAGAAATCATCTCCTGCCTTAACAGCAGTAACATCCTCATTCCTAACACCACTTCAGCTCTGCTAACTGCCTGTAACTGTAACCCTGGAAGTTGCCAATGACAATCCAAACAACTCTGCCCTAACTGCCTTGCTCAGGACTCCACCTAACCATCACCTCTGCAGCATCTGATACCTGGGCCACTTCCTAGCCTCTGTGTCAGCATTCCCCACATTTCTGACTCCTCCTCCTCGGGTCTCCTTCAACCAGCATTCTTAGTTCTGTCCTTTATGTCCTCTCCTCCCTGACCTCATGCATCTCTGCAATTCAAACACCTTGAGCCAGGGGATTCTCCCATCTATCTTCCCTGATCTTCCGATCATGTTTTCAGCTACCAATTACACTCCTCGATCTCCACAGAATCTCACATTCAAAACCTAAAACTGAACTCATAATTTTGCCACTTCACCTTGCTTTCTCTCCCTTATTCCCCACACCTTGGCTAACAATGTCATCCTCCTATCTCTGAAACCTTGGTGATCTTTCACATTTTCCTTTCTCTCACTCCCTACACCCAGTCAATTCAGCACTTTATAGATTTATTTTGCAGATTTGTCTGGTGTTATACTATCACATGCTCTCAGCCTTCTCTATATATTCCCTACTGTTCCTTTCCTAGGAATGCCCCAGACTCTAATTTCTGCTAGTCAACATTCTAAATTCTACCCATTTGTGAAGGGTCACCTCTGGCTACTTCCTTTCTGGAAACTTCCCAGTCTTACCATGCTCCCTTCTCCACACCCCTATTAAATAGTATTACACATCTCTTATAGTAGTTTTTACAATGTGGTTCACCAAATGTTTCCAGCTCTTCCCCTGGACTCCTGGTGGCTCTGTGCTCCTCCACCCCCCTGCAACTGAATGTGGTCTCTGGACTTGATCAGTGAAACGGGAGTAGGAACGAAAAGGGTCAGTGCTTAATTCTCTACTTTCCCTCATTGGGATGGTCCTCAATGTAGGGAGAGGTTCTGTATCTTAATCATTACTTTATCTTCTATGATACCTAATGTAGTACTTAGCATTATGCTTAATGAATATTTAACTAGATAATCTAATTTTGAAAAGTAATGTGAAATGTGTAAATAAAATATATTTTTAATTTAAAATGTTCATGTCCAGTCCTAGCCAGTTTGACTTCAGTGGTTAGAGCGTCAGCCTATGGACCAAAGACTCCCTGGTTCGATTCCTGCCAAGAACATGTATCTCGGCTGCAGTTCGTCCCCTGGCCCGGTTGAGGTCGTGCAGGTGGCAACCAATCGATGTGTCTCTCTCATGTCAGTGTTTCTCTCTCTCCCCTACTCTGTCTGAAGATAAATGTAAAAATGTCCTTGGATGAGGATTTTAAAAAAATAATAAAATAAAATAAAATAAAATATTCATGTCTGATCCATGTGGCTCAGTGGTTGAGCGTCAACCCATGCACCAAGAAGTTGCCGGTTTGATTCCTGGTCAGGGCACATGCCCAAGTTGTGGGCCCAATCCCCAGGGGGGGCATGCAGGAGGTGGCCAACCAATGTTCTCTCTCATTGATGTTTCTATCTGTCTCTCCCTCTTCCTTCCTCTCTCTCTAAAATCAATAAAGAAAATTTTTTTTAAAAAAAAACAAAACAAAAAACTCTTTGTTCCAAATGAATTCAACTAACCACTTCTCAGTTTAATAGTATCAGATTTTCTTAATACTGAAATTGTTATTGCATCTCCCCTGGCCTGTTCACATTTGGTTTAATCTGGTTTTCTTTCTTGTTTCTGCCTTTATTCTTTTCTTCTAATTTGCTGTTATAAAATGTCATGACTTAAAGCCCTGGCCACATAGCTCAGTTGGTTCAAGTGTCACTCTGATACACCAGGGTTGCAAGTTTGATCCCCAGTCAGGGCACATACCAGAATTAACCAATGAATCTATAAATTAGTGGAACAACAAATTACTGTCTCTCTCTCTCTAAAATCGGTAAATAAAAATTAATTAATTAATTAAAAAGTCATGACTTGAGACAAAAATCACAGATTAATACCTTGAACCTTCTGGAGGAAAGCTATAAGGATTTTCCAATAAATGAGCCACATTCTTTATGCTACTCTTCTCATACTCCTTATGAACTGCTCACTAAAAAGGCTAAGCTTTAGATAATAATGACTTTAATATTCTACTTCTAACACCTAAAGATGGCTAACTTGATTCCCTACTCCCCCCCCCCTTTTCTTTTCTTTTTTTTTTTTTTACCTCTGTAGATCCATTTTCTTCAGTAGCAAAGCAGAAAAGACTTTTGTGGAGTTTGGTGAATGCATCCAATCCAGTCTCTATAATTTCTGCTTCTATGCTGGGATCCAAAGGTTCGGTCTCTGTGAAGTCCAGTTCCCAAACTGTGTCCACCCATTCTGGTGGGAAAATGCAATTAAATCAGTAAGTGCTGTATAGCAAGTAAAAAAAAAAAACAACAATAATTTTTAGACTCAAGGTAGATTCAAGAAAAGTTTATTAGTCACAACTCACATTTAATTACATAATGCAGGTGAAGCATAATTAAAGTAGAAAATGTTAAGAAAACTTTTTTTTTTGTTTTATTTATAACTGAAATCTGGTTATTAGGTTGGTTATCTTCTAAAAATATCAAGGAGAAAAACCCCTTTTCCATAAAACAGTTTTGGGGAATGAAACTTCAAATAGTTAATGATCAGGCTTTCCCATACATTCAGTCTGGAGAAGAACGAGGTTAATCAAAGATTGCCCCAGATGTCCCTTGGTGAAAACCTTATAACTAAGTTAATAAACCCAAATAAAAGACTTTATTGGGCCCCTGGAGAATATTTAGCATGTTTAAAAAATAAGATACAACTTCCCCAAGAAGTTTAAGCTAGAGGAGGCAAGCCAGATCCACACTTAGAGAAATCGTGATTTCAAAATATACTGATGGAAAGAATGTATGTTAAGAGAATGTGATGTTAATGCAGCATTCTAGCTGAATTCCTTGCTAATCTCTCTACACTCTAAACCTTCTCACATGTTTCTAACAAATATTTTCCTCAATATTTTGTTGGTATTCCCTAAAATCTAAACTTAGGACCAAATGGAAATGTGTGGACATCTCAAACGTTGTTAATCAGGTGTTCCTTCACTCTTCCTTCTCCAATCTCTACAGGGGAGAGATTCTTAACAGTCTGAGCCTCAGGCTCCTCCAGGCAGTACAGAGAGGACATCTCTTCACCCAGGAGTAAAGCCTGCAGCTTAACAGCATCCCACCCACACCCACCCTCACCTCCACAGCTGTGAAGAGTAGGCAGCCCTTGGGGGAGGAGGGGAGGTTGGAAGAGATGGAAGAAGGTGCCTCAGAATCACAGTTTACCCAAGGCCAGCCCCTTTCAGGCACCCAGAGGAATACTGAGGTTCTCGAGTCCACAGCATTTCCAGACTCCATTCAACCCTTCAGGTCCTGGTCTGGGCAACTGGCTGATCCGACTCAGCCTTATGGAAAAGGATAAAGAAGAGTTAGAAATTCAGAATGAGTCAGGTGAAGAATGGCAAGATCCAGCCAGACAAGCACTCTTCCCCAGTGAGCTTTGGCTGGACCTCTTAGACTCTACAGAGCTGAACATTGAGGATTTATGAAATGACTCTGCATCCTTCCCCATCTCCATCCCTCCTTCCCCCAGTCAAAGACATGACCTTGGAAAAAGCAAACTGCAGAAGGGAGCAAAAGAAACCATTATTTCAGGCCCCACCCTTGGTCCCTGAGTAGAAGGAGAGGTGGGCTTTGCCCTTGTAACCTAACCTTTATTTGATGTTGGGATAGAGAAGCCTTAAGTCCCATCCTTCCTAATGCACCATGGCTGTGTCCCTTTGAGATGAGTGCCTATTTCCTACTGTGTTTGGAGGGGTGTGGGCTTCACCTCAGTATTCCAGAGGGGCACTGCCTCCCTGTGTTGAATGGAAAGGGCCTAATAGTTTTCCTGTATTTTTGGAACATCTTTCCCAGCCTCTTTTGTGCCCCAGTGACTAGCTCAATAAACACATTTGAATAACAACAACAACAACAAAAACCAAGCGCTCCTTCAAATTAATATTCTTTAAATATTTGTTCACCATTGATTTAGAAAACTTGGGCAGGGTATGCATGAAGACTATCCAGAGATGGTAAGCCTCAACCTTTCTTTCATGGTTCTGAGCATTATACTGTACAAAACAAATAGAAAGCCTGCAGTTCACTAGGTCCATCTTCCCTAGATACAGTTTGCCCATCATCTTTCGCACCAGGAGGAGGGAGTCTCACACTACCAAGTAGCTTTCCAGAGCACTCCTTCCAAAGATAGAAAATACACTGCCTGAAAGAACTGAAAAATATAAGCGTGTCTCTCTGTATTTCCAGTAATGTTTTAATGCCCATTATAAACTGTACCCAAGGCATCTCACTCTTACTTTGGCTTTGCTTACTATAGTTCCCCTACTGTTAGTAACATGAAATTTAATTTGGAAGGCAGTAACACCCTGATTTCAAGTAAAGTCATCTATATAACTTTAGCCACATCACTTCTAACATTTCTGAACCTTACTAACTCATCTATAAAATGTAGGTAATAATAAATACCTATCGATTTCACATGGAGAGTGTTCTATTGGAAAGATTTACTTGGAAATAGAGGATGGGTTAGGATGAAAGGGATTGGTAGAGAAGAGAGGAAAAGGGAAAAGAAATAGGCACTCTGTTTCACTCTTTATGAGTACTTAGTATCTTTATCCTAAAACTTGTGGAATAAAAGCTTAAGGATGAGAAATTCTATACACTAACTTCATTGTGAACTAGAAAAGACTGCCAAAATTTGAGCAGCAGACCAGGTCACAATCACAAGTGTTCAGTGGGAACATAGTCTGAGGACCACAGACTTACCAAATACCACATTTAATACCCGTAGGAATGAAATAAATCCTAATTAAATCAATGTTTAAAACAAGACAGAAAAAATCTTGCAAATGCAGAAGCTTTGCTGTAGAGGAATATTACTAAGATAAGTTGTTCCTTATATCCACCCTGAATAGATATGAGAATTACTGCTACAGAAAAAAACACCATCAATTCTGAGACAGGAGGTGCTTGAAAAGCCTTAAAAGGTAAGCCACTGTACCTGCTGTGGCCACACAGCAAGTGCATAAATGGCTCCTTTCTCCTGTGAACTCATTCTCCAGTTGCTCCAGCTACTCATTTCCACCCCACTGTGACACCCCCTTCTTTCAGCCGTCTTTGATTAATTTTACCTGCATTTGCAAGAATTACAAGAAGAGAAAGAAGCAGCCCATGAAATGTAACTTTTCAAGTCCATAAAAACCTAGGAACAGACTGAATGACACATTATTTCAAGCAGAAAATACCAACAGGTTGTTCTCAATTCAAGAAAGTAAAAAAAAAAAGGGGGGGGGGTCTCAAATTAATGACAGTAGATCTTGGGATTCATAAGGACAGGATATAGAAGAAATCTTTCCACAGAATTGACTGTTTAACATGCTTTAGTTAATTATTCATTCACTCTCTTTCCTAGTCATTCTCCTAATAATTAGTCTTCTTCCTAAAAATGTTCTTGTATCTTTTCCTGCCTCTTTTTCTCTCATACATTCTCCCATTTCTTTTATACACATATTTGAAATGCATATTTATAAATGCACATGAGAATTTAGTATCTCATTTCTAGATCACAACTACCAAGTTCCAATAGAAAAGGAAAGATCTGGTGACAGGAAATCAATATTCAATAAACTATAGCTATTACTATTTTTGCAATGGATGAGTGTTAAAACAGTAACAGGCATGTAAAACACTAGAAGGCATACTAGCAAATATTACTGGAAGAGGAGGAGGAGAAGAGGTGAGAGGGATGACAAAGGTGGGAAGGATGATTCTTCTTCATTTGGATCTAAACATGGAAGTTTACCAGGAAAAGAACGGCACAGACGTGCATTCCAGGCAGAGAACTGCATAAACAAAGCACAAAGGGAAAGAAAGTACGGCCTGGTTGACAATGAACAAAACATCTCCAGCAGAGACTGCACGTGAAGGGTGAGGGTCATTTTTAGCATTTTCAGCAGCACCCGGCACTAATCCTCACAACAGCCCGGTGGGGTACACACTCCACGCGCACTTGACAGGTCAGGAAAGCTCCCTGCCGGCGGAGGCTGAGCATGGAGCCACGAGCCCAGTCCCGGTTCTGACTGCAGAGATCATGCTCTTGGAAAAGACTGCAGTGAGTAGTGAAGGCTTTCATACGGCAGGCCAAAGGTTTGCTCGTGTGCTAAGGACACGAAGAGGGAAGTATTACAGGTTTAAAGACTTGACAGGTCACATCAGTGATTTCAAAAGTGGTCCTAGCGTGCAGATTTGGAAGAAGAAGGGGAAGGCCGAGAAAACAGATGTAAAAGAACTAAAAGATATCGGGCAACATAACCTCTTTTTTAATGTAACTCTTTTTGAGCTCTATTCTAAACCCGGCTCGCCAACGTCCCGGAGTGCAGACCCGGGGGGCCCAGACCTAGCGGAGAACCAACGCCCCACCCCCACCCAGGCCTAGGCAGAGGCGCAATACAGGCGCAAAGCACCACAGCCCTGCCTCCCGGAGGCTCGGGGCCTCGTTTCCTCACCGGGGCTGAGATCCAACGGGCACCAGGGCTGCAGGCCGCTCCCGAGGCCCGGCAGCGCCACCATGATCGCCCAGAAACCCGCTCGCCTGCGTGGTGGTCAACTTTCAAAGCTCGCTCCCGCGCGCGCTCGAGTCGTTCCGGCGGACCAGTCACAACATGTACAATTTCCCACTGACCAATCATCGCGCCCGCTCGGTTTCATTACACTAGCCAATCAGCAGGGTCTTCTACCGCATGCGCCAAGAATGGGGCGGGCCAAGAACTGGAGACTTAGCCAAGGTTCCAAGACGTGATATTTTTAGTTTTCCCTTTAAAGTAGGGATTAAGAAATAAGTTAAATTCGAATAGCGCCTTACCCGCCTCGTCTTTCTTAAATCGGAGGGCACTTTAAAGAGAATTTGAGACTAGATACTTCCTGCAATAATTGTCACCTTTGCCCCCGTCAAATGACATTTCGCGTGTCAGAGGGCTTTCACCTCGTCAACCAGCAATCGAACGATGTACATATCCAGATGTGGATGGTAGACTAACGTTTATCGAACTAAAACGATAGAGGAAAGGCAGGAAAATAAGGCATTGCGAAAGGACATCTGCAGTTCTCTTAATTTTACGGGATGTGTGGGCCCGAATTGTGGGAAGATGCCACAGCTACCATGTCTACTAAGGGAAAGACAGGGCGCCTTCTCCCACTGCGCACGCGCAGTGAGCACACCTCCTGGTGGCCTGGTGGCAAAAGCTACAGAAGCAGAGGCGTGCGCATGCGCGCGGCATCTCCCGGGCGTCGGGGCTGAAGGCCGCCTCCTCCTACCCCGCCCCGCGCCGGAGCCGCTTGAACAGCTCTGGGCGTCGCACAGCCGGGAGCTGGTAGGTTTGCTCCGCCGCTCCCAGCCGTAAGGCACCGGGTAGGCGGCAGCGCCAGTAGCCCCGGTTCTGCACCGCCCCCTTAGAGTTGCATTTTAGCCCTTGCCCCTCACTGTCTCCGGCCGCTCGGGACTGGCGGGCCGCGGTGCATCTGCGCTCTGGGCAGCCAGCCGGCCCTGCCCTGTCCTCCCCGTGGAGCGGGCAGTCGTGCCTCGCCCCCCGCCTGGCCGCACGTCCAGCCCGCGGGCCTTCCCTTAGGGCAGCCCCAGCCCCGGAGAGCCCGCGCGCCCGGCCGGCGCCAAGATGAGCTTCTTCGGCTTCGGGCAGAGCGTGGAGGTGGAGATCGTGCTGAACGATGCGGAGAGTAGGAAGCGGGCCGAGCACAAGACGGAGGACGGGAAGAAGGAGAAGTATTTCCTTTTCTACGACGGAGAGACGGTCTCCGGGAAGGTGAGCCTCGCACTCAAGCACCCCAACAAGCGGCTGGAACACCAGGGCATCAAGATCGAGTTCATCGGGCAGATCGGTGAGTCGGCGCCCAGTGCCGCCCTCCCCCGCCACGTCCACCGGCCTGGCGCCCACTCAGGCCGGGGACCCCGGGCCGCTCGGGTGAGGCCTGTCGGAGCCCCTGGTCCCCTGCAGTCGGGGGCCCGCCCGCCCGCGGCCGCCCCTGCCTTATCGTTTTCCCTGCCAAAAGGGACAGCGCGCCGCGAGGCGTGGCGGAGCTGAGGGCACAGGGGCGCCCCTGCTGTGCCCCTTTCGTGGGGGGTACCGTGGCCCAGAATGTCCCCGTTGTCCCTTCAACTTGCCGCGCAGCGTGGCTTCCTGCCTCCAGGATTTCAGAGTGAGATGCCCTTGCCTTAGCCTGCAGGTGGCTTTGCTAGGGAGACTGTTCTCCCGGTACTGCTTTTGCCTTCCTCTGGCCCAAGTTGAGCTGGTCTTCGGTGCCTCTCTTAGTGGCAGTCCCACCCACCCCTGCTTCTTCTAGGTGTGATGTGGGAGAGATGGCTCTCCAGTGTCTCAGATCTCCCCTCATCCTGAACTTCTTATCCGGCCACATGTTCTGAGGAAAAAACCCTGCAGCCTTCAGACCCAGCGTTCTGTCTACCTCGCCTGCATGTCTAAGACTTCTTTATTAGAATGTTAGTTTTCAGTTGACTAATTTTCTCCTTAAAGACAAAGAAATGATGCTCCTAAGACTAAAATTAAATGATCAAAATGTCTTAATGCTCCAACAGTCTTTAAACACGATTATTAATAACTAGATGTAGACAGTAAAAGGCAGTAACAATACAGAAGATTTTGGAAGCTGCCAATCAGGATGCAATTTCCTCCAATTCTAAGACTATTTGGAGTCTTATGTTTACTAAAACTCTCAGGTACTTCTGAAGTAAATTGTTTCTGTCATTAGGTCAGGAGTAGATTTCACAGTTAATACCCAGGTGGGTTGAAAAACCTCTGTCAGAGAATTCATACCCTATACCACATGCTGCATGTTTAACTGTTTTTAGGGACTTCCTGGGAAAGCTTGTTAAATGCTCTCTCGTATCCTCAGAGTTCAGCAAAAAATCTGTTGTCCCCCTTCTATAAAGGCCGGAAACACTGGCCCAGGTAGGAGGAACTCTGGGGAAGGGAGTCCCTGCAGCAGGTCTCTGCAGTCCCTGGTCAGCCTGAACTATTAACTCTGGCATTTAAGAGATGAATTCAGGTTGAAGACTAGCTGGTCCTATAGGAAACTTTTTGTTGTTATTTCAAATACAGAATATGAATGGCCTTTTATGCACCAGAAACAGTTCTCAGGAGTGGGTTTCATACTCTCTGCTCTCCTGATCAATCTTTGTTGGTGTAGAATGTTTAGCAGTGCCCCCAGTCTCTACTCACCAGATACCAGAAGTAACCCCCAGTTGTAACCTCAAAATGTCTTGAAATATTGCCATATGTACCCTACAGGGTAAAATCCACCCCCTATTAAAGAGCCAAAGAGTGGATAGGATGAATCCAAATATGTTCTGCTAAATGTAACATATGAGAGAGTGAAGTCCTTGCCTACTTAGCATTAGTATTTTCTTTTTTTTGTTAATCCTCACATAAGGATATCTTTCCATTGAACATCCATGTGAGACACATCAATTGGTTGCCTCCTGCATGACCCCAAGTATAGGGATGGAAGCTGCAACCCTTCAGTTCATGAGCTGACGCTCTAACTGCTGAGCCAAACCAGCCAGGGAAGCATTAGTATTTTTAAGTAGTAGCTTTAACACTGCTGCATGGATTATTGGACTCTGTAATACCAGTGTAGACAGGCAGATTTAGCCTGTGCCTATAACACTGTTCCAGGTGGCTATACCTTATCATTATGTGAAAGATAACCAGAATGTCTTCTGCCTCAGCAATATTAAATGAGCTGTTCAAGGGGAATGCTGTCAAGGCCTAGTCTAAATGAAAGGAAGTTGAGGAGGCTGCTTGCTATGTATCTTACCTGACTGATTTCTTGTCTAACTCCTTGGATCCCAGAATAGCATACCTGCTGAGTTTTCTCAGAACCTTTTATTGCTTACATGATAACTCTTCCTGGGCCCCTGAGCACTCTGTGCTGAATTGGCCTTGTGACTTCAGGGAAGCTGTGCCCTTCTGTGGGACACTTTCTTTCCTGTAAGGCAAGGATAACAAAATCACCAAGTAAGAATGTTGAAATGTCAAAGGGTCATGCTTCATGCAAGGTATGGTGTATCTGTATTATATACCTAAGACAGTGTGGGAATTGACCTCAGGGCACCAGAGCGAGGCCAGTGAGTAATTTTGTTGCAGTTGTGGTCTTGTGGTTTTCTCCTTCATTGCATGCTTTGGCTATGTATGAAGTGGGTGGAACTTGGTCAGATTCTGAGATCTGGCTGTTTGGGTGACATTCAGTATGGGACTTACTATCTGGGGGTAAGAAAGTTGACTAATAGCATTGTGCTCTGTCCACCTTCCTCACTGATTTCTGTTTTAACTCAAAAATTGTTTTATAAGCCATAGTCTCTTTGATTTGGTTCTTATCTTCTCCCTGCCTCTCTTCTGCCCTTTCTCTCTTCCTTTCTTCCTTCCTTCCTCCTTCAGAAGAGTTGGTTCCTTAGATTGAAAATGAAGTGGTTTATGTAATTAACCTTCTTATTTTTATGACTAATTTATTTTTTCTCCTGATGAAAGTGTATTTGTCCCACTTGTGTATTCATTAGAGGGACAGCCTGGTATATGCAGGGTCAGGAAGACTGGGTTACGTAAATTAGAAAAGGCTCGGTTTATAATACTACAAACTGCTAGGGTCAAGACTTTGTAAGGACTAGAGAGGAAATACATGAAGTAAAAGGCTTAGGACACATAGTAGATACTCTGTAAAAAGGAGTTAAGATGATCATTGTCATTTTCTCTTTCCCTGTTAAGCTGGACCATCAAGAAGTTTCCAGGGGCTAGACATTTAAAACATTTCACCTCGTAGTTACCCCTGCTTCCAGTGCAAACTCTCCATAGGGAGTGTTTGAACCAGGTTAGCCTCCCCTTTCATCTGCTTGTCTGCCTCCCCACATTGCCTTCCCAGTGCTTCTCCTAGAAGGCACAAGAGCCCAAGCAAAACCTTATTGAAGGGACTCTGCACAGAGTCCTTGCAGAGACAGCTATTTGGACTTCTTTGTGCCGCATTTGTCACAGTGACCCAGGCCTGGTTCAGAAAAGCTCCCATTTTGATGATGGTTTGGAGTGGACAGGCAAAGGGGTAACTTTGTCCCTTCTCACTCCATAACTTGCTCTGGTAATCGCATCTGCACCCATGACTTTAGTGGCTTCTTATATTCTGATGATTCCCAAATTCTTTTTTTGTTTTGACCTGAACACTCTTCTGAGTTCCATGACTGTTTCCCTCTGCCTGCTAGACATCTCCACCGGGATACCCCACCCCACAGGTCCCTCAAAGAGGCATCCAAAACAGAAGCCCCTTTCTCTTTCTGTCCCAGCCCTGCCACTTCTCCTGTATTGTGGTGTTTGTTTGTTTTGTTTTGTTTCCATTTTGGCTAATGTCACCTGGGTCCAGCCAGCCTCAGAAATTTGGGAGTCATTTTAGACTCTCCGTTCCTTCTCCCACACCTCTGATTGGCTTCTAAGTTTTGGTCTTCTCTAGCAACTCGAACATGTCTTACATCTGGGCTTCCTCTCCATTCTTTTTTTTTTTCATCCTCACCCGAGGACATTTTTCCATTTTTTGTTCAGATAGAGTGGGAGGGAGAGAGAGAGAGAAACATCGACGTGAAAGGGACACATCGAGTGGTTGCCACCCACACGACCCAACCAGGGCCCGTGACAAACTGCAACTGAGGTACATGCCCTTAGTGGGAACCGAACCCGGGTCTCTCCGGACCACAGGCTGACGCTCTAACCGCTGAGCCAAACCGGCCAGGGCCATTCTTTTTTTTAAAGAGAGAGGAAGGGAGAGAGAGAAAGAGAAAGAAACATTGATATAAGAAAGAAACATCAATCGACTGCCTCCTGCACACCCCGCCCACCCAGGATGGAGCCTGCAACTGCAGGCATGTGCCCTGACTGGGAATCGAACTGGCAACCTTTTGGTGCACAGGACGACACCATACCAACTGAGCCACACTGGCCAGGGCTTCCTCTCCACTCTTAATGCATTTATTATTTCTGTTTGTAGCAAGCAGTCTCCTTACTGGTTTTCCTGGCTTCGTTTTCTCTTCTTTCAGTTCTCCTTCTATACGAGTGAGTTGTCCAAAAGGCAGTTCTAACATTGTCAGTCCTCTCCTTAGAAGTCTCCTCATCGATTACCTACTGGGTAAAGGGGGGAAATATATCCAACTCTTTCCTGAGCTGGCCCCTGCCTTTCTCTCTAGCCTCATCTCCCCCTAACCCTTCCCCCTCACCACTTGCAGCTTCCTCAAAGTTGTATGTTCTTTCTAGAATCTTGGCATCTTCCTTTTGTTCTTTTTTGTTTTTAATCCTCGCCCGAGAATATTTTTTCATTTACCTTCAGACAGAGTGGAAGGGAGGGAGGGAGGGAGGGAGAGAGAGAAAGAGAGAGAGAGAGAGAGAAACATCGATTAGTTGCCCCCTGCATGACCCCAACCAGGGCTAGGGGCCAAACCACAACCAAGGTATATGCCCTTGACCAGAGTTGAGCCCACAACTCTATGTTCTACGGGCCGATGCTCCCACTGCTGAGCCAAATCGACCAGGGCTGGCATCTTCCCTTTGTATGTGAACATCTTTCTGCAAGGCCTAACCCCCCACCCCCCACCACCCTTTTTTTTTTTTTTTTTTAATTTATTGATTTTTTTTTTTTTTTTTTTTGGAGAGAGAAAGAGAAACTTTGATTTGTTGTTTCACTTATTTATGCATTCATTGGTTGCTTCCTGTATGTGCTCTGACTGGGAATCAAACCCCCAATCTTGGCATATCGGGGCTTCACTCTAACCAACTGAGCTACCTTGGACAGGGTCCAAGCTCTTATTCTTAAAGTCCAGCAAACATGACATCCGT